CTAAATATCGTCTCTTAGGTTTGGAGGCGCCCTTGTCACAGAGTTCCTAGAGCCACCTCCAGGTCGATGCTTCTGCTTCCGTCAGAAATACTACCTCAAACCCCCGATGGACCAGGAAGATCCCGACTACGACCGCATCAATGAGGCTTTGAATCATCCATCCGGCCCTCCTCTCCATTTCCACCCATTCCAGAACGAGTACTTTCGCGTGGAGCAGGGCCGCATGTGTGTCGAGATAGACGGCGTTCTGCGTGTGCTTACTCCAGAAGATGGGGAAGTCATGGGCCGGGCAGGAAGTATCCATCGCTTCTATATTGCTCCAGATAGTACCGAGGACATGGTCATTATCCTGAGTGCATCTGATCCTGGTCTTGATTACCAGCTGGATCGTGTCTTCTTCGAGAACTGGTATGGCCTGTGGCATGATTACCTTGTGCACGAAGGCAAGATGGATTTTATTCAGTTGCTATGTGTACGTGTGCCATCTTGGCTCCCTTGACCTCTACCTCGCCCCAACTCCTTATTTCACTATATAGACAAAAATTTCCATCACTAACTAATTTCTACCCTACTACAGACATACGATGGGGGCGATGCCTATCTCCTCCCACCCAGTTGGTTACCCAATCACTTGCGAAAGTTTATTGGCTACTGGGGTGGAGTGATTGTGGGTCGTTGGATTGGGGGTCTTCTCGGCTATAAGCCCTTCTTCAAGGAGTATACGACCGACTGGGCTTACGCAGTGCACAAGATGGAAGCGTCTTCCTTTACTCGTCGGACAGTGGGCCGCTCGTTTACTTCAGCCATGAGCTGGGCCCAATTACAAATGCGCGCTGTTCAGTGGCAAAATGGAGGCGGGACCAAGAAGTTTGTAGCTTCGGATGCCAAAGTCCACACCAACGGATATTAGTGAATATTGGCTATGTTTTCCTGTCACAATGCAATAGATGGGCAAATAGAGCAAGTAGAGCAGATTTATATGAATGGATTCTACACTGGTTTCTTTCTTTGTACAACATACATAGTAGGCATTACTCCTTTAGGCTTTCTCTCTAAAGGTGTTGGGTGGAGGTTCCAGTGGAACACGGGAAGCAGGCGGGTAGCGGGAAAGGCGCTAGCCTCCGTTATCTTACCTTGGTCTTATTGGGCTCTTGGCATGCTTGACACGGTTAATGAAAACGCAAAAATGCCGAGAAATGCCGTGCGCCGTTCCCGCCTTTCCGATTGGTCGCTCCTTCCTCGATATCCTATTGGTAGAAAAGCGACCCGTGGACCCACGTACCGATCTAGGTAAGCATTGCCGCGACTTTGTTTCCCAAGGTTATCATATCACATCGATACATCCACCGTCCGAAATCTCCACATCCACAATTATTGTAAGCACAATCTTCTTCATGCTTTACAGTTTTGCACCTCCGCGATCAGGTCCCCTGGTTAAGCGACGAAAAGTGCGTCGAGCATGCGACTTCTGTCGTCAGCATCGTGTTCGATGCGATGGTACACTCCCATGTTCACAATGTGTGACGAACAGGGTCAAGTGCGTCAAGCCCCGGGCCTCGCATCCCCCATCGCCACCTGACTCCGCTCGGGCTGAGCATATCCGACCCTCTGTCCCTCCATCTCTCGCACCATCTGTCCCATCATCCCTCCCACCATCTCTCCCCTCATGTACTCCACCTGCCCAGTCAGTGAGCTCGTCTGCCCCGGTCTGTTCACCACAGGACTCGACCCATGTGGTTGTCCGCGACCCGGACTGTCTTACCGGATTTATCTCGCGGATCAATACCTTTTGTTCTGTCGTGTCACAGATGTCAGCACAATCATCTCCAGTGTCTGACGAATCACCCTCTTCGGAGGCTTCGTATTTCACTCCGGCCTTGCTGCAAAATTCAGATCAAAACTTTCCGCAGTCGAGTACTTCCAACTCGCAAGACCTTCAACAAAGGCTACTGAAGATATTTTGGGCTCGCTACCAGTGCTTAGCACCGATTGTGACCCAAGCAGACGTACTGGATTCTGAGCCGGGTCGAAAGCAGGAGCCTTTGCGAGACGCACTAATGGCGTATTGCTTACAATCAGTCTATCATTCTGGACTACATCATCGTCTTCTGGGCGTCAATACGACACTAAATGAGGCACAAGAACGCGCTTCGGAAAAGCAGCAGAGCCCTCTGGTGGCTTTGTTTGCAGCCTACTTTCAGAAAGCCTTGGCGAAAAACAGTCATTTCCTTCTATATGCGGAACCATCTGTGTCGGATGTTCAACGGCATATTCTGATGGCTCTATTTCTCCTGAATTCTGGGGAAGTGCTGGCTGCGTATAATATCACAGGGGTAGCTATTCGACTTGCGCAGTCGCTTGATCTGCAGAATTCTTCAAAATCTCACTTTAGTCCAAATGAGGCTGAAATCCGTGATCGCGTGTGGTGGATGCTGGTTCACCTCGATTTTCGTTGCTCGCGGTACCTAGGTAAACCCGTCATCGTCTCTCTAAAAGACATGACACTTGCCATTCCAAATTACAACCCTTCCACTACCCCCGCCTTCTCGGAGCTGGTATTTCACTCAGAAACTATCGCCCTAACGGTTGTTGGCAAAAGGGTTGCCGAATCCTTGGCGGCTCGGCATGATACTATGAGTGCGGGTGATCCCATTGGACAAATTGAGCAGTCGGCGGAGCATCTCACTCACGAAATTAGTTATTTGTATGAATGGAGGGATAGTATCATGAAATCAGAGCCATTTAAAGACTTGGTGCTTGTCGGTAGCGCCAATCGACCTCAAACGTATGCCTCCGGGGAAGAACTGAAACATGATGACGATAAATGGATGTTTTATCATTCACCTGTTCGCATCTTGCAACAAACACTTCTCGAGCTTCAATTTCATGATCTTGTTATTTGGTTTCACCGTCCATTCATACAGTTTCCCAGTCTTGGCCTGGTCCCTCAACGCAGCCCGGGAGCCGACATTCATGCGACAACAGCTATTCGGTACGCTTTAACGGCCATAGAGACCGTTCACCGCCGCATGCTTAGCCATGATGCTCTTTATGGATGTTCCGATGTCTACCAATACGTATGGAACGCAGTCCTGACTCTTGTAGGCTTTATGCTGGCCTATCCTTTGTGTTACTGGTTCTCTGTCGCGCGACAACACGTGGAGCTGTCATTTCAGGTCTTCGACACAGCAAAGACCTCGAATCCCATTGCGTCTCGGGCTGCACATCTCACTCGTTACCTTCTGGGTCGTGTCGATGCTCTCATGGAAGTGCTCAATGCGCAAGCTTCTACCTCACATCCATATCGCCATTCGCCTGATGGTGAACGAGGGGCGGAAAATTGGGATGGGGTAGATCTGGGTGAACGATCATCAGGCCTCTCCGCGGTTACTCCTGGGACTGATGACTTATGGTGCTGGGCCAATACGGTAGACCCTGAGACTTGGTCTGGCTACTGTCATGAAATCAATGATATGCTAGTAGATCTCCCTGAGATCCCCTCTAGCATTGATCATTTTGCTCAGTAAGAATATGGTTACATTTTGGGCAGCATGATTTGTCATGTCTTTTATCTCATTTATATCTAATTTCTGTATATATACGAATATCGTGGCTCTTCTAAGAGTCGAAAAAGTAACGTTCAAGAGAGAGAAAAAAAGGACCCAGGGATAATCCGCGCGAGGAAGCGTTCTTCAAACAAATTGTCCGACCTTCAACTTATCCGACGAAGCAAACTCAGACTGGCGAGTCTCCAACTCTTCCAAGTCCCAGTTCGCAGATAGGTGACGACCATTGAGATACTCAGGACGCTTAGCGGCCAGGTATACCGTCACAGCTCCTGTCAATTCCGCTATACGAGTGTCACAAAGTTAGCAATGATACTCCCGGAGGAAATTTGATGTATCTTGAACATACCAGAGTCTTTGGCAAATGGCTTAAACGAATCCAATGTCATGCTCGTCAGGACGATACCCGGCGACAGACTATACGCCGTCACGTTCGGATTCTCGGCGGTGACGAACTCTGTCATCTTGGCCACGCTGAGCTTGCTGATAAAGTAACTGCTCAGAGACGGAGGAGTCAACGCAATTGTGCTGATCAGGTTCACCACGGTGGGCTTGATCTCGGGTGTCTGACCGATCAAACGCAAGAAGGCCGCAGTGACATTGTATGTGCCATGCACGTTGATCTCAAAGTCGCTCCACCACGTGGCCCCGTCGGACTCCACAATGGGGGCTCCCGGTGCAAACACTCCGGCATTGTTGATCAGGGTGTCGGCTGTTCCGAATTTCTCTTTGATCGCCTCGAAGGTGCGCGCCACGGACTTCTCGTCAGCGATATTGGTGGGAAGCGCGAGGATCTCGATTGAGGGGAACTCGGCTTGGATGATACTTTTGGTTTCCTCGGCGGATGACTCCGATAAGGTGATAAGCACTAGTCCCTTTACATTGGATTGGGCGTGGCTTCGTGCAATTGCCTACAACAGAAGATTAGTTAGAAATTTGTTTTCTTCTTTAGTGAAATAGCCACTCACTCTTCCAATTCCCTTACCCGCACCGGTAATAATAGTCACTTTTCCGGTCTGGGAGAACTCCGACTTGGTCGGCTCAATGGCTGGATAGACATCTCGGTAGTAAGTTTTGGTGATCGAACCCATTCGAGTGAATTGATCAGCATCAATGGAATCAGACATGGCGAATCGAGGTATTGAATAGATATCGGAACAAAATAAAGTGAAAAGGAGAATAAGGATGGGTATGAATTCCTCCCTATATATGTTTCTAGACTATTCCGTTCTACAAATCTCCCGAGGTCGGGATATTGTCACTACGTGGGACTAACCAAAAGGGGTAACGATTACTCCTTTGGGTAATCCGTTATACAAAGGTGCAGGGGAAAAAAATGTCCGGATTTATATATTCAGACTTTCATTTAAAAGGCACCAGAAACATGGAATAGGTCTCTAGCTGTCAGCTTTCCCTCTCAGAATGGACGAACCAATGGAGCCCCAAGATCAAGATCTAATTGAGAAAGCTCACCATGAGGTTGAGGAAATTGATCGATTGGTGAACGATTTCCTAGCTCGTCCAACTAGCACGTCAGGGAAAGGCGGGGATGTTATTTTTAAGGATCTGTCTGTGATCGGAGCAGGTGTTGGGGTTTGTTTAACCGTTTGAAAAAATTCTGGTTTAGATTGCTGATGATTGCTATAGTATCAACTTGTTAACAATGTTCCCGAGGCGTGCGTTCAACTGTTGAAGCTTGCAAATCCAGCTACCTGGTGGTCCCGCAAGCCTACTCCATCTCGGATCCTGCTCCACAAGTTAACCGGCTCAATTCGTGAGGGAGAGATGATGGTAGTTGTGGGGCGACCAGGCAGCGGTTGTACAACTCTTCTCAAAGCTCTAGCCAACATGCGAGATGAGTACCTCGGTATGGAGGGCGATGTCTGGTATGGTTCGCTCAGTGCAGCGGAAGCAGAGAAAAATAGACCCGATCAAATTGCATTCGTCGGTATGGTGACATGACACTCTAATTGGAGTCCAATTATGCTAATATTCGATGTCTCGGATAGGGGAAAACGATGTTCATTTTCCGTCGTTGTCAGTAAGCACCACGCTTAGGTATGTTTTTCACTACCTCTATCTCGAAGTTTGCCATCGGCAAGCTGTTACTCACACGATCCAGATTTGCCCTGAATGCCCGCCGCGGTACCTCGCAACCAGATCGCACATCGAGCCTTGAGCAAGACCTACAAACTGTGTTGGAACTTATGGGTCTCAGCCATGCGGCTGATGTACGTATTGGAAGCGATCACATCCGCGGGGTGAGTGGTGGACAGCGTCGCCGAGTATCTCTCGCTGAGGCGTTTTGCACGCGTGCAAGGTTGGTTTATCTCCAAGTGGTTTCTGGATTGAACTGACTTTTCTGAAGTTTGTTTTGCTTTGATAATCCCACACGCGGTCTGGATTCCTCAACTGCAATCCGCTTTCTCACTGTTCTCCGGGAATACACGAAGCGCAGTGGATGCTCGGCAGCAATGTCCTTGTACCAGGCCAGCGACCTTGCTATTTCACTATTTGACAAGGTGCTGGTACTAAATGAGGGTCATGTAGCATACTATGGTCCCGTTTCTTCTGCCAAAGGGTACTTCGAATCCCTCGGATTTTACTGCTCGCCACGGACTTCCGTTTCAGACTTCCTGGCATCCATGTCAGGCACTCCAGATGGTCGAATCCCCCGCGATGATCTTCAGCGCCCAGTCCCTCTTCATCCAGTTGATTTTGCAGCCCGATTTTGGGAGAGCAGCTTCTATCAGCAGTCAGTCGAGCAAGCCAAGGCGCCCGAGCCCACATCGTTGACTATTAAACCTACTGGATACGCTCTTCCATTCTATCGTCAGATCTACGAGTGCACTATCCGTCATTATCGCATCTTTATGACTGACAGGGCTGCCTGGATTGCCGAAGCTGCAGGCACTATCGTGCAGGCTCTTCTTCTCGGAACCCTGTTTAGAAACCAACGCGCTGAGACGGAGGGACTGTATACGCGTGGCTCTGCTTTATTCTTCTCTGTGCTCATTATGGGTCTGCAAGCATCCGCTGAATTTGGAAATACCTTCATTCAGCGCCCAATCCTTTTGAAACAGAAGGCACTGAGATTTTACCGCCCCGGAGCGTACGCGCTAGGCCAGATTCTCGCCGATGTCCCCTGGAAGCTGATTTTCATCCTCTACTCCCTTCCGATCTACTGGATGATTGGATTTGAGCGCACAGCCAGTCATTTCTTCACATGGTTAGTGTGTCTGTATGTGGGCTTGATGGCCCTTTGCGTGATGTTCCGGGCGATTGCGGTGTTTACAACCTCCATCACTCGAGCTGTCCTACCAGTCGGCCTGCTGCTTAATGTGCTCATTATATACACCGGCTTCTATGTCACCCCGCCTGGTATGAAGGTTTGGCTCGGATGGATCCGGTACCTTGATGTAAGTCTTCCGCGCGGGAGTACAAACTCTGTTTGATCAAAATCTAACTATTTCATTTTCTCACAGCCAATGTACTATATCTTCGAATCAATCGCCCTGAACGAGATTGGGAGCAGCATGTATCAATGCAGCCCTCGAGATACCGTACCCGAAGGATTGTTATACACGGACGCCACATATCAGACGTGCGCGGTGTCGGGATCCTTGCCCGGTCATCTAGACGTTTCCGGGAAGCTCTATCTTCTGGCTGAATATGGCTTCAAGTCCCTTCACAAGTGGCGGAATGTCGGTATCAATGCCGCCTTCTTCGTCTTCTTTTCGCTTCTAGTCACGTATGTATTCATTGCGGCCCTTTCCCTGTTTTGTTCTTCCCATCACTGATAATAGTGTAACAGAATCGGAATGGAGAGATTTCGCCACGCGGCTGAACGCATGTCAACTATCTATTATCAAAAGCTGCCATGGGCGAACACCTCAACGCTCAACTTGCCAGATATCGAGCGCCCACAACCAACTGGCGAAATTGGAAAATCCGAGAAAACCTCGGATAGCGAGTCGGCCGTCAACCAACTTGAGCCAAATAAGCATGTATTTGCATGGCAGGACCTGACGCTTGAGTTGAGTAACGGAAAGTGCTTGCTTCAAAATGTGTCAGGTAAAGTCCCATGCGTCATTTTATTACAAGGACATTTCATTGATGACTCGATACAGGCTGGCTCCAACCGGGCTCAATGACTGCTTTGATGGGCATGTCTGGTGCGGGAAAGGTATACAATTCGATCACGTTTGGTTTTGAAGTAGGAGTGCTGGAACTGACTTTAATGTATGTTAGACGACTCTTCTTGACACTCTTGCGCAGAGGATTCAGATCGGTGTGTTGTCCGGGGGCTTTATCTCGATGGAGGTCCACTTCCAGCGTCGATGAGTCGTCAAACCAGCTTTGTTCATCAGAACGATATACATCTTGAGTCATCCACGGTACGAGAAGCCCTTCAACTTAGTGCAAGACTCCGACGCCCGGTAGATATCTCTCTCAAAGAGAAGATGTCGCATGTTGAAATGGTCATCAGGCTCTTGGACATGGAAGATATTGCCGATGCCGTCATCGGGGTCCCCGGCGCTGGACTGGATTTGGAGAGACGCAAGCGTGTCAGTATCGGAGTGGAGCTGGCAGCTAAGCCAGATATCCTTTTGTTCCTTGATGAACCCACCTCGGGTTTAGATGGTAATTCGGCCCTTTCAATTGTCCAGCTCATGCGCAAGTTGTCACACGCCGGTCAAACCATTTTGTGCACAATCCACCAGCCTTCTTCCCAGATGATTGAGCAGTTTGACTCCTTGCTTCTTCTGATCCCTGGCGGAAAGACGATGTACTTTGGCCCCCTTGGCGCACGGTGCCAAACAATTATCGATTACTTCGCTCGCTATACACGCCGGTGTAAAGACACCGAAAACCCAGCCGACTACCTACTGGACATCAGTGCTGACCCCAAAGAAGACTGGTTTATGGTATGTTATATCGCTCGTTTGTAAGATCCAATACTCATCTACTGCAACAGACATGGCAAGACTCGCCCGAGTTCAAAACTACGCAGGATAACCTTCAACATCTGCTCGAGAAGAAAGACGTTGCAGCCTCTGTGGGATCTGATCGGGCGCATGCCGCCTCTTATCTTGAGCAACTTCGGGTGGTCACTCAACGTGCATTCGTCAATTACTGGCGCGACTCGGACTATGTGCTGGGGAAGATCCAGCTTAACATCTGGATGGGCCTGATGAACGGACTGACATTTTTGCAACTGTCTGACAACCTGACAGACTCTCGCGGCCGTATGTTCTCCATCTTCGTGGGTGTCATTACCGGGCCTGTCCTCAGTCTTCAGATTGAGCCCAAGTTCATCATCCTACGGGACCAGTTCTTAGCCCGGGAGCACGAGTCGCACGTCTACCATTGGAGTGTATTTACAATCAGTGCCCTGCTGGTGGAAATCCCGTTCACTCTGCTCGGAGGCCTGATTTACTGGCTGCTTTGGTACTACATGGTGGGCTATTTCACTATCTCGACACGCGCGGGCTATGCGTTCCTCATGTATGAGCTTTACTCGCTCTTTGTGGCCAGTTTGGCCCAGTTTACCGCGGCCCTGTTCCCCACCGTCCTGGCTGCGCAGGTCGCCACTGGCTTCGTGTGGTTGGTGGTTAACACTTTCAACGGCCCGCTCTCGCCGCCGCCCCTGACGCCAAGCGGCTGGCGCTGGTTCTACAACATTTCCCCACTGTTCTATTTCGTCGAAGGCATCGGTACTAATGCGATGCATGCGCTAGCCATTACTTGCCAAGACTCCGAGCTAAACGTTTTCAACTCCCCACCATCGGAGAGCTGTGGCTCCTATGCCGGCGCGTACTTCGGCCAGTCCAATTCGACTGGATACCTGGTGGATCCGAGCGCAACAGGGCGATGCGAATATTGCAGCTACGCTGATGGAGATCAATATGTGAGCTCACTCTTCCTTCTCCCCTTAGTCTTTCTTGTTTTTCTTCTTTTCCTATCTCTTTCCGGGACTCTCGCTTTAACATTACACCACGCTAACAATGGAACCCTCAGGTCAAACAATACGACTTCAGCTATTCCCAGAGAGGTCATAATGTGGGGATCTTCATTGGGTTTATCCTGTTCAATTACACGATGGCTGTCGTTGCGACGTATCTGATATTCGTCTTCAAGTGGCGGAAGCGGTCGTCATGATGATATCCATTGTCTGTTAGGTCTTCCTAGCATTAATCAAACCTGACGGACATGACGGACATGAGGGGACATAATCTCGCATACAATCATAGACATCACTCTAAATGGAGGGTCATCGCGTGGTCTCCCCGTCCGCAGTAATGTCTGCCATTGATGTCAACTTGTCATCAACTGCTTCTCCCTCGCCCTTTCTTGTTTTCTTTATTTTTCTTTCATTTCTGTTGAGGCATGCTCATAGATACCCTGTTTCTCAGGCTTCCACTATATATTTCGCTTCTCTCGGTTTGTTTATAGAGAATACAACTCCTTATCCTGACCCCTTGTAAATTCCTAACTACCACTGGCTTCTATTTTCCTGTTCCATTCATTCCCTAACTTGACATATTCGGCTGTGAGGCCTTAATGCCGAGACTTGGGTTATATTAACGGAAATCCGCTTCACCCTATCCACATAGCCTCTTTATAGAACCTATCTCAAGTCAAAGAATATTTTGCTTCTCTCTCTCTTATTAGCCCGTAAGCCTTTGCATTTTATGGTACATGATCACAGACCGCTGTGTGTTACTCTATAAATTGGTAGACGGACTGATATTTATGTATTTTCACGAAAGATAACATCTCTTGCCATTCCCGGTGACTCATGAGATCTACTCCTTCATAGCTAAAGGTGTCTGGGAGCGAAGCTGTCTCCATCTCGCACCATAAAACTGTAACAGAACGACAGGAATCATGAGGACCACGACAATCAATGAAAAGGTCAACCAGGCAAATTGGAACCCGACTAGTTCCCCAAATGGAAGACTGCATTGACATTTATCAGTATGGATTCATAAAATTTCAAGTCAGGGCATACTGACGCGTAGAAAGAGATAAGGCACGAGAAAAACTGCCGGAAAACATTCAAAATTGTCGATACCTCTGCACTTTGGGGTCGGTAACACTGTAGTCAAGTATCTTGTTAGAGCGCACATTTTCCCTTCTTCGTGAGAAGAAATCACTCACATCAGTCAGGTAAGTATATATCACTGTCGTGGCTATCTGAAGGCCCATGTTTGCTAGGCACATCCCCATTGCACTGCCAACCCAGCTGGCGGTCTTCGAATGCGAAAGACATACTCCTTCAATGGTAAGGCCAATTGGAATTAACAAAGCGCCCCAGATAGCAGTCAATCTAGCTTCGGGAAGACGCTCGCCGTTGTGTTTCTTTGCATGGCGATTCGAAAGCCAATCCGTGACCCATCCTCCGCTGAGCTCGCCAATTCCTCCTCCGATCAACAGCGGTATGCTCAGAATCAGTCCAGTCTCAGCAGTGTTGAATCCATAAAGCTTGCTGAAGAGGCTGGCTCCCGTAAGAGCGAAAATAACACCACCGTAGCCAAAGCAGACCATGTAGAATGTACCTGTGAGTGAAACCGACACAAATTTCAGCATCTCGAACGGACGAGCAAAGTCTCGCATCTTCGGTCGGACTCCTGGAACCTTTCTCTTTCTAAACGTGATATTTTGCATATAGGTTTGCTCCACGTAGGGACCTGAGTCGGGTGAACGCTTCGCGGTGTAAAGGGTTTCGGGTAGGCAGAATACGTTTAACACGAACGTTGCCAATTGTATGTATCCCAGAATGTAGAAGCATGGTCTCCACCCAAGCGACTGCCCTATGAAGCCTCCCAAAAGTGGAGCAACCTAGATAATATTGATTAGCAGTGTAGATATACAAAAGATCAGTGGATATTCCTACGTGTGCCCCACTGGTTAGTGCCAAGGTATATATTCCGAGGTAAACACCGCGTTGGTGAACGAAATATAAGTCGCAGATTGTCGCTGCACCCATTGATATCACAGAGCCCGAACTAAACCCACAGAACGCACGGGTGATCATTATACCTGCCCATGTATCGCAATAACCTGCTGCAATGGTTGTGACTGCAGCAAGAAGATTACCTAGCAGGTACACAGGTCGACGACCGTATGCATTGGCAAAAGGAATCACAATCAAGGGCCCGACGCCCGCAGAAACAAGCCAGACTGTTAGCTCTGTTACTCATCGGAATTAGCATCTGTATACTCGAACAAGAGAGACAGTAAATCATTTGGGACAATATTTCTCACCGTAGCTAACTTCTTTGACGCTTAAATCAAATGTTTTTGCCATCAGAAGAAATGTTGGATTCACGACAGCAGATGCCAGTGGCTCCAGTAGAGCGAGCCAACTAATCTGAAGACAAACCCACAATTTGAGCTTCGGACTCCAATTCTATCAAGCTTTAGCGCTGGTATACAGCAGAAAGATAAAATTTTCAAGTACCAATGGGTCATCTCCATGGGATGAAGGTTGTGGAATAACAGGAAATCCTTGAGGATCATGTTTCACAGGGTTTTTGTCGATGGATGAATTCTGTTGAATAGAATCTTCAGCGCAAGTAATTTCCTCCTGGTGACCAATTTCTAACTTGTCATCCATGGCGATCATAATATCAGGCGGTTTCAATGGAAACGATATCTGAGCTGGTTTATTTTCAATCGAACTAGACGACCTAGGGCTGGTTTTAACCTACGGAGTATACACTGCAAGTGTGATAATATGACGTATTTAAGCCAGCGAGCTAAGGATTAAGGAGGTAATAAGTTTATCCAATCAAAGCATTCCATTTCGCTTATCCCCGTCTTTACGAGATGACCACGGATGTGATGCCTCCCAACTGCCGAAGATGCGGGAAGGTAAAATGATGAACCTGGATTTTTGCGCTTCGCACGAAATGTTTGGCCTAACCCCGGACTAGAAAATCACGGATATAACGCCTCGCATCTGCCGAAAATGCGGGGATCTGGAGATCTGGGGATGTAAATTAAAAAAAGATTGGCTTCTTCCATTTGCACATACTGTCTAGATTTACAGACTGGGGTCTCCCTGCATCTTATTTCGTTTAGGAAATAAAGATAGTGGCCAAAATCTCAGCGTAACTTTGTTCCAATCTCGTGTTTTGTTGCCGAGGAGGATCTAATGCGATGTAAGCTGAATAGGGGCTCGACGTCTGGCCACAACCACCAAAATTATAAGAGGCCTAGGATAAATAATAACATATACTGCTTTATTTGCGCGTAATGAGCTATTAGATGGGATATATACAGCTATAGGGTCAAATCCTAGGTCAGGATAAGATTCAAACATACGGAGTATAAAGATCTAAGATCTAAGATCTGGTATAGTGCCTAGACCAGCAACCCTATCCTCCTCGCCAATGCCGCTATATCAGCCGTAGTCGGCGCAGGCATTCGGGATTTGACTACGTAACCATGTAGCGCAGAGATATAATGGCGTCTAGTGGCATTTTTGTTTTTAAGGAGGCGCGTGACGTGGTAAACGGATAGCATCAACGGGAGTTTTGTTATACGAAGGATTCTAGTAATACACTAGTCAGGCCAATCGAGGCTATCAACTACATATAAAATTGGAGCCTCCTATAATCGGCCCATGCACTATCCACCCTACACGAGTCAGGCCGTGCGTTAGGCCAAGTAAAGTACTAAGCTCGTTTCGAGAGATCACAATATCGCCTTCCGTCAGCAAAGAGCTTCAATTACCAATCTAAATCGAGTCCTGCTACGGAGTACTCCGTAGTTTCCATATATTTCCCTCGAGAAGGAGGGGCTATGAAACGAAGGTGGAATGTAAATTGATAAATATGGACTATTTTTCTAGGAAATGGAGTGATAAGGCGAAATTCTACAATATCTTTTGAATCTCAAATACTTTGTAAGATCTCTCTTTGTATGCTTTGTAAATTATTATATCTGTAAATTTAGAAAGAAATCCTCGTCTACAGAGGTGCAGATATACGTATATCAGCACTTGGTTATCCAGAGCGAACGCCGCTGCATCATGGCCTTACCTCACAAACACCCGTCATCTCCTCAGATTTGAGCCAAAATTCTTCTCCATATGAATCTCGTCTACCACTTGCTCCACATATCCGCTACCGAGATAGAAAGAAGTTAGAGGTGCAACCTCCAATAGAAAATTGCTCGGCTGCTGAAGTTATAGTTTGTGAGAATTGCTAATCGTGATAGGCATGATGACAGGCGTAGGAAGACAGGGGGCGCAAACGCTCAAATGGATTAGAACACGTTATGTATATGTGGTCAATGATCCAGATTCTCTAGACCCCAGATCTGAGTTATGTCGTGTATCAAGTTACGAACTCAATTCCACCGTTACTAACCCAATTTAATTTTTTTCTTCTATATAGCACATATCTCTATATCCACCTTTTATCTAGGACGGGATAATTTGGTAAATTTCGCAAGCTTAGGTGAGACATGGATGAAATGGTATTGTTCCCGTGACCCATGGGTTATAGGGAAAGAAAATATCCAAAAAAAAATGATATCTAAAAGGACATCGTATATAAAATATCACACTACTTTTCTGCTTATATACATCCAAAGCAAAACTAGAAAAACATTCAGCATATCCAAGTGGTCACCTCCACATTTCGGGCGCGGCTCGCTCTATTCATTTCTTCTTAGGGCACTCGAGTTATTACGCACTAAATATTTTACTATATAATTTACTATATAAAGGTATACCTTCCTAAGAGAAGACTTCCCAACGCAATCGGCAAGCGAATGGCTTTCACGTGACATGGGATCACCTCCGGAGACAGTCCCGTCAACACGTTTGTACAGATCTCACTGTATTGTTTTCTCTTACTTCCTTTTAGTGCACTTCAGGATTATAGCGTGTTACAAATTGGAAGGATAAACCCCCTTGTCCGATAATACTGTTTCAGCAGTTCCTCTTCCTCGATCCTGATTACGCGTGTCATATCCAATGGGGGGCCGTGGAAGTGGGTTCATCTCCAATAAAATAAAGGGGTCACAAAACAGAAACCGAAAAACAAAGCTAGAACTCTACCTGGGGTCTATGCGATGGTCATGATCTTTAATTTTGCAAAATACTTGAAAAGCTGATCTGACATTGTCACAAAATGACTCACTGACCGGTCGGGCCTTTAAATCCCGATGTCCGACTATCAAATCGGGGGCTAAGCAAATATACGCTGACACGATGATATAGAAATATAAATTGAGCGAGGCGCGAAACAAAAGGACCATCCAGTTTGGCTCTTCCCAGACCCATACATTTACCGCCCTTTCTTCTGATCTTGTCTTCTCCCTTTCTTATTGCACAACTCCCATGTCTCGTCCAATCTTGATTGTCGGTGCTGGGCTTGGTGGCCTTTGCTTGGCCCAGGGATTGAAGAAACGAAACATCCCTTTCAAAGTTTTTGAACAGGATGAAAGGCATGATCTCCGGACTCGGGGCTATAGGTTGAGGGTGAGCAGTGAAGGTATCTATGCTCTTCGAGATACCCTGTCGCCTGGGCTATATGCGAGAATACCTGCGCCGAGACAGTTATGGGGGGCGTGAGACTTAAACCCGATGGTACACCAGTCGGCGGCACTGGCCCTCCTAGGCCCCTTGGGTCGGCTCCTTTCCTCGAGCCGCAGACTGTCGATCGGAGCACTTTCCGTGAGGTTCTGCTGACAGGTTTGGAAGAGCATGTGTTTTTCGGAAAGAGCTTCGACCATTACACTGTGAGCGACGGAGACACAATTGCATTCTTTGACGACCGTTCAAAGGAAATCGGAGCTCTCCTTGTTGGTGCAGATGGAGTTCGATCTAGGGTCCGGAAGCAATACATACCAAATTTCAAGGGTATCGACACAGGCATGCGCATCATCTTTGGAAAGACACCCTTGACCCCCGAATTTCTAGCCAAGTTTCCCGAGGCGTATCACCGTGGAATGTCTCTCATCACAGATCCAGACGATCAGTCTCGGACCTCCTTGCTATTTGAATCTATCCGTTTCCCACACGCAGAAAAAGTCTCGAAACCTCAGCTTCCAAACCCATACGTGTATTGGGTACTTGTCACTCATTACTCGAATATTCCGTTGTCAAATGGCATGTCCTGGCAATTAAGCCCAGAGAAGTCAGCTGAACTTGCTCGGCACGTTACCAAGTCATGGCATCCTGACTTACAGGTGCTATTCGAGATGCAAGACGAGGCTCAAACTTCAACCCGATGGATGCTTTCTGCCTCACCCGAGCTGGCCTCTTGGGAGCCATCGCCACGGGTGACTTTACTGGGTGACGCGATTCATCCCATGCCCCCAACTGGGGCGATGGGGGCTAACACTGCCTTGCGTGATGCTGCAGATCTGGCTCGCAGGCTTTCGGCTGCTGTAAATTCACAAACTCTTGGTCTACGGGTCATCGGGGAGTATGAATCTGAGTTGCGTGATTCAGCCAGAACGGCAATAGCATTGAGCTGGCAAGGTGGCATGAGAGGCTTCAGGCTTAGTCCAGCCGACGAATGCGAGAAAATCCTCTTATAATCTGGCTTTAGCTAGGATTGCACTCCTCTCACCTCTCTCATCTCCGATCAATTCTTTTTTTTTTCATTTAATGTATTAGCAAGGTTTAATGCCACCCTTTGGGAGACCTTTGATACCTACTTCGTTGCGATGACAGGAATTTTACCTAGATATTTTTATAAAAAACGCAGATTTCAGATAACGGGCAATTGTTCGCCGAACTTTGTCTATGGAATAGCTACCCGAAGGCGCCAGGTACGGCAGTCTCCAACCGTCAGTTTCTCAGTCAAACTCTGATGAAGAATAGTGAAACCTGTGGGCTAATCAGATGCTCGCAATTGACCTATTAAATTACTCAAACATACACCTATTCCGTCAGCACCATACTTGAAAAGAATGGGGTCCGTATGCTTATTTTCAATGATAGCATATGAAACCTAAAAAAGACTGCCGATATGATTGAGTAGCGCGATACAGTGATAGATTTCAGAAGAATTATTGAGTATTCATACAGAGTGCATGGAATCATTTCCAACACAGCGGCCTTGTTCTTGATCTGCACAAGCCTCATGTCACAACATAACCAACTCAGATAACTTGAAGCTCCTTCAAGCTTAGTGTTTCCTCTTCCGCTTTCTTGAGGTAGCCTTTCGCGAGAAAGTTACTAAGCACCGGAGTATAGTCAAAGATCCAGTCGCGAATGTTGGCGAGGGGCCGAGGCACGGAGTGGAACATTCTTCCAAGGAACCGGGCAAATTCCATGTTATGATTGACATAGTCGACTCGTTGTTTCTCGTAGATCTCAAATGCAGCGCTGACTGCCAGTTTATCACGCAAATCGACACCGTCGAGCGCTTTGGAAAGGAAATAACCGTCCTCAATTGCCATACCCATACCATATGCTGCGTATGGCGAGACCGGATGCACGGCATCACCAACGCATACGACCTTTCCGGTGGACCATTTTTTCATGGAAGGTCGGTTGAAGATTTCCCATCTATATACTTGAGTGTCGAAGTTGGTGGCTTCTAAAAAGCGAGGCATCGGCTGTGCCCAGTCCTTGAGAATTTCGGTAAGATGCGCTTTAGGATCATCGGGGAAAGGCTTCCCGTCCCACGATGGTTCGACCACCCACCACTCGAATCCTGGCTTGCCGTCATGAAGCATAGGGAAAAAGCTAGCCTGATATTGCCGGTCATGTGAAACAACACCGTAGTTCTCAGGGATACCCGGTATGTGGTCGCACCAAGCGAGCCAAAGACGAATTCCGGTGTGAAACAGATGAGGATCACCAAATGCTTGTCGCGAGACTTTCGAGCGAATTCCATCGGCGCCAATGACAATATCGGCCGTGAGCTGATGGCCATTTGCGAAAGAAACCCCAATGCCATCATCTTGCTCCGTGTACGAAGTGAACTCATGATCGGCATGAATGACACCTTCAGGCACAAGGTTCAGCATCTTTTTGAAGATTGATGAACGGAGGACGCCGTAGTGCCAGCCTTTGATACCCATGCGCCTCTCAACCTCCGCATTGAATGGCAGCTTGACGCGTTCCTTTCCCTGCTTATTTGTGAAGTGGGTCACAGTGTATGAACCGACATTGTCCAAGTTTAAGCCATAGGATCTGAGAATCGCCAAAACAGGAGTCGATAGCAGGACCGCGCCTCCAATCGCTTGGCATTCCGGTTGCCGCTCAAAAATTTTCACATCGTAGCCTCGTTGAATCAAGGATAAGCCGCTTGAGATCGAACCAGGTCCTCCTCCAATGATGGCAACCCGTTTCCCGGGACGCCAGTTCAGAGAGGAAGTCATGAGAGGCCTTGAGTTGATAAAAGATGAGTTGATAAAGACAACCCTATAGAAAAGAATATATGAGCAACGAACACACAGCGAAATCGCTTAAATATATAACATTCTAAAGAGGGGTCCCCTCGGTTGAACGAGAAGAACAATGCGACTAATATTCTATGACAATCCCGACACTACATCCCGAAATTGGACCATATTCTTTAGCCTAATTTTAGCTTAGGACCTTCCCCACGAAATACCCCAGCATTCCCCAGGTTTTTTCTTTTTCTTTTTTCTATGCATTGTTCTTTTGCTGCGGGTCTGCAAGCCGAAACTGCCTCGGGTTTGTGGGCCACCCGATCCGGGGTTCAACCCCAAACCCGACCCTGAGGCATCCGGGCTTAAATACCAAACATATAGCAATAACCAAACAGTAACGCTGGAAACACCTCTGTGACAACACAATGGGTGAGTTGAAGCTTTTCAACATGTATCGGACAGTGGAACTAACCTTATCATGTTGTAGCGCCGACTCCAGTACACTTCTTCTCACATGGCTCAACAATGATGCTAGGCGAGGAGTCCTCGTCAGCTCAATATTGGAAGAAATGCGGTGATGAGGCTCTCGAGCACGGAATCAAGGGCATCGTTATTATGGTACGCATCAATATGTTAATAAAATCTGACCCGATCGCCCTCAATGCTAACTATCGGCTGAACGTAGGGTGCTCATTGGGATTGCTTCGGAGACCAAATTCAGGTCTCCACATGCCCAACCCCGGGAAAAGCCCAGTTGCCTACGTCCATCCCTCTAAGTATGTGGATTACAAGCTAAACAATGATCTCGGGACGGCCGACCGATGCATCAAGCTGCTGGCAGACGCCGGGTTCAACGTGAGCGGCAACGACACGTTTGAGTGGATTCACGACGTTTATCTTATTCTCATACGCATGTTTCCCAAAGGATGTCCACCCACCACAGTTATTTCATTAAACGCGCGCTACGATCCCCATTATCATATGAAAGTCGGCTCGACTGTCCGTGAGCTGCGCAACGAGGGATATCTTATCATAGGTACTGGTGGCGCAGTCCACAACTTGTATAGGAATCGGTGGGCTCCTATGCTTCGATTCCGAGACAGCTTTGCGCAGGAATCTGCCCCGGAGCACTGGGCGCTGGAATTCAGACAGGCGGTGGAGGATGTCATCACCACTACCTCAGGGCCACAGCTCAGACGGGCGATGACGAGACTCATGAAGCACCCTCAGTACCGGGATGCACATGCGACGGACGATCATTTCATGTCGGCTATGTTTGTTGCAGGTGCAGCTGGAGAATTTGAGGATGAAGGCTCATTAGGAGTTCTGGGAGCTGAGACTTGGGAGTTGACAAATATGTGTAATTCTCAGTTTACTATTGGAAGTTGGTAGCTGGAGCATGAGCCTTAAGTAATTAGATAAGGCCAATAGTTTACCCTTGATGTATGGAGAGCAATACGGAGATAGCTTCTGGGGCTTCATTGCTGTTGGATTGTATGTATAGAAGGAAAAGGAAGAATTGTATTTATTAAGACTATCACTATAGCTTTATAGCTTCTTCAATGCATGTTACATATCTCTAGTACTTGAGGTTGAGGCTTATCTAGAGACCCTAGTAAATAAGCAATCCATTCAAATTTGACTATACTACAATCAAGAAATCCATATTTAACGCATCTTCCAAACGTGGTACCCAGCTGCAGCTCCCATAGCAAAAAGGGAGGTGAGAATGAGAATGCCTCCTGTTACGAAGCCCTGCTCAAAGAACCCAATTTTGTGGCCAGGGCGTTGCTGCAGGGACGGCAGAGGGCCCATAAACTGGCCCAGTGAAGCCCCAATTTGCGGCTTACCGGCTGACTTCAGCAGAGATTTTGCTAAAAGTGTATTTGGCGACTTGTGCAAAATCTGACCTCGGGATACTTGGAAGAGATCCGGTGCATACCGGGTTTCTTGACTAAGAGCGGTGTTGAGAGGAAGAACTGGGCCAACTAGAGGGAAAGAAGCGCGGTCAGAAAATGAAAGAACCCGATGAATGAGATAATCTGTCTTACTTAGCATATCGTAAGGGACATGGTTGATCCATGCCAATCCGGCATCGATTGATTCAGAGATATACTTCGCCGCAGTGGGTGCAGCAAAGGTATAGGTTGCATTGAGTGTGCCCATGCTGGAAGGATTGTTAGCATAATTATGGGCAGATGAAATATGAATATATGGTATACTGACGAATTGCAGAAGTTGATCGCGTCATCTAAACTCGCGACCTGGTGAATCAAGAGAAGCCGCTCATCAATCTTGGACTTCAGGAGAAAAGAGTTCCTAGCTGAATGTTAGATCTCAAGTTTACGGGGCGCAATTCAAGTAGTTGCAGGAGACTGACCGATCTTGAACCTTCGCCACGGCCCAACCAGTCCCAGAAACGACGACTTGACAACCCTCTTCTGATGCAATACGTTCCAACAGGGAGGCACCGCTGCCTTTCCTTGGCACCTTCTTGGCCTGTTGCAATCCACGACCCAAATAACTCGGAGCATGCTTGATCAACAGATCAATAAAAGGCTGAACGCAGAAGTCATTCACAAGAATGACATCGGGCGAATATGGGGAGCGACCATTGAATGCAAAACAAGAAATGACAAGGTCGACTACTGCATCTTCCAGATTGGCAGTGCGATCCACTATAGCCACTGTACGCAGCTCCTCTGGTTGTGACTGCTGAGACAATACAATAGCCGAGCGAAGAAAACCATCATCCGGTCGTGTCTCAACGATGGCAAATGTATCCCTATCGAGAGTCTTGGGAAGAATCGAGCGAAGAAGTGAAGAAACTCGCAATGTGGTCTTGGGAATCTGTTAAACAAGTTGATAAGTCAATATATCTTTGGAGACTGAAAGTAGAAGTAGAAATAGTGTACCTCGACAACGAAGGAGTTCCCTGCCGCAAGGGCCGCGCTAAGGGCCGCGATCACAGAGTAGAAGAGGGTATGCTGCGAGGGAATGACATAAACAATCCCAGCACCTCTCTTCTGATCTCTGTTATCCTTACCATTTGCGATTCTGTATTCGACTTCCAAGTTTCTCGCAACATCGAGAGAGGCGTAATGCGTGTGGATCTCTTTCAAAGCCAAAGTGACCTCCATCTGCACCTCTTCTGGGGTGTTGCCCGAGTCATCTGTAATAGCCTGCTTGAACTCATTCAAGTTCTCAAGAATGGAGTTTTGTAGGCGGTGGAATTCTTTCTGGCGATATCTGATGTTGCCAGTTCTGCCATCGATGCTACCAGCCACGATCTGGGCCAATTGACGAGGAAGATTCGAAACAGTTGAGTTGGCCTCCATTTTTCCAAACAAGTTTGACAAAATCCAAGCTGAATTAGAGTGGATATTATCTCCCAGGCTGTGACAATCAATATTATTCTGCCGTCATTTAGCATTGTGTCAACGTTCATGGTATAGTATATGCCTCGGGTTTCTCTCGGCTGTCCACATTCTAGCCGATGATCCGTGTCGGATGCCTTGGGGTACAGTGGCAACCGACCCAGTCGGACGCCTAGCACCATAAATCCGGCATGTTCTCAATAATTTCATAGTTGGTCATGCGTGGGGCTTCGCGAGTAGAAAGATCCGCCCCCGAACCCCGAATTATGAGGGACGTAGAAGTTCACTAAGGTACTCCAGATTCACCCCGTGAAGTTGAACTTCCTGTACTAGCTTGATTCCCGCAGAGAATCCTTTTTTTTTTCCTTCTCGCTTTACCAATTTACTTCCACTATCAATCATGTCTATGACTACCACAACCAGCACCCGGACAACAGCTCCCTTTGCTATTCTGGAGGGCTATGAAGTCCATCACAGTGGACATGAACAACCAGCGCCTGTGATACCTCCTTCCGCAGCACCCGCCAACCAACCATCAAACTGGCCCGCTGATCATCATCGAACTCCCGCATATCGTCCTATCAACCGAAACCTGGATCAGAGCCAGCGGCCACCGGGCGCAAATAACCTAGAACGAGGTATCATTACAGTCATGCTACACGGTGTCTGGCTCAACGCAGTATGTTTTCTTCCTGATTTCAATTGACAGAACAGTCAAGATGACTAACTGGTTTCAGGTCGTATCTCGAGTTTGGCGCTTTACGGGAGGAAGAGTAAATGATCGGGTTTTCCATTACGAGATTGGTGGTGAATGGTAGATACGACTGGGAAAGCTTCTAGCTAAGTGGTTTTGAATAAGATTATTCTGGTATTTTGTTATGGAACAATCATCCGTTCGAGTGGAATCACCGTAGGATGACAAAAGCTTGAAAAATTCCTCTGATTGCTAGAATTCCAAATAAATCCTACTGCTGATTATGCTAAGACGTAGAGGAATATGCGCACCTAAGCATCCAGGGGCAAATGATGACTGCTGATCTGCCGGGAAGTGAACACCTGGGCAGGGTAGAGAGTTGAGTACATAATATTTATATGTACACCTGGGCACCTGCAATAATTCGAGTCTGCGTGCCTATCCACGATTGCCTATATAATTCTCTTCGCAGCGGAAATATCCATCACTCCTTCACCTTCGGTGACCTTAGCTTCAACGATATCATATACCGGGATCTCGGCAAGGCGAGAGATGATATGGTGCAAGGTAGGCAGCTGATTCCAATCAAGGCCGTCGATCTGAATGTTTCCTTTAGATGCTTTGAGCACGCGGGTAATTTTGGTGGGCACAATTTGGGACTCCAATGCGTAATCGACGAATACTGGATATTCTGCCTCCGGGGTGCCCTTGCCCTCTCGGCCCACAGATGGCATATAGCGATGTACCAAAATACCGGTATCGGCAGACCCGGCTTCAGCTGATGAAGTCTTCTCTGCCTCACTAAGACCAGTCAGTGTCATCCGGCCCCACACCGCGCCTCTCCAGCTTGTGGTAACATGATAAGACTCTTCCCGCTTGTCCACGTCGATGGCGCTGAAAACCTTGGGGAATCCAAGCTCTTCTCTTCCAGAGAGGATGGGATCCGTGAGATCCTCAAACAGGATTGGAAGATATGCTCCTCGGGTGATTTCTCCATTGGCTTGCGGATACTCAATGCCGTGGATGTAGAGCCCCATGTGGTTATATCCTCCTCCTGCAAGCCAGTTCAAGCCATCCAAAGTGGTCTGGGAGAAAGTTGCGTAGGCCACGCTGCCATGTCCGGAAAAGCTGTATGTGTCGTTAGGCAAAAGGTTCTTCAGCAGGGTCCGACTGGTTTTGATCTTGATGGAAGCTGTGCAGAAGCTAGCCTTCGCCGATGCCAAAGCTCGGCTACGACCCCAAAAGTCCTGGCGAGGGCCGGGCATGGGGCCAAACACAGATGGTTGCCGGTAATAAACCTTGGGGTTTTGAGCGCGCTGGTGCTGTCTCAAATGTTCGGTAGCGGAGTCAAATTCGTCGTAGTCGTAAATCTCAGATATGATTTTCATAACTTTGAAAATGAAAACCATTAGCTCGGGGAAGTGGAAAACTTGGGGTAGAGTAGGTTACAATATTGAGAAGAACCAAGAACATACCTGTGTCCATCGGCAAGTGGCTTTTTCCAGATTCCCGTGTATATTCCTGAATTCGGGTGACTCGTTCGTGGCGTGCCTTTTCATAAAGCTTCAATCGCTCATGAACCTCTTCCTTCGGAAGATCACCCGGGAGTAGGACACCCAGAGCAATACCATCTTCGAGTGCCATGGCCCCGCCGGATGCGCGGTAAGGTAGGAATGGATGAGCTGCATCTCCAATCAATGCCAGGCGGTGATCAACCCAAGTGGGAAGGGTTTCCATGTCGAGGAGAGGCCAAATTTTCAGTGTCTGCGCATCCGCTTTCGCCAAAATTTTGCAAACTACAGGATCGTAGTTTTTGTAAATCTCAAGCAATGTGTCCTTACCAACAGCCTGGTCCCAGCCTCCACATACTCCAATGTTGGTGAGATTGTCGGAGTGAATGCAAACAAAGTTGAGCATCTCATTGTTGACGCAGGGGTAAATAACCACCTTGCTATCGGAGCTGTGCCACATATCGACAGATCCCAAATCCCGCACCAGATGGGCAGTCTCGGGATCATCAAGCACTTCCTTGCGCGAGACCATGAATCGGAAGGCATTTTTGCCTGAGCTGAAGGCCTGCTTATCGGAACCAGCAACATGACGCCGGGTCACAGAGTGCACACCATCAGCACCGATAACAACATCACCATGAACTTCAGTTCCATCCTCAAGAATTACAGTGGCAGTCTTTGGATCAACCCGAGTAACCTTACTCGAGGTATGCAGAACCGCAGGCTTTCCCTTGCCGGGGCCCCTGGCCTTGTCTTTCAGCCCTTCGTGAAGGTGGGCGCGATGAATCAGAAGCCATTCCTTTTAACCATTGTCAGTCTACTCCCAAGAGCCCAGGAAAGACAATTTCTTACATGCTGCCAGGTGCCTGCAAACTGGGTAATGCTCATAGTGAACGCGAGTTTGCCATCGGAGGTGTAGTCTCGAACCTTTATTTTTGATTGTTAATTCTTCACGTTAATCATGAACAGATTTGCGAGGTTTTTACCTGCTCCGCTCGTACAGCGCCATACTCAAAGGCATTCACCCCAATCCTCTTCAGAAGACCGTTTGCATTAGGGGTAAGGTGAATGGCTGCGCCGATCTCGTTAGTGAATTGAGATCGCTCAAACAACTATCACTCGGTCAGCCGAACTGAATGCAAACCTACCACCAACCAAGCCTCAAAAGCCTTCTTACCTCGACTTCGTGACCTTGCTGACGAAGAGCGATAGCTGCCGCTAAGCCACCGATGCCGGCCCCGACAATGAGCACTCTCAAGCCCTTTGCAGGGGAGTTCACGTCCATCTTAGTCTTAGTGTTCATTTCCAGACACTGACGGGGGTAAACGATCGAAGCAGGGGAAAAGTCGCAATAGAAAAGAACATGTTGTTCCCCGCTATTGAAATCCGGCTAAATGGTGGCATCTACACTCGGCTCTATCGCTGCATATTCCATAACGGATCTATCCTGCTGCATTGCAGGCTGCCGATGCAGTTCGGCTCCACATACCCGAACGTTGCGACCCGATTTTGTTCATAGATCTATTTCTATTTATTAGTCGAGATACTGGATCCTGTTTCTCGATATAATTTGCACCCGAAATCTCATTATGCCGAATCCCATCAAGGACATTACCCGCGTGGACGCGACTTCATTCCCCTACATTTTCGAGGAGAACGTTACTATCACTCTTGCGAACGACGCCGGGATTATTCGCTGCAATGTGTACCGCCCCAAAGATGTTCCCAACGCACCCGTTTTGGTGACATATGGCCCCTATGGTAAAGATCTTCACTACAAAAAGTACATCGCTTCTAGCGTTTTTTTCTTTTCCACATCTGGCGCTGATTTGATTATCTAGCTTCGCAATCAATTCCTATAATGAAGTGAATCCCGAACATCACTCCGATCACTCTGCATGGGAGACTCCAGACCCTGGCTTTTGGACTAGGCATGGCTATGCTGTCGTTCGTGCCGACGAGCGGGGCTTAGGCCAGTCTCCTGGTGTCTTGGACGCCATGTCTCGTGGCACCAGCGAGGCCTTTGTGGATGTGGTTGAATGGGCTGCAGAACAGCCTTGGTCCAACGGAAAGGTTGGCCTTCTTGGTATTAGTTACTACGCCGGCAGCCAGTGGCGTGTCGCTGCGCGCCAGCCCAAGGGATTGGCTTGTATCATTCCCTGGGAGGGAATGTCCGATTACTATCGTGATCGTTGCCGCCACGGCGGTATCCTCTCGAATGCCTTTATCAAGTTCTGGTGGGATCGCCAAGTTGTATCGAACCAATACGGTCTCGCCGGACGCGCAGACCGTAACTGGGGTCCTGATACCATCGAAGGCGACCTCTCGGAGGAAGAACTGGTCGCCAACCGGAACGATCAGAATATTGACAATCTGAAGAACCGTTTCCGCGACGATCCTTATTATTCTTCCAAAGAGTATAACATGGAGGATATCAAGGTCCCCCTCCTTAGCGTGGCTAACTGGGGTGGTATCCTGCTGCACCTGCGTGGTAATGTGATGGGTTATATGAATGCCGGATCGGACTTGAAATATCTTCGTTTCATTACCGGCCGCCACGATTTGCCATTCTACTACAAGGAAGAAGTTGAGATTCAAAAGAGCTTCCTGGATGCCTTCTTGAAGGGAGAAGACAAGGATGGCTGGAGCACGGGTGAAGCACCCAAGGTTGATGTTCTGCTGAGAAAGGGCAACGTCGGTTTTAACAACGCCGAGGCAGAGAAGACCTATGGTCGACGAGTTGAGAACGAGTGGCCTATTGCCCGAACTCAGTACACCAAATTCTTCTTGACTCCCTCTCAGCAGCTGGAAACCGAGACACCAGAGCCGGAATCCAAGCTGGCTAAACTCAACTATCGTGCGCTGGGAACTCTCGATAAACCCTCCCTCCTGCAATTCTCCACCCCCGCCTTCGAGCAGGAAACTGAGGTCACAGGTCACATCACAGCTCATTTGAACGTTTCTGTTACTCCAGACAAGGGAGGTCATTTGCCTTCCGATATTGATCTCTTCTTGACTATTCGATACATCTCCCCCTCGGGAGAGGAAGTTTTCTATACTGGAACCGCCGGAGATCCCGTGCCTCTGACCAAGGGGTGGCTCCGTGTTAGCATGCGGAAGATCAACGCCCAGCACTTGAGGCACAATGAGCACATTCCCTACAGAGACTACTTCTCGAGCGACGTCTTGCCCGTCATGCCTGGGGAGGTATATCCCGTTGATGTGGAGATCTGGCCTACCAACGTCGTGGTTGAGAAGGGCGGCAAGCTCATCCTGGAGGTGGCGTCCGGCGACACACAAGGCTCAGGCATCTTCCAGCACAATGATCCGACTGACCGGTACGTTCCAATTTTTCTTCACAAGCTAATGACGATTTATTGACATGCTATGTAGTGCCGCCGAGAAATTGCAGGGAACTAACCATATTCACTTCGGATCGTCCTACGAGAACTTTGTTACCTTACCGATTGTCCCCAATGCGTAAGATACTGGGTAGAATAGGAACGGAAATTTAGCTTATTGCCGAAAAAATGAGCCGATGTCTCTAGACAAGGTGGAGCCGGGGCATCCGAGAGGGGGCCCAAGGTGATTTGTATCATTGGATCATAGCATAAAACTAGAAACCGATAGTACAGAAATAATTTGATCGTTATTTACGAATATATATCTCTCCTTCAGTACTCCGTAGACACACAGGTTCAATTTTTCAACAGTTATTGCCCTCCTTCTAACATATCGAATATTACTCACCCTTACTCAAAATGAGCACCGAGCTTCCCTCCATCAACCGGTATATTACCACCCACAACCAAAATGGCAAAGCCGTCTTTTCCACCCGGGTCCCCGAGCCTATGCCCAAACAGGTCGTCAATGGCATCCCGTTCGGCTTGGCATACACCTCCAATGAATTCCCAGCCCAGCTGTCTGAAGACGCCGACATCAAGAAATATGAGGCCAATCTAATTACGCCCCCTGGCCTTGCTATTTCAACCGGAACCGTTTGCCGAATTGTCGACTTCCCACCCGCTGCTGAAAGTCCTATGCATCGCACTGTTTCGTTGGATTACGGTGTCGTTTTGGAAGGCGAGGTTGAACTTTCTTTGGATGGCGAGGAGAAGCGAGTTATGAAGAGAGGCGACATCGCAATTCAGCGAGCCACAAACCATGCTTGGAAGAATGTTACACCTAACGGCGGATGTGCGAGGATGCTGTACGTCCTTACTCCTTGTCAGCCCATTAAGGTTGAGGGCTTGGGAGTACTCGGCGAAAACGTTGAGGGTATTGATGTGGAGGCTAGCCAATAAATAGTCCGAAGGCTCCTGGTCCTTATATGGATACGAGTAACTACATACATTTCGAAAAACCTGACTGAATTAAGTTTGAGCATTCCCTGTCCCCGAATGTGTAGCACTTCAACTTTATTGGAAATAGTGAACTGGGATTGAATGATACATGAATACATGAGATACATGAATACATGAATTTTTCTTGGAAGAAAGAAACCATCGGTTGCTGTCTTGCTGTCAGCTAGCTAAGAGAGAGCAAGGAAAATCAAGGTGAGCAAGATTTATGAACCTGAGGCATAAACGGACTCAACAATTTTACAGTGTATTTTACAATATCACATGATCGTACGGAGGATACCATACACAATTTTCCATGTCTCCTGAATTCTTTGTTATTTTAGAGAGTGACCACTGATACCATACATTGTCAAACAGATTTCTGTATGGGATTTGACCGGGCCCCGGGGCAATATTTCGCTTACTCAGCAGCAGTCAATCTGGGGAAGATCTGGGGCCGATGTGGTCCACCTTCCGATAGCTTTAGCTAACCCCTCGGTCACCCACACAAAAGTCCCTTGAACTTCGCGACGCACCATGATTAGCCCTCACCAATCGACTGACACTGCTCCTATATCCAACACGCCATGCACCTCTCCCAGGGGCACTGCTCGGGGGTTTTACCAATGTGGAGTCTGCAAGAAAGAATATGGCCGAGCGGATCATCTCATCCGTCATGTCCGATCTCGTATGTTGCTTGGACAGATATAAAAGCGGGTGGTTTGAACGAGACTTATAGCTGATATCCTGATACAGATACTGCGGATAAACCGTTCAGCTGTGAGATATGTGGCAAGGGGTTCGGAAGAATGTCGGTTCCTTGTATAAGCAATACCACCGTATCTCGATTTTAATATTTTCTCAGTGATCTTCTTCGACGACATGCCCAGGGTCATACCTCTGCGCATAGCCATAATAGGCCCAATCTACTCCCAAGGATCAGAGGACGTGTATCACAGGCATGCAAGAGCTGTGCGGCGTCCAAGCTCAAGTGTGACGATGAGAAACCATGTCGACGATGTTCGCGGCGAAATCAGACCTGTCAATGGTCTCAGGGGGATGACCTTAACGACTCGGCCCACGGTAAGATACCTACTGCATCGGTGGATGCCCAGAAATGATGTTCCTAACTGCGATATCAGAACAAGAAATTTGGCCTACCGATCAATCGGAGGAGGGCCAAAATGGTGAGTTCAGATATTGTTTAGTCCTCGACATATTCATGACTTTCACTTACGAGATAAGACTTTCTCCCTATTGTACAAGACCCAGAGCCGACGAGACCGCATACTGGCGGCGTTCCGGGAAATTCTGGACCTGAGGCTCCGTCTGATGATATGATAATAACAAACGAAATTGATGGTATTTTAACCCTGCCCATGATTATCAAAATATGCATCTGGAAGCTGAGTCATGATTTAAGGAGCGAGTGTCAGCTCCCTCCAATACGAAAGCCTCAACCAAGAAATGGAAGGTTTGAATGCGATTCAACTGATGGTCAGTAAAGATTGCTAATGTTAGCAGCTATGTCACTGTGGACTTGAACTAATCAATGATACAGGAATATGATCAGTTGAATGTGTATGGCGGTATGAACTTTGAGCTAGGGTTGACGGACGAAGATCTCGAATTCTTGGACTCCTTAGATAGAATGGGCCCCCCTCAACGGCCTCGGGTTATTGAAGAACAACCGGCTCAGCGAGGTATCCCGACTGGCTCAGAGTTTCCCAGCCACGTCGAGACAAATCCTCTCCACAATTCCCCTTTATCGCATTGGACTCCCCGTGCAGAAGACAATGCGTACATGGACCAGCACTATCTGTCCGTGCCCAAGCACCTTGACACTCCGGAATCTATAGATGTCTCCAGGCCACGTATCTTTGCAGAGCCCCTGTCAAAAGAGAGCCGAGATGCGGCATTTGCATTGGTTGTCAAAATGTGTCAGCAAAAGGCCTTGAATCGAATCATGCAGTGCTTCCCAAGCGCAGAGCTCCTGGATAGCCTGATTCAAGTTTTCTTTACACAACAGAGATCCAACATTGACATTTTCATTCATGAGTCAACCATGCAACTGAATCAGGAAAGCCCAGAGATGATTTTAACTCTCGCCGCCGCGGGAGCAGTTCGCTCCGACGTGGAGGCAATCCAGAGACTTGGCTATGCTATGATGGAGGTAGCTCGGCTCCAAGTAAATGGCAAGGTATTTCTTGCCTGCTATGACTGTTAGATATTGAGGTGCTAACTTCCCGTAGTATGAAGACAACAATATTCTAACTCGCGATTTGAAACAACAACAAGAATATGCCCTAATCCTTCAAATTGGACTTTGGAGTGGTGACAAACGGCGCGTTGAAATTGCCGAGAGTTTCGCGCAGCCAGTCGTGACAGTCAGTCAAGCACCTTGTTTCCTAGACATCGTAATCGTCTCCTGACTTTCGAGCAGATGCTGCGACGAGCCTCGCGCTTCAAATATGAAGCATATTCCACCATCATTCCCACTGTGACCGATGACGATGCAACTCTTGAACGCAAATGGCGCGAATGGGTAGAGCACGAGTCCTTCAAAAGGTGATAAAAAGATGCCTCCCATTAGAGTGATTGCTTTTTCGAAGAAGGAATGCTGATACAGGATTACAGACTTGCTCACCACATGTTCATTCATGACGCCCAGGCATCTATTTTGCGATCCATAAATCCACTTATGTCACACATGGAGCTCGATCTCCCTATTCCCTTCTCACGCAAACTTTGGGATGCGAAGACCGCCGCTCAGTGGAGATCTGTATATCTCCAAGAGGTTCAAAAAACGATATCTCCCATGCCATCCCTGGCCACCACCCTGCAAAATATCTCCTGTCTCAGCCGCTTCCCTCGTCATGGAGATTTTCCATTGGCTGCACTAGCAAGTGTCCACGGCATATCAACGATGATAGCAAACTGCAACCAAACACGTCACGGACCATCCGGCCAGTGGAGCGCGATGGTCATGAATTTATGGCAGCAAGAACTACTACAAGTTCTGGAACAATTTGAGATTGTTGCAGTTGAGCCTCTACAGCGCTTGGTACCGGCTATTCGGCTGATCTACCAAACCGTCTCACTTTCTTTATACCTGCCACTGGGTATCCTTGAGACTTTTTCAGGGAAAGACGGTGAAAAACGGTCGTCTGATATATACAAATCATTTATTCAACCAATCAGTGCTGCAAATATGAGACAAGCCAGCTGGCATGCTGGCCAGGTGCTGCGCATCGCAAGATCTATACCTCCTGGGTCACTCACTGATTTTTGTGCTACTTGTCTCTACTTTTCTGCGCTTGCATTATGGTCCTTGAGCACCATATTCTCATCTAACGGTCTGGCTTCAGGTGTCGGAAATGATAATGATGAAACAGTGTTTCTCTTGGATGGCGAAAGTGACAGCGCTGCGCTACGTCGATTCACACTATCTGGGCTGGGAGCCCCGGCTTTATCATCTCCTAACCGACATGTACCTTTGAATGATCGAGCGGCGGTCATGCGTTTCTTTCAACAGTTGCTAGGCTTGAAGTATCGAGGAGGTGCCTCCGATCAGCAAACGAGAGCTTTGAATAATGCGTTCTCCGTACTAGGAAATACTAATTCCACGACCATTGGAGGGCAGCGGAAGAGAAAAAATCCTGAAATTTGATAGGAAATAATCGCATGGAATGCTTCTAACCCGCCACCGCTGTAGCAGATAAAGGCCCAATGGTATTTGAGTCGACTAGCCAACGGTGTAGGTCATTTATGTCCACAGTATTTGGTATTATGGTCCATTTCATCCTCTTACTGCGCGGTTTTATGACCAAAGTTGGTAAACAGTAAGCCTCTCTATCAACAGTTAAACAACACCTTGAGTCGCAAGGCTATTCCAATAAAGAAGCCCACAACTGTCTCAATAAAACCACGGTCCGATGGACTGTACTGTAGGACATTATCAAAGGCATAACAAAACGAGCTTTTCGGATCAACAAAACGGTCATATGAATCACGTATAGCGCTTCCATGTTGGTCGAAGAATGCTTGAGCCTCAGTACGTGTTCCGAAGACGAAATCTTCATATCCTCCCGAGGTGACAACAGCATTTGGTGTAAACTGTGTGTGTCCAAAAATCTGTTCTATTTTCGGGGCATCAAGAGGAATTATTTGATGTCGTTGATATCGATCACAGATTGAGCGGCAGAATGCAGCATGTTCGCTCCATTTTTGTGGGAAGCTTGACGTTGAGAGAGGAGATAGTCCAACCACCACACGAATGCTGTCGGGGCTTTGTATTTCTTCTTCTGTTCCAGGGTGTAACTTCTCCGTCACGTAGACCTTGAGGGGAATAGCGAAGACATGACTGCCGGCGGACTTTCGATAGCCCTCGGTGGAAAGGGCTCCTTGCAGGACTGTAACAGATGGCCAAGAAAGTTGGGCAAAGGAGTGAACGAATGGATCTGCTTCAGGGATTGGGAGATGAAGGAGTGGATCTTTATTCGGTAGACGAACACCCTGGATGTATTTGGTAATGATCCCCAAGGTCTTTGCCATCGTTCTGGTCTCCGTGGCGTGTATGACTCGAAATTCATGGATAAAGTCATCCATTGTAAGAGAATCCAATTTTTCGGACAGGATTGTCAACTGCATTATGTGCGTGCGTGGTGAAGAAGGGTAATATGAAATTGCAGAAGAAACTGTATTTCCATAATCCCAGCGTCTATGGAAGGGGAACAGTGATCCTGGTGACATCCCTTCCGGCCTTGTGTGGGCCACTCGGTTGTGTGGCCTCCCGTGACCCTCCGCGGTCGCATCCATATCAGCTTCACCTGGTCGAGGCTCATATTTGGTCTTAGTACTGTGCGTGCTATACCATTTCCAACACACGGGACTAATTGGTGCCATTGCGCGCGTCGCATATAATAGAGCTATCTGACGGGAATCTGCTTTGACAATGCATAGTCATTTCAGCGATATTTGAGTATCCGTGCAGAATAAATACTAACAACTAGAAAGGAAAATATAAGATAAAGGATGTGCCAAAAAAAGAAGGCAAAAAATAAAAACATACAACAGTGAGGATTCGCTGGTGGTCACCCACCCAACTACTAACTCACCGGCGTGTGGCTTAAGTACGGCTGAGCGGACGGGAAGCCCTGTTTTCCACACCCTATGGTCGTATGTACAGGATACATTATTGGAGAGCTATATACTGTACTATAAGCCGACAAAATATATTGGAATAACCCTAGATCTAATTAGGTATTCTTTTGGACAGTAAAGTTGATTCTCGTATTTTAGCAAAATAAGCGCTTTTCCCAGCTTAGCTTGCCTACGGTACCATTACCTATCCTTAACACTACGCTAATTTAGGACAAATAATCGTATATGATTAGAAACTGCTGGATATATATAGTACAAGAATAAGGTTACTAGCAATACATAAAATGAGCCAGATAAGAATCAAAAGCCCTTTGACTACCATCAAAGATCGGTATATTTCTCGACTTGTTCGTATCAACCTCTTCTTGATGCCTTGATTGCCGGCCTACGAATCAGCACCAGGTAGCGCATCTAATGACCCAGGCCTCCAACAATGAGAATTTCCACTATAACAAACAATCTATCACTCCTAAATTTTGGGACCTCATTCCGATGCGTCGGATTAGGAGGTGATATGTACTGCACCGGAGCAAGCGACGGTAGTGCTGGGCATGAGAGAACCCATTGTAAATATTTCTGCTGTCTCGTTGCCGTACGACGCCATTGTTACTGCTATTGTGGTCATACCGGCCCCGACGCATTGGTAACAAGCTGTTAGTGGGATAAATACAGGGAGCAATGTGGTTAGAACACCTGAAAATCCAATAAGAGATGGCTCAGTCATCCTATCACTGTTAGAAAGTGCAGCTAGGGTGGCACCACGAGACTTTAACAAATTGAAGAAATCCCAATCGCCATTCATCTCAGCAGTGTAGAGTGCAGCATGTCCATACTGTGAGACATCTAATCCTCCATTAAGAAGAATCTCGCCATAGATTCATCCTTTCTTAGTACAGCTAGCTTCAATGTCTTTGCTGCGTGCCACCCCACGCCGTATTTGAGTAATATGGTGATAATATTCCGTCGACCGTCCTCCACAGCGCGATATAACGGTGAAGGGAAATACCGCTCTGGATCAGCACCACGCTTAAGTGGCAAATCTACTAGCTCCAGATTCCAGAATTGCACCGCAGTGAAGAGGGGCGAGAAGTCAATCTTATACCAGCACCGAACGCGTTTATCGTAGTAGAAGTTGGCCTGTACACCGAAGTCTAGCAAGACCACCACGATTTCGGTGTGTCCGCCCCGAATTGCCACCACTAGAGCGTGCTGGATACACATAATACTTGAGAGGCTGTATCCCTGCCCGATAATAGGGTGGGTAGAAATATCCCGAAATTCCGGATGCAATTTATCTCCTATTCTCCAGGGCACGGAGGTTTTCTCTTCTTACATTTTTGAAGTCATATCTTCCGTTGCTTCTACCACTGCTGAGGATGCTTGAGGCTTGTCGCGGGAGATCTTCAGTCCATCGATCAAACTCCCAACTTGAAAACAGAAATTCCGCTCGGCGAGAAAGGAAATGGCGGCTCCATGCTTATTTTGGCTGTGAACGCGATATAAACACGTAATAAGTGTTTTGTATAGATGAGGATTGGTTCGGATCAAGGCGTAAATATCCCCCTGTTGGCAAAGGCATGATGTGATGGTCCATAGGATCCCAGGGGGTAGTTGGACGAGCACCATTCGATTTCGTACATGCATTTCTGCACTCCATACATGGAAAGTTGAAAATATGTAGAGTGGAAATGTCATTCTTGCGTATGTGTGGGTTGGTGCGCGCTAGTTCATGTTAGTCGGTTTTTGTGATGTAGAATATAGGAGCTGAGACATCCCAAGACTACTCCCTACTTTACTATACCTTGTTAAATCCGGGACGAAATTAGAAGTGAATAGAAAGCAAGTGGAAGAACAGCTATATCATTCCATGCGTATGGTAGTATTATCTTTGAACTTAGATCACATAACCCTTTCTACATCTAATTATGTTTCTCTCCAATACTATAACAAGCACATACGACCATAGGGTGTGGAAAACAGGGCTTCCCGTCCGCTCAGCCGTACTTAAGCCACACGCCGGTGAGTTAGTAGTTGGGTGGGTGACCACCAGCGAATCCTCACTGTTGTATGTTTTTATTTTCGCTTCAGAATTCTATACATTAATTACAATTAGTTAATTGTCTGTTAACTATGAGCCTCACGTCCGTAAGAAACTAAAAATGTCAGATATGCCGTACATGGTATGTGTCAGACAAGAATCTGACCCGCTCCCCAGCGAATCGAATCTCTCCACAGCTCCTCCTGGTTTTCCTGGGGACTCTGTTATACGCTACAGGTGTTGCTCAATCCGATCGATTGGATGGAACTTGAGGATTACGGGTGTGTAGAGAAATTCAATGGATGGGGTAGATTCTGTTAAAGACTACAGATACTGGATGGGTCCAAGGGACCTGACCTCACCACGGGCGGTGAACTCGTCTCCGCCTCTTTCTGCCCTTCCCCTCGGGCGTTTCAATGATCCGCCCGTCAGTATGCAATAATAATTTGTGGGGCTATTGACGTACGCTGAATAGACCTGGCGAACGCCGTACTATCAGTCGTCATTTCATGACACGAATTGTGTGCAGGTTCTGGCAAGCCCTTGGTGTCATACATAACCAAAATCGCGTGTAACAGGATTGACACTAAGATCTACGAGGAGTTTGGTGAGCTTCATAGATGCTATTGAATGATGCTTCTTCGGAGGGCAAATCCAAGCAGACATCACTCTTGCAATAGTTTCTGACACAATTGGCATTCCCCGCCCTTTCAGCTGCTAGCCCCGGAGGGAATACTACAAGCGTGTCACCGAATCGAAAAGTTGGAAGATAAAAGAGATTCCCTGTACTGGCAGGAGGCTAGAAGTTGGAAAATTTAGTTGGTAGATACAGTCAAAAAGGAGGTTGTTTTTTGATCTCTAGATTGCGTCTAGGCTTTTAGGTCACATACAGATTAGACATTCCTCTTATATTTTTATATTTTTACAGTCAGGGGATGTCACATGCAGCATTCCTACTGCTCCATAATGTGTTATTCGTAGGCGCCTGGCCCCCGGCCAAAGTCGTATTGGATGCTGGCTCTTCATTCTATTAAATGAGGCCTGAGATATATGCGTCTATTTTTGATTGACGTGGGATGGCAAAGCTACGGAAAGATCCCTGGTAGATGGCTACGGAAGAGAGAGATAACGAGAGATTTCAAGGAACTGATTCACGTAGCTCTCTACGTGCCAGAGAAGCAAGCAGAGGAAGGATCAACAAAAGCAATACTAAGTGCGAATGACGATCTAAATACTGCTATGAAGCTCCTGAGCTATGCGGAAACATAAGCAAATATAGAGAAATTTCAACCGGCATCTACCTATATGTATCATAGACCTTCTGTGAAGAGCTACAAAAGAAATTCTGGAAAATCAGAAATCAATGACAGTCACAAACAATTAGAATTTTTTTGCTATAGAAGACAGGATGACATGGAAAAGTTAGGAAAGAAAAATATGATTCCCTCTATTAAATTTGTAGATCAAAATATCACCCCAAGCTCCATGCTCCAGAATATTGAGTAAGATTCGCTCCGTCCTCGATAGGGAATCTATGCCTCGATGGCAGTGCACTATGGATGAGCGTTAGTATCGATAATAACTCGGATGGGGGCGCAAGTGTGTATTACTTCTTTTCCAGTAGGGCAGCAAGCAATGGTGTTCTTGCAGGTAGCTCCCTCCTGGCCCTCCTCGACAAAGCCTAGTATATATTAGTATAGTCTCTAGGTAAAACATATAGAGAATAGGACATACCGAGAATGTTCAAGTTCTTGATCAGGCTCTGGGATACACAGGCGGAATCGCCAACACCGATCAAGTTGTTCAGGAGTCCCTCGGCAAGGAGGTTACCGAGAACGCCATTGCCGCTGATATCCTTCTTGGGATTGCAGCAGGAGACCTTGCCGGCCTGGCATAGGCCACTAGCCTGGGCAATGGTAACCTTCTTAGGCTGGCCTCCGTTGACGGAAGGCATAGCGACGGCCGAGACCGCAAGAGTAACAAGGGTAGCGATGGTGAACTTCATTGTGAAAGAGAGAGTGGAAGTGTTAAGAAAGGTGTTCTTGAAAGTGATGGTTGATAGAAGGATGTGAGTGGAATAATAACTTACAACAGGCCCTCTGGGTACCCTTTTATATTCTAAACTTGACAACTCCTAGGGTCAGTGTGGTTGAACACCCCTAGCTCTCTAGGGGGAAAACACCCCTGAGCTGGGAATGCCAGGAAATTTCAGTTCTACAATCCGCTACCCAGGTAGCATGCCAACGCCGATCGATTATTACCACACCTTGATTTTACCTACATTCTTTGGTTTAGGTATTTCCAAAATATTACTTCGATAAGGGGAGAGGGTTTATCGCAAATTTCCAAAGGGAATGCTATCACGGTCCAGACTAAGCAGAACAAGATGATAAGATTCATCCAACTATCTCATTTACTTAGCAAATCTCGGAGAAAATATCTCTAGTAAATGACTATGGAAGAGATAGTGGAAGATCTACGTCGCAGAGAAGTAGGTCTTGGTAGGGAGATTTCAGGCCTCAGGCAGCAACCGACCCAATAATACGTAGTTCTCAACAACACATAGTAAATGCGATAAATTATAAAATGATATCCTAATAATAGTAGTGTATAAGGCTTGCGTTGTAGTTTAATGCATTTGGGGCAATATTTAGTTGTTATAGGGAGTTGAATAAAAAATTTATTCAACATGGTGATCAAGATATATATATTCCTAGCTATTGAGCAACATAATTTTTGATACTGCAGCAATATAGCTTTTACACGTCCCTGAAATTAGTATAAGTTTATAGGAAGTGTTATCACAGGCACATTGAAATATATGTTTAGAGTATATCGCATCTACGAATGTATTTCCAGAGTGAGCTGCGCAGTGCGGAAGAATATAGTAGAGGCAATGGCAAACAATCCCAACGTAATATCTCAACAACGATCAAGTAATATCTAGCGCATGAAAGAAGCCTATATATTTTTTTGTTGATTTGTCGACCAACAGACATGTTTTCTAGTTCATAGCAACGTAATTTTTGATATCAAAACAATGCCTTGGTTTCAGTATACAGTGCTGAGAAGTCTTACCAACAGATATCGGCTCACAATGAGATAAAATAAACTGGTAGTTCCAAGGTTAATAAGATATTAAGTTATATTTCATCACATGTTATGTGTTCCAGACTGCGTAGCTTGCGCGCGGAATACTTTGTGGCATTAACTAGTCAACTATCTTGGGATATTGCCTCGACAGCTCAGACACCGAACTATATCAGCCGTTTGCTTATCGTGGCACCTCCCAATATCTCGGAAGGTCGTATTTGGTATCTCTCTCAGCCTTGATTATTCCTAGTTCATTTAGGGTTGCACTCTTCCAACGTGATAAATTCGATCTATCAACCTTGAGTGTGCAAATTTTCGGCGTCTTTACATACTGGTTTGACCAAGTCATACCCTGATAAGAACTTCATAGTCACATTCTAATATTCAAGCTCTGCGGTAGCTATTTCTTGATACAGTGTAGTTTACCCGGAATATCAGCGGACCGTAGAGCCAGAGATCCACAATAATCCACAGGTGTATATATCGATTAGTTAGTTTACCCATTCAAATTGCTGTTTTCATGTTCTATTAGCCAGAGAGTTGCATATGACTGAAAATATCATAGATTGTATCATGTTTCTGCCAAGAGCTTTTACCCCTTGTTCCGAGCCATTTCCGTATTCGTATGACAATCATTAGGGTTACTTCAAACGGAAAATGAGCTAAACCAAGGTTTCAAGAATCATAGGGTCGTAGAGAACGAGGCAAGGTTACTTCTGATAATTACGAGCGTCGAGTGAACTCCACTATGCTTAAATCCTTGTAAATTAAATCCTCATGCTTGAATCCCTATTCTTAAATCCCTATTCTTAAATCCCTATTCTTAAATCCCTATTCTTAAATCCCTATTCTTAAATCCCTATTCTTAAATCCCTATGCGTAGATCCCTTTAGATCCCTTTAAATCCCCGTGCTTAATATGCTTAAATCCCTGTGGTTAAACCCCTGCACGTTCAATTCGGAATTAGATCATCAAAGTGGGGCTGTCTCAAATGGGGCTCAAAGATCAGCAAAGATCCCGTCGCAGAAAGGGTATCCACCAAATCCAACTTCGAATGATCATCCATATCAAATGATCATCCAATGGGGAATCTGATGGCAAGGCCTGACCTTTCAACAGAAGACAGTATAATGTATAACATTCACTAAAGAAGAGGAAAAAAAAAAAAGCCCAGAAGCGAGAGGCTTCACCTCCTTCAAACATCAACCGGTCCTCTACCTGAAGAATCAGTTATCCTGGCATCATAAGAACTTGCGATTAACCCCTTTAGCTCCCTATGGCCCACCCGCTATTTCGGTAATACCTAAGCCGGAAGAATGTAGGTGTCATCCAGGTGTGACAATGATGGACCCCCCTGGAATGCTAGCCTTGATTGCAGAATTGAATTACGTGGCATTCCGAGACCACCAGGGGAGCTGTGGATGCTTAACCAAATCAACAAGGTATGACCTGAAGCCCGCCTAAGAATATAAAAGGGTATTCGGAGGACCTGAACAAACTCCATCTACACATCCTCCTATCAACCTTAACTCTCTACGAACAATTTCCCCCATTTTCACCACCTCAACCTTCACAATGCAGTTCACTTTCGCTACCCTTGTCACTCTCGCCGTTTCGGTCGCTGCCATGCCTTCCGTCAGCGGATCCCCCAAGGGCCTTGCTATCTCCAAGGCCAGCGGCTACTGCCAGGCCGGTGAGATCGCCTGCTGCAACCCCAAGAAGGATATCAAAGCAGATGGCATCCTCGGAAACCTCCTCGCACAGGGAGCTCTCAACAACTTGCTCGGTGTTGGCGATTCCGCCTGTGCCTCCCAGAGCCTGATCAAGAACCTCAACCTTCTCGGTATGTTCCGCTCTCTGGTTCCAGCTTCCACCCAGACGCTGTACTAATATATATAATAGGCTTCACTACGGAGGGTACCGAGGGAACCACCTGCAAGAACACCATTGCTTGCTGCCCAGCTGGCGAAGACGTAAGATACACACAGTTACCCACACATTGGAAGTTACTAATGCTGCTACCACTCACAGTGCACTGCCATCAACGCTTAAATTCTCTAGCGTGGAAGATGTGACGATATGGGGGATTGTGCCTGTTCGTTAAGGTTGTTGGATGTCGCAGTGTTGGATAATTCCATATTTTGGGCTCCATATATGTACTTCTAATTCTGGCCCAAATGCACCTACTCATTAGAACACCCATCTAGTAATAATAAAAGGCTCGGGTGGACATTTTATTTCTTTTCGATTGTAAATCATCTTCGCAGTATGCGTTCCTCGGTTCCTATATGGCAAACAATTTATATGCAGCCAGAAACCGGCTTGGGTTAGTTTCCCCCCTATTACTTATGCATTGGCGCATCATGATCAATGATAACTGAAGTTGAAGGACAGACATCTCACTGCTGAATGGAAATAGTTGACCAATTAGCTCGCAGTAATTAATATGCGCTGCCATACATCTCTAATAGTGTTAAGTAGGAAATATACATTACGAGCCATTTATTAAAAAAGTATTAAGCATAAAAACCACTATTATCTGCCAAGGCCAAGTAATCTAATCCTCCAGAAAAATCTGCAAAGTGTTGACTATAACTGACTCGATGACGCGGACTTGCCAGCCAGCATCCGCAATGTTGCTGCCATCCATACCCATTAAGGTTGATCTGCGGACTTGGTATCAGCTAAGGTTTAGAAGATCAAGATTCGCAGGAGCTTACCCAAAGCAGATGGCAAGGTTACCAGCGTTCATGCGGTTCTGCGAAGAGTGCTCCTGAACCTTGTTAAAGTGCTATTGGAATATTAGTATTGATCATTAGACAGAGTAATATCCATATCTAGTCGGCTTACAAATATGGTAGCACGTAGTGTGGCATAGTGAGCATCAGGTAAGTCATTAATAAGAGCATGTAGCTGATCCCGGCGTTGGATGTCATCATCAAGGCCTAGGATTTCGAAGTTAAATATGATTATAATAGCCAATAGCGCGTAGGGGTTATAACTTACGAGCAGCGTCAAGGAACTGAGAATAGTACTGAGATGTGAACAGAGGATCAGGAAGGTCTCGGAAAAATTGTTTCACAAGTCCAGCAACACTGTTAATATCATAATAGAAGTTCTCTGGGTCTGTAAGGTCCATCTGCGAGGAATCTTTATGCTTATTAGCATAAGTTATAATATCTTCTTTGCGATCAAATTGAAACACTTACCATTGTCAAATCGCGCTTTCATGTTCTGCATATGAGTGGCATCGCCTGATAGTCGATAGATGGCCTCCATATCTAGACCAAAAAGTTCAATGGCCTGGAAACATTGATATAGAAGGGACGGCACTGGATTCCCATCGCGAGAGTAGAGATCATTCAGAGATATGCCGAACACTGGTTTCAAGGGAGGTAGAACCCCAAGCTGAGTAGATATGACGTTTTTATCTTTCACATAGCCGTTGATATATTCTGAAGAGGAAGCTGGCTCAATTAGCGGATCATCAGATATAAGTAATCTGGAATTGGTTGAGAGATTGGAGAGCATGATGCGGAGCCGTCCAGGATTAGATAGGGATTGTTCCAGATTATTAAGATCACGGATGAGTATTTCTATAGTATCAGTTAGTAAATTTAGGGCGTTGAATGTAGGTCATCATACTCTCAAACTCCTTCGTTGAACCTATAACATCTCCAACTAGGAAACTTAGGGCACCCAAAAACCCCTGATATTTTCGCTTGGAATTTCTCTCGTCAAAGACTTGGATAGCCAAAATGCTTTTTCTATTTACCCTCCTGGTAGATAGTTAGTACCGGCTCGTTACAAAAGGAGGAGATGAAGGTTGCTGGAGGACGAAGCTGCATACAAATCCACAGTGTCGTTCCAGTAAGGGCTCAAGGTTTTCAGATTGACTGAGGTAGTGAAGACTTTCTTTCCATCAACGAGAACCACGGCAAATGGGCTAGGAAACCCTATATAATGCATTTAGTCTTTGCGGGACTCCCATTTAAAGGACCTACTCACGGAAAAAGTCTTGCTTAGGAAGACGATCGGCGGCAACAACTAAATCAACATCAGCGTTAGGCAATTGAAGGAGAGTCAAGTATGGATAAAGTATAAAAATGGTATGAAGAGCTTTGCGGGGCGCCTCCTACCTGTGAGTCTCAGGTCTAGCTGGTCACTGGTGTCTCCAAATGCAATCTTCTCTGCCTCTTGAAATGTCTCGTCCTGGCTTCCCAACGAATCTATCGTATGTGTGTGCGGCCGCCCAAGCGACTTTTGTTGCAACAAAGATAGTTGCTTGGATATTTGCGCCACCTGGCCAACCTTCTTTTGTTCGCGGTAGGTTATAACAAGATTTTCCATGGCCTTAACTGTATCCGGATGCTCATCACCATACTTTTCCCGTCTCAATGTGACGATTTCTTCATCAATTGGTTCGGACTCTTTGTATTTCTTCTGTTCGCGATATGTTGCAGCAAGTTGCGCCAGTGCGTTGATTGTTTCAAGGTGCTCATTGCCAAACACTTCGCGTCGAAGGCTGACAACTTCTTCAAAAATACTCTCTGCCTGATCAAACTTCTTTTGCTTATGATATGTTGCGGCGAGATCTGTCATTGCTTTGATCGTATTTGGGCTTTTGTCACGAGCCGCCTTTGGCCTGATCGTTGCGGTCATTTCATTGTCCCCGGGCTTACTGTCCATTAGCTTAAGATTCCCCATCTCTGTTGCCAATTGATCTTTTGAAACATGTTCTTGGAGCGGCGGAGAAAGAGAAGGGACCGTCAATGGTGTGATATCTGCCTTTGGATTCGGTTTCGACAAAGGTTCGGTAGACGAGGAAGACCGCGGTCGCTGGGTGGCCGTGTTATCATATGTATTTGACCAGGCATTTGATGGCGCAATCTCCCATGTAGCTTGACTCTCTGCTGAATTTCCACCCAAAGACCCACTTCTTGAAGTCAGTATAGTCTTCTAAATCATTCATGGAAGCATATAAGCCTACCCTTCAAGAGAGTCGGATTGCCCAGAAAGCCAATCGTGAGCGAGAACATGATCAATCGTCAATCTTCGTTCAGCAGGGTCTGCCATTGTACCCAGTACAAAGTTCATGCAGAAACCACTCGAGTTTCCCAACGGTCGGAGAGGAAACTGGACCCTGTGGTCCCGGGAATAGTCAAGCAAATGCTTAATGGTTCGAAAGGGAGGGGCACCTGTTCGCAAGCAGAATGCGACAGCCCCAAGCGCCCACACATCGATGGCTGCCGTATAGTGATTCGAGGAGTCGCCGTATAGCTCTGGTGCCATATAACCGGGAGATCCGATATAATGTGTTCCAAGCGCACTGCCGTCCGTGTTTTTGGTAATTCCGAAATCAGCGACTTTGACGTGCCATTTGGGGCCCGGAGAGGAGACTAAAATGTTCTTCGAATAGGTTAGCTGAAGCCCATGAGTGAAAGTTTACCATATGGAGTACCAAAGGCTTGATGTCTCGGTGAACAAAATTCTTCCGATGCATGTACTGTAGCGCCTGGGCAACTTGGAACACAATCGATGCCGCTTCTGGCTCGGGGAAAGGTGCTTTAATGAATTTCTGAAGATCGCCATATTGTAAGAATTCCATCGCGATGTAGACATTTTCAAGGTCATCAAACCAGCCAAGGAACTGGACGAAATGCTGCTTGTACTGCGGGGGAAAATTAGCTGAAGATGTTTGATTCACACCTGCACCACCTACTTCGGGGGTATGAGAGTCGGAAAATGTGACAAGCGCCTGAATTTCCCGCTTCGACATCTCCAAAAACTTCGATTGTCGCTTGCGAAGATGCTTCACGGCGCGGATAGCATTAGGCGATGGCCCTGAAACACAGTGCTCCTCCCAGACATCCCCAAAGGAGCCATTCCCGAGACATTTCACCGTTCGCCAGCACTCAGCGCCGGATTTTAGCTGATGATGGCGCTGTCCAATGTCATCGTAGGTAGTTTCTAACCTCCAACCCCTCAGGGGACTCATGAATGCATCCATAAATCATTCAGTCCCCTTACTGAGGCATAGTTGACAAGAATTTGTGAAGTCAGAGATCTCAGGCTTTTTCGTGCGGGGGCCAATTTTCAGCCGAACACGAGAGAGGTCGGCGCCTCAATCGAAGATTTGATTGGCTGACTTTACATGTCTAGCAGGTATATGCCCTTTACTTGACATTCCATTTCATACCAACTCTCTCGCTGAAGCAATGCTTTACCTCCCTTTTACAGTGCCTATAGTGATGCCTAAGGTAATTTTGAGTATCACTCCGGGTCTCTCCTTTACACTACTTGTAAATAGGTATTGGAGTAGGGATATGTGTGCAAATAACATTTTTCTATGGTAAAGGACTGACACAATGCAAGAAGCAGTGTATTTCTTCACAGGGAAATGTTGTTGAGGGTCTTCAAAATCCTTTCGATGAATTGCACCGCAATGGCATCATCATTGCCAGCCATATCTGAACCCCCAAAGTCTTCATTGTCGTCATCCAAACATGTTAAACAAGATAATACTACCTGTGAGTACTTATCACCCATACGCGGCGCCAGCCTCGTCAAGGCCTGCTCCACTAGGAAGTCCTTGAGTTGAATGGCTAAGGCATCGAAAGAGGCTGTCGCGCCCTGTTTCTTACTCCAAGCCATAAAGTTATAGTAGGACTTGCCAAACTTGGCCTGGGGACGGCCCTTAAATTCAAGTTCATTAGTGTACTCAACGAAAGACTCCCAGAGGCCAATCTCAAGTAAACAGACGCCAAGGCTGTAAATATCGTGCTGAATAGTGTACCTCTCAGAAGGTTCTATCCCCTGGCGGCGGGGATGGAGGTAGATATTGTGAGCCCAGCTCATATCTCCCCCATCATCGTGCCGGCGTCTGCGCCACGGAAAGCACCAAAGCCAACCAGGAAGGCGTGGCTACTAGCAGCCTGTGGATCTTCGAAGCATAGTACTGACTCTGGCCGCACATTCTTGTGAACAAATGCAAAGGTATGCACATAATTGACGGCTTTTGCAAGCTCGCGCGCCATGTAGACTTTCCGTGATAGTGATATATGTTCATCTGCATGAAGCAGCAACTGTCTTAGGGATTGTAGTTTCTCTGTCCTGCGTGGAACTCGGAAAATGAGCTGGATGTGGGAATAACGCACTTGGCCTGGAGATGGGGAATGTGCACGAGAGAGGGAAGAGGAAGAAGTAGAGGGGTCAAGTGTCAACTGCGTAGGTGGTGTAGGAGAGACAGGTTGTTGTAGAACTGGTACAATTCCCTTGCAGTTAAGCAAACCAAAGGCCAGGGGGTCAGCCTGTGAGAGCTTTGTCGCAAGAACGCGCACGTCCTGCATGACATCGCGTACCCGAGCAGCCTGCCCCAGCTCAATGGTGTCGACAATATACCACTTCTTATCATTCCCCTGTCGGCCGCGTCCCATCCTTGCAACCGAGAATGGTATATCTAGCCATTCCATCTGCAGTTCCTTAAGAACGATCGACCTGGTTTGTTCAGTGCTGGGAGACAGCACGTTCCGTAGTCCAGTAGCGAGAGCCAGCGGAGTCTTAGCGGCAGTGGCAAGTCCGTGTGCCTTTGCCTCTGTAGTCTTTGCCAACGCCAATTCTCTATCGAGGACCGGATTTGCAATTTTCATAAGGAGAAACCATGAAGGGTCAAACCGGCGCTGCCATTCCTCGAGCTCAGATATGATGCCGTCGAGGGCCTCCTTCTTCCACACCCAAGCAGCCTTCTTAGCCCTAAAGCCAAGTCTGAAAACGCCCGAACGGGCCGACGAGCGCTTCTCAATCACCGTCTCAAGGCTGCTCATGGCAAGTGAAAGACTGAGCACGAGCTGATTTAGGAGCTCGTCCATCATGCGACAATGGTCCTCATCCATGATAGATGTGATGCGCATGACGAAATCAACCTGGCGCTTAGTGCGATCCCAGCAGCTCTCGATAATGATTACACGCTTCTCAACTTCACTATCAGCGTGCTTCCATGTTGAACATATGTCCAGAATTTTGACCCCGAGCCTGCTTCAGAGTCAACGCAGCTCAAATATTGGCAGGTGCATTTATACGACAGAGGGATTAGCGCACGTGTAGCATGTCTCCACAAGACCGAGCACGGAAACTGGGTCCATGGTGTTTAAAGTCCTACGAATCTGCTAGATCTTCACGGTATCCGGGCCATTCGTTTGCAGGGTGATTTGCTTCAAAGTTCAATCCAAGGACTAGGGTAAAGTAGAGCGAAGGGTGCACATGTGAGTAAAAGGAGAGAGAGAAAGAGAGAGAGAGAGCTGCGAGGGAGTTAATACAGGGGGCCATAAGCGGGGCTTATCATGGTGTGTTCCCGGGTGCGTGGATATAAGAGGTGCGTGTTCCCATATTCAGCCTCCCAAAAATCTCAACACTCTGTTCTGTGTTGGTGGGCTTGCCACGATTATTATCAGGATTTATCCTAAATGCAAAAAAAAGTGTGATTGCGCAATTCGGTAGCGAATAGTAGTAGAAGCTAGTCTAGTACCCATTAGTTGTGATCAACATGTCTGCGAGACAAATCAGTATGGGAGGGGAGTCAGCTTCAGGGGCGTGCAGGATATTCAGGTGTAGAATAGTCAAGTCACATTTAGGTGAAGGTCAGCTAGAGACTAACTACCAATGGGCTAACTAAAGATAACAGTAATAGAAAAGTACAAAAAAAAACAAAAACATACAACAGTGAGTCCAAGGTCGTGGTCACCTAGCGCCCACGGTTCGGGCATAGGCAGCTCGCCGCTCTATTCAGCTCTCCTTGGGGCACTCCGGGCGGATATTCACCCGCCTAAATATTCTTTACCTAAATATGCAGGTCATATGGCAAAAGGTACATTTGCCCATTGTGATCGAAAAGGCTGTCAGTGACCTTATTTTTCCTCGGCTTAGCCTCCTTTTATCACGAGCAAGGTACGTACTAGGCATGGCTTAACGTTAAATTACATAGCTAATAGAGTATGGTAATAATCAATTCCAGCGGGTAGTGCTACCACGAATAACTAGAATCTAGTTCATAGTTATAAGTTACTTATTTTCGACGAGTAATTCTTAGCCCTAGGGGTAGAGAAGTAGATCGCTAAACCATATTTTTATGCCTAGATTTAGTAAATTATATCTATAGGCCGTTATTCAGCCGGTTAACAGAGTATATAATTTATAGGGCTTTTCTAGGTACTCCACTAGTCTATTAGTACGCAAACTAAACCCTACCAGCGCGTCCAAGATACTAAAACAGCCCTCAAGTGTCTTATCGCGCGTAGGATTCCGCACGGCCCATTTTGGATCGAAGGTCTCGCCCAACACCCAACCCAGACCCAACCCATACCCAGCTTTTACATAAATACGGGTCTTGGTGATCATAAACTAGTTGAATCAGCTAGATTATACACATAATTAGCGTGTTTGCATAGTTTGTAACCCAAGTTGGGGACCCAGTACTGCGTTACCCAGGACGACCCAAAACCCAACCCAGACTAGGTTGGGTCTGGGTTGGATCTGGGTTTTACTAGCTCGTGCGGAAGACTGATCTCACCAATATGAATGGAAAGTAGGACCACCACTGTATAACTTACAACGGAAAGTATGAGCCGCGTGGCCATGATCTAGAATTCATTCTCACCCAGATGTTTTCTAGAGTACTTCACCCAACCCATCGCAGAAAGTTGCGTACAGTTCGGACTGACTTCCACAACAGAGATTGCCCTGTAGCATCTAATTTCCAGGATAGTGAATATAGTCTATCAGCCTCTGTCGCTCCAAAAGCCGCAGCTAAACTATCCCAGGCAGTTATATCTCGGTAAGAAAGTTTGACTCGTGTGCGCCCCGTTGATTGCCGCGGTATAACCGTGTGGCGTTCTAGAACCCGGGCAGCTCCATATTGGACGAGCAGTTCTGTTGTTTGGATCCACGGTTGTAGGCTACTTTTGTCAAGCTGATTGAGCTCTTTAGCAAAAGTGCTGAGGTACCCAAGATAAAGTTTCCAGGGGGTAGAGCTGCCGAGCCGTTCATTGGGGTTGCCGCCGTGCTGGAGGATTAGAAGGATAAGCTGGGGGTTTGGTTGGTCCCGTGGGCCACCGACTGGATAATCTAGCTGTTCGGCTTGTCCGTCCAACGGTGAATATATTCTCCGGCGGAGTGCATAGTCTAGGAGTGGCCGGCCTTGCTGCTTGAATACGAGGTTCGGGTTGGAGGTTAGGCAAATTTGGACGTATCTTGTGAGTCCGTGCTGGATGGCTAGAGAAAGTAGGGGGTTCGGGCCTTGGGTATTGCAATCCCACCCTTTCACAGGACAGGCTGGTAGTGAGTCACTTGACCACGCTTTATTCCTCTGGCTGTCGAGTAGTTTATCCAGATGAGCTGTCAAAGGGAGAAGTGCCTCCGGAGACTCGTTCTCCAGCAGTGCTGCATGCTTCATAAAATCAGCCACGAGCAGCCGCGTCGGTTGTTCTAGCATTTGCATTTGAGCTAGCAGCGCTTTGCAGGTGAAAATATTGACGTTGAAATCTTTCATATTCTGCATCTGCAAAAGATGCTGCGTAGTATTTTCAAGAAGGAAATCCCGCGCTGTCCGATGCAGAAATTCAACACTCTGGCGGTAGAAAACATGTCTCCCGGATCCCCAGTCAGTGGTCTCGAGTAAATCCAAGCAAAATATATTAACACGGCTCTTTGCCCTCTGAAGCCGTTGGATCAACTCCTCCTCGCCAAAAGGCCGCGTCGCTGTTTGAAAAAGAATTGCTGTGTGATCTTCGTCTAGGAAGGAACATGTCATTAATGAAACTCCGTCAGGACTGTACAAAGCCAGCCTGAGAAGCTTAAGGGACTTGACTCGATAAAATGACTCGATTTTGGCGAACATTTGGAGGAAATATGCTTCCAGTTCCTCCGGTACCCCCCGTAACCGGTCGAGCAAATCTGTAGCTGTATCATGGTTCGTCAACCCTCGCAAGAGTGAGCGACTAACTAGGATAACCCAAAGCCAAACACCTTTTGCTTTCTCGATCATTTCACAGACCAGTTGCAAACAGATTCTAGGATCTTGTTGCTGGAGGGCTCGGAATCTTTCGTTTGCCCGGAGTCTGGTGTTGATATAGAGTTCAATATCAGAGTACGTCAAATCTTCCAACCGCAGTTGCGGATATGAAGAGAAATTATTTTTGAGTAACTCCCAGGGCCGGCTAGAAACACAGATTTTGATATGTGAACATTGAGATGACTCTTGTAAGAGGCGGAACACCTTCTCAAGCCGATCGTCGTCTCCAGCAAGTTCATCCAACCCATCGATGAATAGACATATTCGGTGATGGTGAGCCGAGCGCCCGAGGAGATATTGTAAAGTGTAGATCAATTCATCGTCAGACCATGCCGGGAAATGCCAGAGTTCAAGATCCCAGGAGCGCCACCTGGAGGGTGAGAGCTCCCAAATTGGATATGGCCATTGTATCAGCAGCTCATATAAAAGACAGCGCAGCATCCCAGACACTGAATTCTGTTCCTCGGTACCAGAACTCCAAATGAAGTGGGATGTTATTAGAAGTTGCTTGTCTCCAGCCCATATGTCAAGAGCCTCCCTGGTCTGCGGCTCATGGAGGAGCCACTTCATGAAGGTAGACTTCCCGGATCCGGCCTTGCCTGATACCCAGTACAAACCACCAGGTCCACAGAGCCAACTGGGTAGGTCAAACCACACGGGTCCCATGTCTGTAGGTGTGCGAAAGACCCAGCCAAGGGTGAGATCATATCTGCTGTCTATCATGTTTTCTCGGTCATGCATTCTCGAGAAATGCAAAGTGTCGAAAAAAATCCGTTTGAACGATCTTCGGTTCTGATCGTCAACTTTTTGTTGGAGAGTTTGAAGTATATTCGCGAGAACCTCTTCGTTCTTATTCCTCCATTCATCCAGGAGGCTCTCGCGAACAATCTCTCTCTTCCGATCGTCCTCAGAAGTCGATTGGGTTCGCGCATGGATGGCCAGGCTATTTAATTGATGCAGCAGCTGTTCAAGCTCTTGTTTTATTTCATTTCTATACTCGGAAAGGGTGTCTCGAACCCTGCCTTCCATGATTCGAATCTCATTGGTTGCTGTAGCAAGAGACTTTATCTGGCCCTCACTAGAAGCAGATAAGCCCGATTCCGTTAAATGAACCGAGAAGGGGTAATCCTTACTTAAGGATCAACAGCAGATGTATGGTGACGACCTGACCAAGACGATCCAGAGTGGTCATCCTTTCCTCCAGCTTGTCCTTATTCCACACAGTCTTTAGCGCCTGGCGGAAGCTCTTCCATTTTCGCCCCGGCGTCGCCACCTTCAGCTCATCCAGCGTCACTAGGAAATCTTCCGCAACCACATAACTCTCCTGAGCAATATCTCGGAGGCCTTCCTGGGCGGTAGACAATTTTTGGATTGCTGAAATTCCATCTAGCGAGGACAGGAGCCCCTTAGATAACGTACTTAGTTTTGAGGAGATGGCAGCCTTCTCGGCATGGTCTGCCAGAATGCCGTCGGTGCTCCGATACAGCTCTTTGCCCTTGGAGATGAGTTTCGTCGCGAAGTCGACAAATTGTATAACCGAGGTGGCAAGACTAAGAGCAGATAAGGGGTCCATCATGAATCATAGTAATGTCCCAGGTCCTTGACAATTTGAAAAACACCTCGAGTTATGTCAGTTCAAAACTATCTCACGCGGGGCTAGATCGACCTCCATATGACAAAGTGCAAGGAGAGCCTCCTGTGGCGTTCGTTGGCCAATAGCTGAGTTCCACGTGTACGTTTGCTTGGCGATTCCGGTATATACTTTCGGATGGCGGTGGCATAATTTTCTGAATCAAGTTGATATCGGTTGTTCCAGTTAAAGCTGTACGCTAAAGCTCTAAACAGCACTAGTGAAACGGGTATACTATACTATATGCCTGGCGATGAGGTCAGTAGAGACCAAATTGTTACCAGGCGCTAGTAGCCAAATAACAGAGGTTTTATCCAATGCCCTAGTATTAGGTGACTGAAGAACTTTGCGTCATCCTTTGGTAAATTCGGATCTCGAAGGGAATAAACAGGTTATCAAGGGTGTTTGGATATGGAGATTCTTGCTGCAAGAGGGATTTGCGAAGAGTGCCATGGGAATCGGCGAGGCTGTCTGTGGGGTGAGCTATCATTCTAAGTGATTATCCTCCCAAGGAAGTTACAGCAGATTTAGACGAAGAGATAAGATGTCCTTCATGGTTTGCTGTGAGGCAGTTTGCCGCCAACACGTTCTCCAACAACTGCTGACGAGCTTCTGTTGTGAGATGAGCATTAATTCTTTTTGCAACTCTGCGATCACCGAAGCAACTCTCGGCACTCATGCTGGGTTGTCATCAAAAATTATGTGTATGATGTGGCCTACTTGCTGGATGCTGTGAGGCCGAAGGTGCATTTCATCCCAATCTTCCATTCGGTGGAGGTGCCGTGGCCTTTCAGCTATACCTACCGCTCAATAAAGAGCAGGGGGTCGCGAGCGGTTACCCAAGTGTCTTTGGCCGCCATCGGAAGCAGATGAGCGGTTGAGAGTTGAACGTGAGGCAAGTACTATTAATAGCGTAGGAGCAAAAGCAACAACCAAGAGAGCCAGGCAACGATGACCCCGTGCTCCGAGATTCGTCAACATTAGACTGGGATGAACCTCCTCAATGGATTAAAGCTGCATGGGTTGTAATTTGAATCTCAGGAGGATGTGTCAACTGGTAGAAGCTAGTACTGAAAGAGTTGTGACCAAAACAACATGTCTATGAGGGAAAGAAAATCAGTGGGAGGGGAAGGACACGCCAGCGGTTCAGGGGCGTGCGGGATATTCAGGTGTAGAATAGTGGTGTTCAGGGCATTCAGGTGAATAGGCTTAAGGGACTGAAGAGTAGGGCAGCAAGAGGGAGTATCCGAACGAATAAAAACAAAAAGTAAAAACATACAACAGTGAGGATTCGCTGGTGGTCACCCACCCAACTACTAACTCACCGGCGTGTGGCTTAAGTACGGCTGAGCGGACGGGAAGCCCTGTTTTCCACACCCTATGGTCGTATGTGCTTGTTATTAGCACCGAAGAGGATTATATAGGGTTTTTAGACTTACATTAGTGAGGAGGGATGGATCCTTCCATGGAATGACTTATGAAGTCTAAGATAGTACAGCCGGTCGGTCTCTTTATGAGTATACATTTATTACTATAGTTAATATCTTAAGAATCTTGTGACTCTCGTAGACGTATTTCAATCTACAAGAGTCTTGGTATACTAGTCTAAATGATAGGAAAGATATAGTTTACAAAACGGACATAGTGACGATATGTAAGGAGATACTAAAAGGCCTCTAGTTTATTACAAATTTAAGACCGTCTGTGGCTTAATTGATATTATAAGCATTCTTTTAATATCGAAAGATAAATTACATATTACGTGCAAAACGAATTATTCGAGATCGGCATTGACTAGAACGTCACGAAAAAAAGGATTCTAAAAGACAGTATTCTCCAATCTAAACGAGGGGGATCACACTGAGCTCGGACAGCTAGTGGCTTAGTGCAGCCTTCATAGCCTGACATTTACCCCTCTCGATGGGGTAGATAATCTGTCGGATACCTGAGAATAACAAGATTCTCTCGGATGAGAAATATGTTGCCTTCTTCATATGAAAGCCCTAAATATTTATGTATCCTATGTAGGTGTAGGCGCCCCGACTTACTCCGCATGGGGTAAATGGGCCCCTCTGATCCCAAAGCTCAAACATGAAGTGTTTATTTTTTTTTAACGTGTTAATTATATTGAGCATAGGACGAAGAGGTAAGGTGGAAAAAAAAACCTAACGTCTATTTGACCTGGTAGCGACGACGGAATACCTCAATAATGCGCCGCACCCACGATCTTGGCAGGTAAAGATCAGAAATTGAGGCTGAGTCCGCTAGAACTTGAAAATGCCTGGCGGTTCCCTGCTGACATTTATCTCTCTGTGAATCCAGTTCAACCCACTTCCTTATCGTACCGTCTTCCTCGAACAAGCGCAGATCGACAGTCAGGCCACGTTCACGAAGATTATTTGCGCCCTGCTTTTGTCAAGCCGGTGCTTGTCTTACTATTGGTCAGCGCCAGCCAAATGAGCTTAAAGGATATCCAGAGTGAGCTCAAGCGTGCGACATACTACAAAGACACAGCAGAAGCATTCATCCCGTATGAACGCGTCCGAGAGATATGGGCCGGTAATCGGCTGGAACAGTTTCTGAAGACCTGTGATCCAAGTCTAGGTATCTCGGAGATAGATGCAGCGCGTCATGGTTTGTTGCGTACGATATCTATCCTCGCGAGTATCGCTCCCCGAGACTGGCCAGGGTGGTCGAGGTTCAAAGACATTTTCTTCCGGCAAGATGAGCTTGTCGCCGATCGTCGCTGGGACAAAAATACCCTCGTGCTCACCAAGGAGGAACTTGAGGACGACACCTTTCTTGGGGATGCCCTCCTGGTGCGTGCTTTCAGGGATGATAGGTGGATTTATTTTCCAATAGTTTTGAAAGGGAATAAGCAAGACCCTTATGGAGAGGACCTCCGGGTACCACTATTTCAAGAGGACCATGTGGTTCGACAGGGTGGCTTTGGGAAAGTGACCAAGGAGATAATACCCCCAAATCAAATCATCATAGGTCATTTAAGCGACCAGCTCGGTATACCAGACGCGCCTCATCCAGTAAGTTTCATAGTACATGACTTGATATCACCAGTCGCTTACAGGCTTTCTTCTTGGTAGGTCAAACTCATAGTTGCCCGAAAGCGCTTCCCCAAGGGAAATTATGACGTTGAAGTCAGACATCTGAAACATCTCCGATCAAGCCTGTCCGGCCACAAGCGAATTGTTTCTGAGCTGGCAATATTTACCATTAGAAATGAGTTGAACATCATCATGCCGTGGGCGGACATGGACTTGGAAGATTTCTTGGTTGGAGGTTACAGAGAGATGCAACCCGCCCCATGTCTGAGCGATCTAATACAGGAGTCCAGAAATGTTGCATCTGCCATTGATTTTCTGCACACACATCTCCAACTCGAAAGCGAATGGCCCGAGTTTCACCACCAAGCAATCTGCCACGCGGATATCAAGCCCCAGAATATTTTGGTCTTCAAACGCGATGTCTCGTCTACGGGAGTTTGGCGAATTACCGATTTTGGTGTCTCGCGAATTGCACATCGTGACATATCGGGAGATTCAAATTACATGACTAGTATCAAGGACCATGCTCCAAGAGGGGGCACATACCGGGCACCAGAGGCCCAGTCTCAACGAAGGAGCGACGTCTGGTCATTTGGGTGCATATTAGTGCGCGTCTTTGCCTTGGGACTTGATCCTGAGAGTCTGTCAGAACTTGACAGAATGCGAAGAGAACCGCTCAATGCACGCGCTCACGACGATTGTTTCTATCGAGGATCTCCTCCCGCTCTCAATCCAGCCGTCGAAACTTGGATTGAGAATTTACCAACCCGATATCCCATTCCTCACAACCCCGTTTTCTTTCAGGAATTGCAGAAGCTCCTTCGCTCAATGCTTGAGATAAATTACCACAGACGCTCATCGGCAAGCGAAGTTCAAAGAAGTTTACACAGACTTCATTCCTCTAGCATATCAAACTTTACTCCTCGAAGCTCAGTAGGCGGAGCAAGCAAAGGAGTGGGTGTTCTTGTCACTGTCATGAAGTCTGGCGACATCGACCAGGTCCGCGAAATTCTGCTAGACGAGGTCGATGTGGAACAATGCCATGAGAACGAACGGCCTTTGATCTATGCCATTGAAATGGCCAATGCTTCTATGATAAACGCGCTTTCTGAGTATCAGCGAAAGTTCCTCAACCTAAACTTGGACGTGCGAACCCCCTCGTTTAAAAGGCAAACGCCACTCTATCTTGCGGTTTGCAAGGGTGATTTCGACGTCGTGAAAGCTGTGATTGATGCTTATGTTGGTCCTGAATCCCACGCCAATGTCAGTCCTTTGTTGAATGAACTGTGCGAGGATAAGACTCCGCTCATGCAAGCAGCCTTCCTTGGTCAGGCCCGTGTGGTCTCATTGCTTTTACAACGCGGTGCAGATCACAGAATCTGCGTGCAGCATCAAAAGTTAAACTGCTTACATTATGCGGTGAAGATAAATAATCTCGCGCGAGAAGACGTTATCAGGGCGTTCAAGGGCAATATGGTTTTCGATCAGCTCCCACCCGAAAATCCTCTCGATAGTTCAGACAATATCTCAAGCACGGCAGAATATGAGACGCCGATGATGCTGCACGTCAGTCTCGCGCGGGAAGGTGTGGAGATAGACTCTTTGTGGCGAAATAAGTTCAAGGCACTGTTGGAAGGAGGAGCGGATGTGAATAGGAGATACAAACCAGGAACCATTTTGGAGATAAGTCTCCTGCAAATGGCTGCATTTGAAAGGAGGGAACTGCTTGCGAAAGTGCTTGTTGATGCGGGTGCAACACTACCAGAAGGCTATGTCATACCGCCAGGAAGTTCTCATGAAATGAAAAAGCTTCTCAAGAAAGCGCGCCGTGAGTAAATCCAGTGGCGCACTTCTACATTTTACGTGTGATTTCTCATCTCTCGTTTCTTCTTTGTTTTTCTTGCCTGTTTTATATCCCCGTTCGATTTTGAAAGATTCAACTGTATGTTAACATTTCTCCATTAATATTGACAAAAAATAACACAACATCTGCATATTCACATTCTCGAATAAATCATACTTCTTCTCTATCTTGGAGAGTTGTACTCTCCCTATCTTCCTGGCGTGATGACTTCCGATAGAGGGGACGTAGGAACGGAGCGTGGTCCAGAACCTGTTCTTTTGTTGCCCGCCGGACTATGATATTATCAGCATATAATCATGGCAGAACAGAGTTCTCCCAGTGGGAGTAAGCATAAAGCCTTACATATTGAGTTCATTTCCTCTAGTTTCGCGTAGTTGGTTTCGGGGACCTGAAACATTAGCATGACTCACAGCGCAGAAGAAACGTACGAAACTAACCAAGAAGAAAATTAAGATGAGTACCAATATGTTCAAACCTCTATATAATAGTCAGTATATGAGCAGATGGGACATAGGAAGCAGTAGTCTCACGAGAAGAAGAACAGAAGATTTGCCGGCCCATCAAAACCCTTGCTTAACAACGGCACAAAAAGTACCAAAATCCCAAGACCAAGAAAATTGATCATAACACTAAAGCTCATTCCCACCTCTAGCATTTATTAGTCTCGGTAGGCAAGATGCTAAAGCAAAGGAGGGGGATTTACCGCGCACGCATAGAGGGAACACCTCTGCGCTTAGTGTAAAAGGAATGGGCCCAGCACCAATTGAGTAAAAAAAGACAAAAAATATAATGCTGAACACTGCTACCAGGATTGACCGAGTATAACAGTCGGTGATTAAGAAGAAGCCGCTGACTGCGATCAGACTCAAAAACATCCCAATAAATGAGACAAGTAGCAGAGGTCGGCGTCCACGAGAGTCAATAAACCTGTATGCAGGGAAAGTAAAAAGAAAATTGGCTAGACCAAAGCCTTTTTTTGCAAATTAGTTACGTTCCTCCATAGTCAGGAAGTTTCTTTTTCATCACCTACCGAAATTGTACCATTGAGTCTTTATGGATCTAGGTTCAGGAAACAAGCAGCTCGAGAAATCCTCGGGCTGGAAAACCGAGGACGAATAGAATGCTAAAACATTGATCTGTTAGTTTTTGATTAAGAGTTAGTCAAGTTGCACAGGTTATTTGAGACGTGCGTGTAAAAAACCTACACCGCACAGTTGTTGCGATATCATCACGATCGAAGCTACCGTGCACGCTCTTCTAGTTCGTGGATTTGTGGCGAGATACATCATCCGCTTGAAGAAATTGCCTCGTTTGATCCATTTTTGGTAGGCATAGAGTTGTTCTAGCTCTGACCACCATGATTGCCCTTCTTGGGGATTCCATACTGTGATCGCCTCGGTCTGAAGCTGAGCATGAATATAGTAAAGATCTCGGGCAGCTTGGATGGGAGTTCCTCGGAGCTCTAGGAGGCTTTTATATGCATCGGCATATCGGTTCCTCTGTATCAGATATCTCGGAGACTCGGGACATATAAACACCAAAAATAGAAGGACGATGGCGGGTATTATCGCGGTTGCCAGCAGCGCTCTCCAATTTTCCATTACCATAAATGCGCACAAGAAACCGAGAAATATTCCACTAGAAAAAAAAATTAGATGAAGGCCTGTCACGAGAGTTCAAACGTACAATGCATCGAAAAGTTGCCACAACATTAAGACTTGACCTCGATGTCTATCGGGCGCTGCTTCGGCAGCAAATATAGGAGCTATTGAAGCTTTTGATCCGATCTATTCAGTAGTAGTGTGTCAGATCGTAGAATGAGAAATATGATGGGATAGACAGGAACCTGAGACAAGACCAACATACCCCCACACCAAGTATTATTCGGCAGACGAGTAGTGACTCCCATGAAGTGCAAAGAGCTGTTCCTGTGTTAAATATCCAAATCAGTCGCTATAAAATAAACTCTAGGGCCACATATTACCTATCACAAGAGCGACGCAAAAAACCGCAGCAATAAAAAGCGCAGGGCGTCTGCCGAATTTCTCTTGGAGTGGATCACTCAACCACGTCCCTCTGTAGTCATGGTTAGAGACATATAAAGAGTAAGATGTTGGGTTTGTGCTTAACTTAAGCTGGAGAAACACATACATAACACTTCCCGAAAGCCAAGGAGCTGCGTTGATGAGTCCAATCAAAAGCAAATCATGTTCATCGGCCTTATCGAGGTCAAATGCTTCATGCCAGTCTAAAAGAGAGCTGCCATTGATTGTTGATTGCTGCCATCCCCTGTCAAAATTGTCAAAATGATCCACTGGATTCACTAGCATGGTGGGCATACTGTGTGATTGCGGCACAAGCCGTTGCCATAATAGTAACAAGGAGGCCCCTAGTATGCAAGAACGACAGCGAAGTCTCCGAATTCTCTTCCTTTATAGTCAAAATTTCCAAAGGGGTAAGCCCGGGTGTAGCATGACCCCATCGCTGTTTTGCGAGGCTTGCACCCTTGATGAGGGTCTTCAGATCGACGACACTTTCGAGCTGAAGACGCTCGTAAAATTGCTCGACCTCGGCCTCTAATTGAGAGTACTCTTGGTGAATGAGTGGGTTGTCTATCCTGATTGATCAAAGCCATTAGAAGTTGCTTCAAGAGACAGGGTTCGGGGGCTTCATGTATCACATTGGGTGGCCCGAAGGGCGTATGCCTGTACTCATCTTGTAACCTTATCACCAGGGACTGTTGCAAATGCGTAGAGATTTAGGTGTATAGTACGACAATGAAAAGAAATAATTGGTGAGATCTTGGTGAGATGAGTAAAAGCACAGATCCTGGGCCCAGGTGAGAGAGCCTCTTGTTGAGGTAATATGTGTTTGGGGGGATCTGTAAGAGCCTCCAAATTTTGGCATAGCCTCTCCTACAGATTATTTTATGAAAATTAATTTAGCGCTACAAATCACCGGTATTATAGCAATGTCAGCCTTAGTAGTAACCGACTACCCCGTGTTTACTGCGAAATATGCCTCGCACACATGTTAATGGTAGATGTCAGGAATTATATGCGGTATATAAATAGATTCCCCAGGGTATTTTACCCCTCACGAGCATGGTCTGTAGTAAGCCAATATATAAGTTACAATTTGCACCTATCGGCGGATGCCGCGTCGTAGCGGGAAGCAAGACACAAACGTCAACAGCAACCGGATGGCAGAAATTATGCACAAGGACGGACTGGGAAATTAATAATTGGCTGAGTTTCAGCAGAGAAGCCACACTAGTCTTGATTGAAATTGTGGCTGTTGGACGTCTAATGGCATTTATCCATTAAATTAAAACTATACGTAAATCCTTGACCTCGTATTAGGACTATACGAAGAGGCTCTTCGAGAAACCCCGGATTTGGTGCTGGTTTAGAGGCGAACTGCCCTTATTTATCCTGTTAAATCTTACTCTTCTCGCCTCGGGTCCTTATCCACCTTATGCAAAAGTATACTCCGTCCTTGGCCTCAAATTCCCAGTCAACACAGCCCCCAAATGTCTTCAAGCCCTATACAAACCGAATCAGTTTCAACCATTCTCAGAGAAGGAATAAGCGGTTATATCAACCGCTCAAAGCTTGAGAGTAGACTTTACGAATTATTCGGGCGCGATATCCAAGTTGTGGTGAGCACATGCCGTCTCCTATAGAAGCTCAATGTGAATGCTAAATCAGCTATATCTCCCAGTACTTTTGCGGCCGAATCAGTTTCCAAGCGAAGCGAGAAGTGCAAGAGGTATGCCTCCCGTGGCCTGAACATATTGATTCGCTTTTTTCTAACAGTGATTTCTCTAAATCTAGCATGAAATAGCGTATGCAGATCTATCAACCTTGGAAGTCCTCTAGTATACATGGTCGCTAATATCTGACTTGAACAGGGATCTCTTCGAGGATGAACGGGTTAACTGGGGCTGAAAAGGCATATTTATAGCATGGTTCTTGAAATGTTTGGAATGGAGTTGCGTCAATTTGCCTTGCAGTTTACTAGTTATAAATCCGGCTATCCCTAATAGGAACCAAGGGGCTGTGTCCTACACCAGCCCCTGACGTTTTACACCAGCCCCTGACGTTTTCAGCGTAAACATCACAAGAAAGAATATACCCTATGTAATTTAAAGCACATAGCCCCCCAGGAATGACCAACGTAGGACAACTCTCTAGCAATGTATGCAGTAGGGGTGTGAGCTTCTCAAGTCGGGCGTGAGTCGCCTCTGTGTGTTGCCCAATGTCCTATGATGTATCCATGGACCCTTATTTTGAGAGGCCAAGGCGGTTCTGTTTATTTTTTTTCTTATCTAAGCCTCTTTGCCACGGCTCATATTTAAGTAGTCTCAATGACCTCGGATAGAGCGATAATTCTGTTAACTATTTCCTCACGCTTGAATCGAAGAGAAAATTCACTGCCGAACTCACATGGCTACCAATTCAATGTATCCTACATTTTGTCTCCCTGGCGATCCGGCCAGCATCACTCTTTATCAGAGTGACGGTCAGTTTGGCATTATTCAAACAAGTAAACGGGTGCTAAAATTTGTACCTTACAGCTGACACACCAGATAAACTCATCGCTAGTGTTTTCAAAGACAACGGCTTGTTCCAAGAATATATATCAACCACGCCACTTCCAAGATTGCGCATCATGTAAGAATTTTATATCAATATAAGGATTCTTACAGCGTAGCTCACTCTGACTTTTTTTGGGATCTAGCTCCATACACTCCAAGTCATCAATCAAGCCCCTCCAAATCTCAGAGGATGCTCTCTGGGGGCTCAAGAATACCTATAATATTGGTGATGAATTATGGGACTTGACTTCAACATTCGGAGATAAACCCATGAGTGCAGCTGTAGGTGAAGGAGCAATGAAAGCCCAGAGTGGCGAGAATGGCATACAAGGTGGGATATTTCAATGCCTCATATCTTATTCATATGCCCAAAGGCGCTAAACCATATTTTAGATATCTCTTACAGACTCACATTCCCAACCCCAGTGGGCGCTAGCGATTGGACTATGCGCCAAATGGGTGTTTTCCATCACCATGATCCTAATGAACTTCAAAATCTTTGGATCTTCTTTCATGTCGGCCCTGATACACCTATGCAAAAAGAAATTGAGCAATATGCCTCAATATCCCAGCAGGGGTTACGCTCAGATCATGCGTGGCTGACACTTCATTCCTCTGTTTTCTCTTCTTGTCTGAATAATTGGCGGTCCTATGTTAAATACCTAGGCCATGACGTGGACAGACACGTTAGTATCTGCCATTATTTGCTTGGCTTGTCTGACTTTTATTTTAGACTGATAGATCCCTGGATTTTGTCTTGAGGAACATCGATCATTTTTTAACTGCCGGAGGCGACAGCAACTTAACGGCGATTCACAACACACGCGACCTTATTTTACCCACATCGTACCGGTTGAGAGTAATACTGGACACTCTTACAAAAATGGGTCATTTGAGCAGTGTTCTGGCCTCACAGCATAACGGCGCCAACAATGGCTTTCAAAGACTTGTCACGTACATGGAATACCACAAAGATCGTATAGAGGGGCTTGTTATTGGGGTAGACGTGCTGAAGAAAAAGATCAAGGATATCTTAAACATGGTAGGCATCAACTGCCAGGATATAACCACCATTCCCCGCGCTGACGGTCATGAAGACTACACTAGGATTGGATTTCAGGATGAGCAGCCAGATGCTTGACCTCAACAACCGGATGGTTGAATTAAACAATCGCATGCTTAATGCCAATGAACAGCTGCTCCAAATTGGAACCAAAAGTTTCGACGACAATGCCACGGTCAAAGTGGTCACTATCTTGACGCTCATATACTTGCCTGCAAGCCTTGTGTCGGTAAGTATCCCGAGGCCCCAAAATGAAAGTTTCTTCTCACCACTTAATAGTCTTTCTTCGGGATGAATTTGTTCAAGTTTGACGACGGGACAACTGAAGAACTCAGAATATCTAGGCAATTCTGGATCTTTGTTGTTGCTACAATCATCTTGGCAGTCATTACAATCAGCACATGGTATCTATGGACCCACAAAGAGCAGGTTAGAAGGCGAAAGTTCGGTCTGCTGAGGCGCGGGCCAGCGCAGGATACCGAGAAGCTGCCGGGTCAGAATTGACGGGTTGTGTGCAAGTGGATATGTTGAACTGATGTGCTAATTGGGCCAACTTGAGAAGTGTTGATATTGGGGGGGATTCGAGTGGCAAAGCCTCCTGTCATGTAAGAACAGATAGACTGCATTGATTTTAACACTAGATATTTTTGCATTCACATATCCATACTTAATGGATGGGCTGTTTGCGATGGAAATAGCTTGGCACCTTCCATTCAACATAGTATTCCCAGGTTAGACGACACGGCATTACTTAATTTTGCGACGATCTCCAGTTTAACATAAGCATAATAACAGGGCAGACAGTTGAATTAATTCATTCAGTCTGAAATAAAAAGACAAAAACATACAACAGTGAGGATTCGCTGGTGGTCACCCACCCAACTACTAACTCACCGGCGTGTGGCTTAAGTACGGCTGAGCGGACGGGAAGCCCTGTTTTCCACACCCTATGGTCGTATGTGCTTGGTAGATCACTGAGGAGGATCATATAGTGTGAATATATGAATGGTGAGAGAACAGGACCAGGGCTGGAATATCCAGTCTAAAATCAGGTAACATTCAGGCAGAACTGAAAACCAAGCATCGGGCCTTTCGCCGGTAAGTCTTTTTGCAGGTATGTGTGCTATATATAGGGTGAGAAAGTGATCTTTGTACGGAGTAGCGCAAGCGCACTCTCAGCTGGCAGTGGATCGCGTTCGATCTGAAGGACTTATCATTCTCTCATCTGCACATCCACAACCCCCACATTCTTCACGTAGGATCTATTGCTTGCTCTAGGTCGATAGGTCAAGCTCTGGAGTCTTCACCATATAACCCCAAGTTAGAATGAAGATTGATAGGAGAGGAAACAGAGGAGGTTGTTGCGACGGAGCCTAGATGCTCTCGTTGGGTTGAAGCCTCACAAATCAGGCAACAAGACAGATGGTCTCAACAATATAGTTGAAAGATTTCAATATTCAGTGCCCTTTTTATTCTAGGTACATGTCTCTCCCTTTATATGTATAACAAAAAAACAACCGGGCACATTCGGCAAATTGCGGGATATATGCATCACGCTAATTCATTTCTCAGCCTCGCATAATTAAGCGTCGAAGGCCACATCAACTCTTTTTTTCCCCCTGACCCCTAGAAAAAGAATCTCTCAATCTCTTAATCCTTGATCGCACATCGAAAAACAAACCCGTACAAGAATGCCTTTGTCTGACTTCAAGAAGCATGGACCTTTGAAGTGGCTTCGAAAAAAAACCTGGTCATACCGCGTCTACAGGTGGTTGTTAATCGACCAGTCCAGTAATTTCTAGTCAATCGCCTTAGACACCCAGGCAAACCGCCTTATTGAAGAAATTGAATATAACTCAGCCCTACGGATAAAAGAATCTAGGGAGACTACGTAGTGAATTCTACCCAAGATAAAAGTTTTCTGATATTGCCTCTCAATAACATCCCGACGCATGAGTGTACTGTCTTCATCTCCATTCTTGTAATCGTGAGAAGTGTGTATCACAATCTGTCACACAGCCTTCTTTCCTCTCCCGTTCAGAGATCCATCAATTTGCAAATACGACTCCAGGACCTCAAGTTAGAGAGGCTCATTCGGAGGCCATGTCGGTGGCATCACAGAACAAACTCCGTTGTGTGGGGAGTCAATGTGCAGATCATCCAAGCAAAAGCCCCAGGCTCTTGCCACCCGGCTATCTGGCCGATAGCCAGATCTACAGTCCCATGCTAGGATAGCTCCATCCTCGTCGTTGAAGAAATCGAGTCGAAACGCATAGTCCCGCTCAACCTTGAATTCCATTTCAAATTCCATGTGTTTCAAACGAGGCATACGCTGGGCAGCTTAGCCTAGTGATATTAAAAGTCGGTGGAATTGATCTTCGACCGGTATCGATCGCTTGACGTCTACTTTACCGTGGCATATCTCGAGGTCCCAGTCGCCAATCTGGTCGATTTCTGCCTGCTCCTTGGCATCTGGAAGAAAAAACCATTTGCCTATTCAATTGGCTTATTGTCAGTGGTCATCTGCATGCCAAGCACCATTTTCTTGCGCATTAGAGTGAACATACCTGAAGGACTCCAGGAGGGCATAGAATACGCCTCCCATATCTCCAGATGCGGCCACCACAAGGAGTCTCTTTCGGGTATTGAATGGCCATCGTCATTCAAAGGCCACATGAAGTCAAGTGGAAGGATAACACTTTCCAATCTGAGTTCCCGAAGGCAGGTGCTGAGGTCTCTCAGATTGATTGCCAAGCTATCAATGGTAAAAGGGATAACATTCGGGACAGGCATCCAATCTTTCCATGGCCTTTCACATTCACCGGTATAGGTGAATATCCGCAAGCTTTTTGGAATAGCTCCGATTAGAGAAGATATCGCTATATAGCTAGTATTAAAATTATGTCTGTAGAGTGAGGAAAGGGAATAATGTCTACCGTCACGGCGTGCCCGCATATACAGCCAAAAGTCAGGGCGAACCCGTTCATTGAAATTCAGGTGTAGTGTAGTGATGGTTGGACAGTGTTCGATAATTGTTTGCGCTGCTCCCGCCCAGATTCGATGATGCCGACCCCGGGGCCGGTTCAGGAAGAATAGTTTATCAATGCACAGAACATTTGCTAAATTTTTCCCAATAAATCGCGCCCGGTATGGGGGAACTGACTTCGCTTCGCCATTTTGGTAGGTGCAGACATGTGATCCGGCGTACTCTGCATAGTAAGTGTTTGGTTCCGGTGCGGCCTTCTCGCTTTGGCGATATCCTCGAAGCCCTAGCTGTAAGCTGAGACGGCCACTCTGGTCCCACGAGGAAAGCATTTGAAAAACGCTAACCACGGCCGTCTAGAAAGCTAGGTTGTTGGCCTCCCGGATAGTATTCCTGGTGCTGTAAACTTTTCCTTTGGGCTCGGTTTGTTTGCATGTCCTCCAGTCTAAAATGTCGAATGGGACGAGGATGTCGTAGTGCAAATCTCGAACCCAGGATTGCCGTATAGCACGATTGCCGGATGTGAGATCCTGAAACTTTGTGAGAGAGATTCCTGATTGATCTTCTTGTTTATGTTCATCGTCACTGTAAACGTCCAGCTTGAAGTAGATGAGGGGCTCAAAAGCCATCTGCCAAATGCGACACACAGAAGCACATGGGGCTAAAGGAGCGCCTTCACCTTGCAGGATATTTGCAATCTGGATCAATAGTTCCAGGGGTAGCTTCATTGCCATTTTGTCGGTTAGATGGTTCGGCGTGAGGATAAAACGAAGTTGAGTAGATCACCGGCGGGATGATAGAAGATATTCCAAAGGGTAGAAGAAAAACGGGAAGGGGAGGAAGAATATTTGAAGGCACAATGAATTCTGTTTGCTGTTGGTACCTTGCTTTTGAGGCTTCAATTAGCTGCTTGTTCTTTCTCTTTCTCACACAGTCTCACTGTGCTTTCATTCTGGTCTCACTTTGGTCTCACCATGCGCTTAAGTAAATTCCTACCCTTAACAGAACCATAGACTTGGTGTTGTCAAAAACGCTTATGGGTAAATATATCTCTGCTTTTCTTTTATAGGTCTAGTATATGTAAATATAGTGGCAGACTCTAGTCTCTTGCCACCTTGCTACCTGGCCGTCCGAAATTAAAATCCCAGGCTAAAGCAATGCCAACGGCATCGTTGAGCAAAGGAAAAAATAACCCAATAACGACATATATCTTTGTGGTTTTTGAAGAATCTGTTTCTATTTTGCCTCGTGCTCTACCTAACCATCGAAAGCGAGTGGAAACCGAGCGTGCCTATAGACATTCTCTATAAGGTACTCGTGTTGGTACAGGGAACGTCAGTAAAATGCAGCCCACTTAGACTGGCACAACTATTTTAGTCCCACTGACACCACCCTTCAGCTTGTCCAGTGCTACGTGTAATCCACCCAGACCACCACCCTCAATCTGGATATTGGGGCTGGGGATTACTTCACCGGACTGCAGGCCAATCTTCAGCCACCCATTGAAGATGTCGTAAATGTGCTTGTTCCGCGCGATCTCATCCATGGAAGGAAAGTTGAAAGTGATCTGCGTGTTGTCGAGGGTAGGGTGTCCTTCTGGGAGAAGGGCCGAGTGTACAACCTTGGCGTGTGCATTGCCCTTGGTCTTCTTGAGGACTTTTAATGTTGACTGCAGAGCTCCATCAACAACGCAGTGTGCAGTGTGCAGCTTGACGCCGTCTTTCTTTACGGTGCTGACAATCTGGGAAACGATATGGCTTGTTCTGTAATCAAATACCGCATGGGCCCCGAGCTTCCTGACGAGATCGTGGTGCTTGAAGCCTAGGGTCCTGGCCGATTGAACGGCAAACGTGCCGACACTGCTCGATGCGCCCCAGATCAGGACCGCTTGTTTGTCGGCGGGAGTGTACTTGGTGTCGAGCGGAATGCCAACTGTGGTCCAGGCAGTCAAGGCCGTCAAGACGGCCAAGGGGAAGACCGCACCCTCCTCGAAGGAGAGATTGTCTGGAAGTGGAATGACAGCTTCAGATTGTGCCAATCTGTACTTTTGGAAGGAGCCGTGGTCTGGAGATCCGTTCTGGTAGAATGATGAGGCAAAGGCAATGACTCGGCTTCCTGGGCCAGGGACCGTAGTGACATTCGCGCCAAGCTTGACGACAACACCAGCAATATCGGATCCTATTATAGCAGGGTATATAGGTACAGGAGGCATACCATAATCGCGCTGGAAATGATCACATGGGTTCAAGGCAACAGCCTTGACTTCGATGAGAACATCGTTTGGACCGGGCTCGGGGTGGGACGCTTGCCCGGAGACAAAGGACCGCCCCGCTGAGGAAGAATGGCAGCTTCGTGCCGTCCCGTCATAGTGAATGTTCAACGAGTTGTAATTGCTATGGGTGTGGTTCTGCTGGAAGTATGGTTCAATCTGAGCAGGAGTATGCAGAAGGGAAGAATGATAGGTGAAATTTTGAAGATGAAGATGAGTATACAACGGGTTTATATTTTAGTAGTTGCTGATGTACCCGCAGTTAAAGCCGTCGGCTTTAAATCTGATACGTCCCTAAAGCCCGATTGGAGAGTTTTGTTCCTGTGCGTTATTGAAGCCCTACGATACTGGGATGCCCAAGTGAATCCAATTAGATGTAGTATTTTCCCTGCTTCGGTGTTAGAAATAGGCACTTGCCATTAAAATCCGACTTCGTATGGGGGAAACTCGAGATCCGTTAGTATCCGGTGAGTTAGGACGAATGCTTAGCCTTCTTTTTTTAGTGAGAGTCATTTGGTCCCATGGCATGTATAGAGAGAAGAATATTTTGTGTCTATAAACCAAGGTTAAATAGCTCAATCGCAGTTCGGCAATGAAATACTACATGTTCAAAGAAAGAGAATCATATTGTAGAGGCTAATGAGCAGAATATAGGTTCCAGAGCCTTCTTTGATTCACTATTAATTTACAATACTGTACTTAATTCCAAATAGCAAGTCCAAATATACCTAATTATAGCGGAGAGCGCGCTCGTCCACTGCATATGCACCTCAAGGTCTTAAACCCTTTCCCATTTCCCTCTAACTTTTATTTTTCAACTTTTTCCAGGGGTTTTCAAACTTAACACATGCCAGTGCACAACATGCCGTACTTGAAATAAGACGTACACCCATCTCACTGCCCTCAATATTTGCTTTGGGCACACAAGTTCAGTGGAGACATATTCCTTCGCAACTGTCGGATGTTTGTGCACGGTCGATGACTTCCGGGGTCAAGTTGAAGTCGCATTCACAGGTTGCGATTGAGGATGTTTGTTAGCATCCAATGGCAAGGGGCTTGCTCCGACGGCAACCGGGGACACCCGGGACGAATTCGCGGAATGGTCTAGCAGCTGTTAGTGTCCTTTCACATGCAGCCCTAACTTGACACATGGACAACTAGGATCGTGATCATCCTATACCTCATCGTGTATGACTCGACAAACTCACTTGGATTTTTGTTTCCCGGCGGCAATGCTGTTGCGAACCGTTCCCAAAGAACGTCGTCAAGGCCACTGTTCCACCCCTTGAGACTGGCTCCATAATGAAGCCAGCATTGCAAAACACGACTTGTATTGGAAAAGCCGAAGAATCCCTCCCTCTCTGCGAAAATACTCATTTGTATCCAGACTTTCACTTGCAAAGGGGAAACAAATTGACCTAGATCATCGCCTGCCAAAACACCATCGATTTTGAACCATTCCTTGGCTGTGTTATCGCTTCCTTCTTCAAGCTCCGGTCAGCAGGATACTCCCAGATTTCCAATGCCTATGGGCCTCATACCTTGCATTGTTGCCTCTGAAAATGGGATTGTTCCCCTGAGTGGTCTCAACTTTGGGTTTGTGCTCAGATCATCACTTTGTCTTGAAAGAAAAAGAAGCCAGGGGGTTGTGGGCTCGGAAAATCTCCTAACCACATTTGTGAGCCTCAGAGGGCTCAGAGACTTTTAGTCAAGGATTTGCGGCGTCTGTTACTATCAATATTGGCACCTATTGTGGAGCGCTTGATAATTCGACTAAGGGGGCTGGGATCTTCTGTATAGCCTCGATGAGCCTGGCCACCAAGGAAATGAGTCCCCAAAATTATATTCAACTCTACAACTCAGGATCGCTCTGATACAAGCTTACGACATCCCCGCCTGACTGATGAGATGTGCATCAACATATAACATCATCTACTCCTCTCATATTACCGGACTATTCAATCGGGGATGATTCAACCCTTGGTATTCTTTACGGCTGAATTTTCGGCCCCTTTTCTAGGGTTTCACCTTTCCACACCCGAAAATACCTTCAGGCGATTGGTCGTCATTTTGAACTCAAAGGCTGACTAGGGGAAATTCAGCGCTGGAGTGAATTGTGATATGTCGTTTTTTTCTTCAGTTGCCCACACCAATCAAACATGATACGCTTAAAGGGTCCAATCTCTGAGTCTGGATCGTTGATCTCAATTTCCACTGAGATAACGAAAGCTCCCAATTTATGTTATATGAACTGTTCAGAGTACGGAATACTGCTCAGACTACCCCTAGTGTTTTGTGAAAGCTCTGTCAATCAATTTTATATTTGAATCAATTCAAAAAGCACTATCACTAGATCCCTGCAAAAATTCAACAGCAAAACTTTTATTCCCGAATTTCCTTCAACAATCCAGTCAATTCAAACGTCCCATCCCCTGTATCAACCGCAGAATTATCTCCCGCGCATCCTTCCTGTCTCTAAACAACCCATTTTTGGAAATGGCAAAAGTCAACCTAATCTGCCGGTCATCTTGACGCTCAAACCAGTCCCAAAGGTAATCAATAATAGCGATATCATTGTCCCCAAGCTGATTCCCATCCAAGAAAAGACCCGTTCGAGCGCTGTTGAGCAAGATGAGACCGTCTCGAAGAGATTCCTGGTTCTGATCCGCAAAGACTTCTTGCCACATAAAAGAAGTGGTAAAGAATCTATCGAGCCAGACAAACGTGCTCCTCATTGCCTGGAGCTTGTAAAGATGGATCTGATGGTCATCGGTAACGGAATCCACCACGTCACTTCCACCATCCATCAATAACAGGCGATCCATGATGAAAATAACAAGAGTCAACCTGCCAGCTGGATATTCACTCGCAAGCCTCGAGTACACAGCTTCTGAATCAGACCCAAGGTTCGCTTCAAGCACTTTTCGCAGCTCCCCGCGAGTGTCCATGTTGCGCGATTTCAGGAAATTGAAAAGAGACGTGCACGACCCGGCTGTTCGACCTTGAAACCATGCCGAGTGATGCTCCTCGAGCCACTTTTGAAGAATAAAGCCGACATCATCCACAGATCGAAGAGATCGGTTCTCCTTCGCTGCTCTGTAGGCTTGCTCTTCTTCTATTTGCTGGTGGATATTCTCGTTCACGTCCACAACCATCCGCATTGTTTCCAGTTTGTGGCGTAGGGCAAGACTGAGTTTGCCATTGGGCTTGTACACCAAGTCATGCTCCAGATTTGTCCATCCACGCATTTCTGTGCTTATGACTTGAATCTCGACCAACTTCGCGTCGGCGGATTGTAGCCCTCGGGCATGAAGGTCCTCCGGTTTTAGCAAGACATGGATATGTGTCGCAACATAGCCCTGAGACCCCTGATGGGTTCCCTTGGGGTCGTCCTGTTTTGGGTGGTGCACCACCTTTTTGACCACGAAGGTGTCGTGCAAAAGCTCGCTGGCTTTTATTCGGTTCGATGGGATGTGCACCAAGATGCACATTCCAGCAAGATCAACAATGTCATTGTTGATATCTTCGATGGCTTGGTAAGGAAATCCTTGCTTGCGTTCAAACTTCGTAAGTTTGTTTTCAAGACTGGCGAGCTCCTTGAGCCGGGACTCTGTGGCATGGGGTATTCCATGGTTGGAAAGGAGCTGCTTGCATATTTCCTCAACTGCGCTGAGTGTCTTGCGATAATAGACTATGTCTTGGGTCCTATATCGTTGCACGAATAAGGAGGCCACTGACTCGCCTTCCGAGACCATGAATGTTGTGTTGGGAGCCATCACGTTGGACTTTCTTTTTTGGGGGGAGGGTATCAAGGAAGACAAAGTTCAGTTGGCTAATAAATAGAGCTTGTCGGTCTCTGATCACAGTGGGAGATACATGAGAATGGGCCTGGTATTTATAGCCAAATTTTGCACCCCTGGCGACAACTTGGCTACTAGCAAAATATGCCTCTGTTGCTGCCCATTTTCATCAGAAAAGTCGGTATAAAGATGAGCCATGTTCAATTTGTGCTTGATGGTGTGTGGAAGAACAAGGGTGGACGAGTGAGTCGGTGAAGAAGTGATGAAGTTATTCGTTGTCATGCTCCTATACATCCCAATCCAACCATGTTATCTGCACATCAGCCTTGCAGTGTGGGAGAGATTGCGGCCCGAGAGCCTCGATCTTTTTTATCTTGATGGCCAGTTCATGCATGTATATTTCAATTGCCTAGTGCCTCGCTGGGGGGGATTATTTGATTAGTCCAATGCGGTCATATCCTTGTTGATACCCAATCTTCCCAATATTTCCAATCCCGATCACCCGGGTAAGTATTATCAAACTGTTAATCTAATTTCCCTGATTTTGGGCCACTATTCTATTTCTGGGTGGCATATGGTATGCATTGAGTGGGAGAAGTAAAGAGCGGAGCAATCGGTGATGGGCAACCCTAAAGCCATGGCAATTCATGTGGACCATATTCACCCTATAGATTCATTATGTCAATAATAGCATCTCCTTCCATCGATTGGTCCAAGTGGCCGAACAGTTTCCTGGTCTAGCGGTTATGATTTTCCGTTAACAAATGCAATTAGCAGATGTTCCGGAAAGGTTCTGGGTTCGATTCCCAGGGAAACTATTTTTTGTATCTTTGCTATTTAATTGTTAGCAAAGGTACTTACTTCCCTTTTTTGTCTTTTGTATCAAATGTGGAAAGTTGGTAGATTGGAGTTCTTCTTTCCTTGTCTTATCTATGTACTATGTACAGATGATCTATTAGCAGATTCAGGTATCCAGGGACAACATTTCCCCTGGAAAACAATGGCATCTGTTTTCTATATTGACTCTACACAGCACTATATAATCTAATACATATTGCTGTGTGGATGTAGGTCGTCATGGAAATATACATGTACTATATAATGATCTGTTTACAGTGAAAATCAGTTTAAAAGAAGGGAATCAATTGATATATTTTGTTTAAATCTATCCAATAATGGACAATTTACTCCAAGCGCAGCTTCTCGAACTCCTTGACCTGCTCCTCGAGACGGGCAGCCTCGCCCTCAGCATCACGGAGACGCTTCTCCTCCTGCTCACGGACCTCAGCCTTGACCTTCTCCTTCCAGCCAGGGCCGTTGATGATGCCCTGGGATCTACGGACAGTCTCACGGGCCTTGTCGAGGCTAGCCTGAGCCTTCTCTTCCTGCTCCAGGGCAACTTCCTTGGAGACGCGGAGGTAGACAGCAGCCTCGGAACCGACGGCAGCCACAACACAGCCAGAGGGAGGGTTCTTGTTCTCTGGGCCGAGGTGGGACAGCTCGCCGAGGGTCTTACCACCCAGAGACTTGATGGTGTTCATCTCTCCGGAGACGGTCTTTTCGCTGGTAGCGTCGTATGTCTGGATGATGATGTCGCCCTGGGTCTTGACGTCGTACTGGGACAGGATAGAGCGGATAGCCTTGGAGGTGTTGAGGATGAGCTCGTAGGCCTCGGCGGCGGCCGGGTCGTCGAACTCGGCGAGGTACTCGGGGTACTTGGCCTTCATGATCGAGATGGTCTCGTCGCCTGCGCGGCGGGGCAGACGCTGCCACAGGTGCTCGGTGACGAACGGCATGATGGGGTGGATCAGGGTCAGCGCACCCTCGAGGGCTGTGTAGAGGGTCTGCTTGGCAGACTCCTTGGTCTCGGCTGAGGCCTCATCGGCCAACAGGGTCTTGGAGTTCTCGAGGAACACATCGCACAGCTGGCCGTACCAGTACTGGTAGGAGATCTGGGCAGAGCTAGAGAATTCACGCTGCTCAAGAACCTCGTTCATCTCCTTGGCGGCGATGTTGAACTTGTGCAGAATCCAGCGCTCGGAGAGAGACTCGTTGCCAGTCTTCTTAACACCGGCCTGGGGCTTGAAGTCATCGCCCAGCTTGCCGAGGACGAACTTGGTGGCCTGGTAGATCTTGTTACAGAACTTACGGTATCCGTGAATGACCTGGATATCGAAAGCAATATCACCTCCTGCAAATCATTGTTAGTAAATAGAATCAAACGGGGAAATTAGATGAAACCTACCACCAGTGGTGTAAGAGACAAGAGCGAAGCGGAGAGCATCGGCACCACACTCGGGAATACCCTTGGGGAAAGCCTTCTTCTGATATCTGGTAGCAGCGGCAATCTCCTTATCGGCGATGTTGCCCAACTGCAGCTTGTCGTGAAGAGTCTGCAGCTGAATACCCTCCATGACATCCAGAGGATCGATGACGTTGCCCAGAGACTTGGACATCTTGCGGCCATCAGAATCTCTGATCAAGGAGTGACAGTAGACCTCACGGAAAGGAACCTGGCCAGTCATTTTGATACCCAGCATGATCATACGGGCAACCCAGAAGAAGAGAATATCCCAACCAGTCTCCAGAACGGAGGTGGGGTACAGGTTCTCGAAGTCGTGAGTCTTAGTGGGCCAGCCCAGAGTAGAGAAGGGCCAGAGGCCAGAAGAGAACCAAGTGTCGAGAACATCGGGATCACGGACAAGAGAGAACTTCTTGCCGGGGAACTTCTCCTCGGCCTTCTTGCGAGCATCTTCCTCGGTGCGGCCAGTAACCCAGAGGTTGCCGTCGCTGTCGTCGCCATCCTCGCCTTCAATCTTGACGAAGTAAGCAGGAGCCTGGTGTCCCCACCAGAGCTGACGTGACAGACACCAATCGTTGAGGTTGCGCATCCAGCGGAAGTAGCTCTTCTCGGCGGACTCGGGGCGGATTTTGATATCGCCGTTCTCAACGGCATCGATGGCAGGCTGAACCAGGCTCTCCATCTTCATCCACCATTGCGGCTTCATGATAGGCTCAATGACATCGTTGGACTTGGCGCAACGAGGAACCTTCATGGGGTTGTGCTCCCACTTGACGTACAGACCCTTCGCCTTGAGATCCTCAATGACCTTGTAACGGGCATCGAAACGCTTCATGCCAGCGAAGGGACCGGCGTGCTTGTTGAAGGTACCATCATCGTTCATGACAGAGATGAACTCCAGGTTGTGAGCCTTACCACGGTTGAAATCGTTGAAATCGTGGGCAGGGGTGATCTTGACGGCACCGGTACCGAATTCGGGCTCGACTTCGGGGTCGGCAACGATAGGGAGAAGACGGTCCAAGAAGGGATGGCGAGCGTTCTTGCCGATCAGGTGCTGGTAGCGTTTGTCGTCGGGGTGGACGGCAATACCAGTATCACCAACCATGGTCTCGGGACGAGTAGTAGCAATTTCGATGCGCTCGGTGGTTCCATCAATCTCGTAGCAGAAGTGAGTCAGGACACCGAACTCGACCTTCTTTTCGTAGCCAGGCACATCGAGAAGCGTGCGGCCCTCGATCTCCTTGTTGTCGACCTCGAGGTTGGACAAAGAGGTGTTCAGAGCCACACACCAGTTGACCAGGCGGTTGGCACGGTAAATGATACCCTCCTCGTGGAGGCGAACAAAGGTCTCGGTCACAGCAGCTGAAAGGTTGGGGTCCATGGTGAAGGCCTCACGGCTCCAGTCGAACGAACCACCAAGTCTGCGCAGGGAGTTCTTGATGTTCTTGTGGTATTCATCCTTCCAGTCCCAGATCAAGTTGACCATGGCCTCTCGGCCAATGTCGTGGCGGGTCTTCTTCTCCTTCTTCCACAACATCTTCTCGACAACGCTCTGGGTTGAGATACCGGCGTGGTCCATTCCAGGAAGCCACAGGGTAGTCTTGCCCTTCATTCTTTGCCAGCGGATCATGGTGTCCTGGAGGGCATTGGTAAGGGCGTGGCCCATGTGAAGAGAGCCGGTAACATTGGGAGGGGGAATAGGGATGACGAAGGAGCCTTCCGGTTTAACCTTGCCATCAGGACCGAACTCGGGCTTGAAGAGATCACGCTCCTCCCACCAGTCGAGACGACCAGCCTCGATGGCAATGGGATCGTAGGCATCCGCGGTCTTGTCCTTCTCGGGTTTCGCCTTCTTCTCGACCTTGGGAGCTGCAGCCTTGCTGGCGGCAGCCTTGGCCTTGGCCGCCTTCTTCTCTTCGAACTTCTTGTTCTTTTCGGCCTTCTTGCGCTCCTTCTCCACTAGAAATCACCCACAGTATCAGCAAATGCTTATTATATAGCGACGGCTTCCGAGGAAAGGTTCCGATATAGATTCTGGTGGCAACATACACTCCTTCTCGGTCTTCACCTTGGGAGCTCCGGCCGCTTCGCCCTGGTTCTGACCCTGGGGGTCCTTTGCGGCAGCATCGACGATTTGGGAGGGTGTCTGTTCGTTGACCTGAGGGGTTGTGCTGGTCACGGGAGCCGTAGGCTCACCCGCTATTCACTGTAAGCTTCTGCGACACTTGGGAATGAGTCATGGAACTCACTGGGGGTTTGGGCAGAGTTCTGAGCCATCCTGGAGAATGAACGATATTGAGGAGTAAATCTCCAAGGCGCCGCTCGCGCCACGAATCGCCGGATAAGTATCTTGAGAGATGAAGAAGTACAAGGAGGGGTGGTTGTGCGAAATGCGGGCAATTAAATTTCCCACGAAGGTCAACGAATGAGAGCGCGGGGCTTGGTGGGAGGTTCGGTGGAGTCGGGTCAATGAAGCGCGTTTATATGCAGACAACACTCATCGAATATATCATTGAGTATATTTTGTTCCTTCTTTTCACGCGTTCCTTGTAATTCGATTAATTTATTCGGCCTGAAAGACATTGCGATAACCCTCACGTGATACGCTGGAGCCAACAGGTGATCTGAGGCTACATCTATATAACATTGGAATTTTTTTGTATAATTTACTAAATTAGAGATTATTCACATTCGATATCAGTTTGCTAGTCTAATACCGAGTCTAGATATATAAGATCATTATATGGAGTATACTTGGGTTGAGACATCTATGTATGTATCAAATATAGAACAATTCGACCTACGATGTATATCAATTTCTAGGGTTTCTTGATTTTTTGTTCAAATAATTTTTTTTCAATCTCATCCAATGTTTTATTCATAAAAAGGAAAGCGTTAAGAAAATGCAATGGGTTATCTTAGGAAAATCCCTTGAAACACGAAGCACCCAGCAGAAAGGCCAAAACACCAATTCAACTAACAAGGGAGAAATCAATTAGGAAAACCCACGACCAGCGCTATACAAATAGGAAAAGATGAAAGAGAAGAGTGATTTCCCCATCTAAGACGTTGGTTTATCACGCTCATTGACACGCCAAACGACCTAGGCGATAAGAGGGTTGGAGAGACCCAGCAAATTAAATGTCATGATGTCTTGTCATCAAAGTCGTCTTCATTCAGGATTTGATTGTTTGCCGCAGCCCATAATTCGAAGGGCTAGTGAAAAAGAGGAACAGGGAGTACGAAGACCAAGCTCGTTTCATGTTTCGATCATCGTTGTACCATTCATATCGGCAAATTTCAAATGCAAAAGGTACGTAATTGTCGTGATGCCCGACGCAATCTTGATGGCAGCATGCGGGGAATTTGGAAACCGGGCATCACGATAAAGAGATCAGAGCCATGGTCATCAACAGTTCATGCGAGAGGAATTCATGGCAGTGTCACATTGTTGTGGCTAAGGGCCGCTGCATCGGCACGCACAGGGTCAAAGTATGCGTGTGCCATGGCCTCCTGAGCAGTCAAGCGGTCCTTTGAAGATAAGTCAGTATGATCAACTTGCAGAGAGGCTAGAACAACTTACAGCATGGTCGTAACGCAGAAGCTTGTCAAGGAAATCAATGGCCTCGTCACTGATGAAACGCTGGTTCTCTGCGTTGACGAACGAGTGCCACGGCTTCCGGGGGAAACGGGAGAGGATGTCGTCGTATTGCGGGTCCAGTTCAATGTCGTACTTGTCCAAGTACTCAAAGAGCTCCTCAGTACCAAGGACCTTGGCGATCTTGACCAACTGGTCGGTGTTGCTGCCTCCGTGGAAGAAAGGTTCCTTACGGAAGATCATGGATGCGAACATAGCACCCAGAGACCACATATCCAAAGAATAGTCGTATTCCTGGAAATCAACGAGCAGCTCGGGGCCCTTGAAATAACGAGACGCAACACGGACGTTGTATTCTGTGCCCTTGTGGTAGAACTCAGCGAGACCCCAATCGATCAGACGAAGCTATAATATATTAGAATCAAGATTTTCCGCAACAACTCAGAAGTCCACTAACCTTGCGCTTCTCATGATCAATCATGACATTGTGGGGCTTGACATCCCGGTGCATGATACCCTTGCTGTGGCAGAAGTCCAGCGCCTTGAGCAGCTCGAAAACGTAGAAACGAACATCGTAATCGGAAAAGCGGGGGTACAGGGTGCGGAAATCGGTGTTGTTGATAGCCTCGAACACCAGACTAGGAGTCTTGCTCTGGTTGTCGCGAACAACATCCAACAAAGCCACAACATTGGGTCCACCCGCGAGATTCTGCAGAATCTTGATCTCACGCTTGATCTTCTTCTTCTTGACAGGCTTGAGAACCTTGATAACGCATTTCTGGTAGTTGACGACGTTGATGCCTTCGAAAACCTCCGAGTACTTTCCCCGACCTGAAGTGGATATAGTCAGAAAGTTTAGTCTTCAATTTCACCTGCAGCTCACAGCTTGCGGCAACCATCTCCGACATGCTGCAGAGGGACAGGATTTGATCATTTCTCACCTATCTTGCGAACAATTTCATAATTTTCAAGGACACCCCAAGAGATATTGACACTGTCATAATCCCAGTAGGACCGAGGCATATGCTCGTTGACATCGGCATAGACACGCGCCATCTTGACGATGACAGGCGGTTTCCGAGTGCGCCCACAATTGAAAGATGTGCGGCGGGGTCACGAGGGGCGCCGTGTGACGGAGCGAGGGGCCGGGGGTTAGCTTGACGTAGGAGACAGGTAGCAACAGGCCCAGCGACTAATCAGCCCAAACGCAGTGCTCACAAGAAGCCTTGAGCAATGGGATGGACAGAGTGAGATATTGTCGTGATATGATCAGTAGAATGAGATCCGTTCCGCCTGAGGTCACGGGATCAGAGAGGTTTGTGGGGACCCGACCCAAAGTAGCTAGTGCAATTGACGGATTCTTTGTTAATCCGTTCGATTTTCTGATTGCCTTTTTGGGACAGTTCAATGTGATCAAGAGCCTCGAGAAGTCAAAACAATAACTCCTACGGGCAGGGCTGGCCTTCTTTTAAATCCAACATGTTTTACGACCTGAATGTACCTTACAGCCCCGATGACCCGGAGGTGCCCCACACTCTGAATTTCCTCGCCGAACGTAAGTCATTCATTCCGCTCCGCGGCACAAGATCCGCAGTTTAGAGCACATGAGGGATTGACCTGACTCTTTAGTTGGTTACACTACGGTTGCCCTGTCTCAAACGATCAACGGGAAGCTTCCCCCGACACTTGCTCCACCTCCTCTTCCAACAAACGCGCCAAAATCCCTCCAACTGCTGACCCGGTTGAACCTGACTCTGGCCGACCCCGCGCAGAACCAGCGCCTAACCGCCCTGAGTCAAGCCTACGACATCGTTGCTCTCCGTCCCACAAATGAAAAGTCACTTCTAAATGCGTGCACCAACTTGGAATGCGACGTGATCTCCGTGGATCTCTCGGTGCGACTTCCATACCACTTCAAATTCAAAATGCTGTCCGCGGCAATCTCACGTGGAGTTCGTATCGAGATCTGCTATGGGCCAGGTATCACGGGGAGTGGACTTGATGCCCGACGAAACCTCATTGGGAATGCAACTTCCTTGATCCGCGCGACACGAGGTCGAGGCATTATCGTGTCCAGTGAAGCAAGAAGAGCTTTGAGTCTACGAGCCCCATGGGACGTGATTAATCTTGCCTGTGTCTGGGGTCTATCACAAGAGCGCGGAAAGGAAGCAGTCTGCGAAGAGTCCCGGAAGGTCACAGCTTTGGCCAAGTTGAAGCGAACCAGTTGGCGAGGCATCGTGGATGTCGTCCACGGCGGGGAGAAAGCCAAACCTGAAGGACCCGCGCCAAAGCAAAAGAACCCCCCAAAGCTAAAGAACCTGTGCAGGTGCAGCCAGACAACGGAGCGGATAATCTCAAGAGGAAGGCTTCTATCAGCTCTGAGCCTGTCGCCGAGGATGCTGACAAGCCTTTGTCCAAGCGAGAAATCAAACGACGAGCCAAGAAAGCACGATTTGACGCAAAAGGAGAGAATGCTACTTGATTTAAACTTGCTAAGGCGTCTTTAAATTTTCGTTGCGGAGGGAGTCCATTCCTCTGTCACCGGTAGAAGCCAGGGACATTGATATTCCCTGGCTTTCTATTAGCGAGAGTCATAAGTTGGGAGCCAACCGGTCGAAATACTCCTCTTGTGTTCCAATTGGGACTCTTTCAAGCAACCGCTGTGACTCCAATCGCTACCCAGTACACCATGATGATGTACGCGCCGCTGAAGAGCAGAGCAATATGTTGCCCACAGTTATTCTGTCGTCTCTTGAACAGTATTGTTGAGCCGGTATATTGATTGCTGTTCACTTTCAAACGTGAAACATAGTCATTATCACAATGATGCAATTACTACGGTAGCTCCAGGGACTCGTTCACATTTTCCGAGTATAGCATAGCTGGAATGGGCATATATGGATGGATTTCAGCATTCCCTACCAGATCATCAATACACATACTTTCGAATTGTTTGCTAGTCCAGTCTATAGAAAACCCTCTGTTCTAACCGCTACTGACAAGTATGACACGACGTAAATATTTTCTCACAATTAAGCTGTGTTAGCCTGTAGGACTTCCACTTGGGAATCTAGTCTTGATACGTTGATAGACAGATTTGTAGGCGGAAAGTTGTATATAGAGATCAGAATTAAGCTAGTTTTTGAATATTCTGGTGCCTACTGTGCGTCTAATTTGGTGATTCTAGTGTTCGCGAATGGATGGGAGTGGATGCGTAACGTACCATGTTTGTGATTAACAAAATAGCCTGCAAAGGGCACGACACCCCACAGCAAAGAGTCCATACTACCCATGTAGGTTTCTGGTTTAGAAGGTAAGCGGTAGCTCATCCAGCCCAGTCAGCTCGCCATAAATTTGCACTGCTCGCGATTTCTCGTTATCCCCCAAAGGGTTTGCTTTGTTAGCACATATATCAGCGGGACGGCAAGGAACATCCGTACTTCATTCCTTGATCATAGAGTGGATGAACTCAGGACTGTGCCCCCAGATATCGACGGTGATGGATCGAACATGACTAGACTCAGATGAGCAGGCCATGTCGAGCGAGTAAGATATCTCCTTTTTCATCATCTTAATAAAGAAGAGAGCCAGCTGTGTTGCATCACATTTGGCAGAACAGTAAGTTGGGCCGTTGAACAGCTTTGACATGTGCTCTTTGATCATCAATTCGAATTTTTCGACACATTCCTGCCTGGCTTGATCGATTGCGTCTGGAGAATACACGATTAGTGATTTTTCGGATAAATTTCAAAATCAATCAAGCTTTCTATTTTCCTCGCACACCTTTGACGGATTTTGGAATCGGGAGATTGCTCGTGTCAAATGGCCCTGTTGCTTGTTCCATGGCAATTCTTGTTGTTTGTTTGAAGATGTCGGGGGACTTGAAGACACAGGAGATCATCACCCATGTTTTCGTGTCTTCTTGTGAAAAGGTTGACGAAAGAGTGGGACAGGGAGAAGGCAGTCAAAGAGATTTTATCCATATACCAGCAAACACCTCGACGACCTCGTGGCATTGAAAATAGTCGGTGGCCACGGCGATATCACTCAATTGCGGTAGGGACAACCTGAGAGGAATTTGTCGTAAGCGCCCATGGATGAGATTCAAAATGATCAGCAGGATATCTGGCTTCCAGTAGTTGACCGGAATCTCAGCAGACCCCTTTGTCGAAGGAGCATGCCCTTCAGCCCAACAACTTTTCAACGTCCTCTTGAGATAACCTGACGCAAGTGCGAGATTCTTGGATGAGACTTGAAAGCGAGCGTAATTTCCCGGCACATTGCCTTTGTGAATGTCAATCAAGGGTGTCTTTGGTGTGAAGAGAAGGACATCTCCATCTGGATCAACATGATAGGGCGGATGCAGGAGGTAGGTCGCCATCGCAACAGGCAGTTTGGGTCTAGTTTCCTGGTCTTGGTTCGAAGTTATGGATGTGGACGGTGTTGACAATTGAAAGTTAGCCTCATGCAGTGATTCTTTACGCGGTACCAGGTCGTATTGAGCTTGGCAGTACGTTCAGAAGTAAGAATGAACAGAGCGAAGAGAAAGGTAAAGATAAGATACCAGAGATTGAGATATAAGAAAACATAACAGAGCACCTGCGGGAACCGTCTTCAATTCTTCGTTGTACAAGGATATTTTGGTCCCATATACCATACTCTAACGCCATCAATATGCTAATGATGAGTTGTTTCTAGAAATTTGAGGCCTTTCTGGGGTACAATATATAATATAATATATAAAATTGAGTGTCATTTTCACATTAAATTCCCTTCTGAGAGACAGTGATATACGTAGGAATTGAGGTTGTTTGGAAGGGAAGCGGCTGGTTCTATATGGGCTTGAATAAAGAAGCCATTTATGCAGAGAGAAAACCCTCTCTAGATTTCTCTGTATGATGCTAATTCTTTATATGACTTTTGAGACGCTGGAATATTCTTGCTTTCCAATATTCGCACCAGATATCTCGCTTCTGATATATCTTTTCTCAAAATTTGATCATCTCCTGATATAAGAATACGAAGTCTTGATATGTATCGTCCAAACATCAGGCTATATCTGCACGTTGGACATGAAAGTTTGATTGAGTAGTTTACTGGGATATCTTTCCGAGGGACATAAATCGTGTTTCATTTATACATCTTGCTTTTCGTTCATTAAGAAAGGGCAGATGGTAGGTGAGGTATGACTGATTTGACTATGTAGCTAGATTGTGATTACAAGCAATGGAAGCATGAGACATGACACTCTCCGCGTTTAGCTCCTTTCTTATTTAGTCTCTATTGCCTCATTCAGCGTTCCTCCTCTCAAACTTCTCCCACATTTTTCTCACTTCCTGAAAACATTGGCGAATCCGTCTTGATTGCTCCCTACCTCTATCATTTCTATCTACTAACTAATTCAATATCACTATTTCCTGAGACATCCCGGCCTAGCTATCCTACCGCTATCCATGGCCCCACTCCGGGTGGATTGGGGGCAGTCAACCTATCCATCAGTCATCTCAACGACCCAGACGGGGATGTTATTCTCTTTACGCCAGGTGCTTGCCTACACAACATAGCCTGCGAGGAAGAATGCTCGAGTCGTTTTCTAGTCTCTTCTAAATACCCCAAACTTCCTTCGCCTTATTCAAGGGGATGCTGCAGTATTGTCTCCGCAGAATCTAAGTTATGTTTAACAAGAGGGCTTGTATACTAACTATAGTTTTGCGCGATTTGAACAACACCAACTCCCACATTTTCAGATTTCCACCAGAGAAGATTAGTAGGTCTGTCGGAATATATCAAGTCCCCAGCTTATGGATCGCCAGTGGCCTCACAGAAGAGTTTGAGGCAGATAGTGGGATCTTGTTCCACTCTAGCAGAAGGGATGTGTGTTTACTTCATTTATGCCTTTTCCCCTAAACTGCCACTAGATGGCTATAGGTATGAATTATTCAGTAGAGAGATAAATGCTTCTTTTACCTCCTAGGCGTCTAGATAACTACGGTCACTAGTTCCATCTGATCATGCCAATCCATCAACTTCTGTCATATACCTCTACCTCTGATTTATACCAACTGCCCCGCGGAGCCAATCTTGTAGTCTGTTAATAGGACATTGGTTTGATCATTGTCTCCATGTGTATCCTCTCCACATTAATCAACCTTTGATTCTATGATGAATTGCCACTGGGTATTGGCCCGACTACAAGTTTGTATCAAAGGGCCCGCAAATAACATTTTTTGAGCCTCATGGAGCCATCTAAATCGCGATGCAAGCTCTCCGTTGAACGCGTGTTTATTGAAAATTAGATGAAAATGATGATATTTACACATAAAGTGCCTGCGGAGATAAAACTTCATACATGGGCCATCTTCTCAGCCCTATCAAATTGACGGGAGTAATAAACTAACTAGTAGTTCTTGGCCGTGTCATCCTGTATCTCCGGTACGCTAAACTCCCAGCACATATCCTAGTTTGGGCACGGCTGCATTAAACTTGATGTTACATCTTAACCAATCCAATTCCAATTAACTTAGGTGACCCGCACCTGAGAATTAATATAAAATAAGCGAGATAAGAAAAGAGGGGAAAGTGTGTACACTGCTAAAACTGTTCCTTTTCGACATCTTCGGGAATGTTGCCATCTGCCATCTGGAGAATATCATGGCGGTCACTCTTCCCCCTCATCACATGTTTTTCCCTCCGTTAAAATCAAAGAAAAGAAAAAAAATAAAAAATAAAAAATCAAGAATCGTATCCAAGTTCTCTCTTAGACCCTCCCCAACGCCAAGTATGCATTCGTGCGTCATTCTTTCAAGCCGTAGGCAGAATACTGTCTCGGGCGTGCTCGGACTTCGGATGCATGAGTGGGCTCATCCGACAAAATGCATCCTTTAGACACGAACACGTATAATTCTCAGACCCAGTCAAATAACCGTGTTGATGGGGTCATGGCATCAACGCTGAGTGGTTTCCGTTGTCTATTCAGTCTCTACACAGCAAGTTTATCTGGGTGGTTGAGGTCGGATTGTTTGATCCAACCGCCCATGTGGCCGGTGGTTCGTTGAAATATCTCAAGGTCACTATTTGAGTTGTCTCTTGTTAGCTAATGATACTCAATCACGAGAGAAGACAGATAGTAAATATTGGGCTTACCTCACTTTTGTCTCTGTGGACGTATTGCCAGAGGCTTTTGGAGTGGAGGAGCTTGCAACGGCATTCGAATTGCCCGCGTTGGTAGAGGTCTGCGGGGGGGAAGATTGATTTGAAGAATCCATTGCGTTTGATATAGTTTGCGCAGGGCAATTGTACTTTTGATACTTGGAATGTGCTCGCAGTATTTCAAGCAGGGGTTAAGCACAAGTAGGTTGTTTCGAATATCAGAAGGGAAATGCGCTGAGCTCTCAGAGAAAAGGAGATTATAGTTGCTTTATACCTGACAATCCCCCATAACGTTAAGACAACATCAAGAATCAAATGCCACTCCTCAAAACACCGGTGTGCGAACTTCATTCCTATATTGCGATTACTGCTTTAGGTATTGATCCCGGAGAAACGGATTCAATAGACCAATAGCTATTGCCGCCGTCATTGCGCGCATGTCATTAAGGAGGGATCGAATACGTGAATCATTGGCCAGTGTGAGGTAGTACAGATAGTATTGGGCCAGTCTATTATTTTTTTGTAGTCCCTGGAGCCTCAATTTCCGGAGCAAAGACGGTCAACTTGTCAAAATCAGTAAATGTAGTTGCCTTGTGGGGTACCATGCGAACCAGATATGCAAAGATCTTGTCCTTTTAGATTGTCTTGGATCTTTTCGATCGACCCGTGTTAACCGGTCAAGTACCCCAGGGCTGCAGAGTACATGATTGTACATCCAACATGCATTGATGCTTCCCACACTGATCTTGGTATATATACAAGCCAATCAAAGTCAATCCCCATGGCTAAATGTATAGATATAATGGCAAAAGAAACCGATTCCCCGCACTTATACATATCTATGTATTCCGAGGTTATGTCTCTCTGGGTATTGGACAAATTATTGTACTCTCAAGACTTTCTCAGCACGGACCTTAGTGCAATAACCAACTTTGAAACACTTCCCGTTTTTGTGCAGGGGCCAATTTTAATTTCGTCGTCAGAAATTGGCGTATTTAATCTTGGACACAGAGCTAAGCGGCAATACAGAGCTTGCCACCTGATTAATATGACCAAAATAATCAAAATAGTATTAGAAGGCAACCTAGAATGTTATTCCACGAGTAATGTTCTCTATATGAAAATAAAATCTTATACTTCCTTATCTTATCACCGGAGCGCGCCGACCTCCCGACCTCGGGACATCTCCGCATTGGCTTTAAACATCCAATCCCAAGGTCCCTTTTTCTTTTCTCTTATAGAGTAGACCTGCACGATTGAAAGTGGCGGACTGGACAACACATCCATCCACACACACACACACACCTAAAAGCTCATTATGGCGCCGATCCTCTCAGCCAACCCAACAGTCACGCTCACTCCAGAGCCTTTGACACCGGAGAACTTCGCACAATTCGGTACAGCGGTGGTATCCCCATTACCGCGACAACTAAATATCGCTCCTCAACTATCATCCCTGCCGCCACATGATCCAACTCCAATCCTGGCGAACCAAAACTCCGCTCTCAAGTATAGTCCCATCTCCCCGCTCCTCGACCGCTACACCAATGTCTGTCCAAGCGGCCAGCCCTCCGAGGCACGCATGACCATGTTCTGCTGCTTTCCGCGCAATTTGCGCACTGTCAGCACTGGCCCCCAGCTGCCCGACAAGGAGGTCTTTGACGTGCGTATCCTTGAACGCCACCCGTTTACCAATCAGACCTTCATTCCCGTCGATCTATCGGCCCATTCCAAGGTCGGGGACGGTGAAGAAGAGCCGCTGTTTTTGGTGGTGGTTGCGCCCACTTTGAAGGGGAGCACGGCTACTGCGAAAAATGAGGTCGGGGAGACGATTACTATTCGTGATCCGCCTGATCTAAATAATGTGAAGGCGTTTGTTGCCCGTGGCGGTCAGGCTGTCACTTATGGTGTTGGGACGTGGCATGCGCCTATGGTGGTTTTGGGTCGTCGGAGGGTTGATTTTGTTGTTGTGCAATTTGTTAATGGGGTTGGGGATGAGGATTGTCAGGAGGCTGCATTTGGAGAGGGCGTTGTTGTTGATCTTGGTCGGAAGGGTCAACTTGGTCGGGTTGAGAAGGGCCCGAGGTTGTGGTCGGCTAAGCTCTAATCCTGTAGATGAATGTTTACGAAAAACTCGGAAGTGTTGGGTTCTTAGGCTGAAACCGAAGACTCGACAGTTGGCATTGAAAAAGATGCAAGGAATTTGCCAACCTTGCTTTGTGATTTGGTATCTTTAACAGGAGAAGCCGAAAAATTGTACATAAATATTATACATAGTACTCTTCGAATACATATTAAAAAATGACATTTCACCCTCAAGCACACCGAGGCGAGGGTTGATCCTCATCTCTCATTTTCTGGCGGACCCGGGTAGCTAGCTCGAGGGTCTCTTTGGGCAAACCAGCTAGTTGCGCAACTTTTAGAGCATGAGACTGGCGATTGACACCTTTCCGCAGCCGGTGGACGAAAGAGAAGGCACCCGAAGCCATATCTTTCACATCTGTGCAGTATCTCGCCAATTTGTCAAAGTCTTCTGTCATATCCGCAAGGGCATGGAAATGAGTAGCAAAAAGCACTCGAGACTGGTTGTGGTTGTGTAAATGATGTAGACATGCAAAGCTAACAGCTGTGCCATCTTCAGGGGTTGTGCCTCGGCCCACTTCATCCATAATCACAAATGACTTGGGCGTGGCTTGTTTGAGAATAGTAGCTGTTTCCAACATCTCTACCATGAACGTCGACTGGTCACGGAAGAGATCATCCGCTGCGCCAATTCGGCTGAAGATCTGATCGACGATACCGATCTCCGCATAAGCTGCGGGTACGAAAGATCCGACTTGCGCGAGGATTGTGATCAAAGCGTTTTGTCGCAAGAAGGTACTTTTACCTGCCATATTGGGGCCAGTAATGAGCCAGATCCGCTCTGAATCGCCCAGGAAGCAATCGTTGCTCACGAACGATCGTCCTTGCTCCTCTAAACCCAGTTTGACCGTGGGATGTCTTCCACCGACAATTTTATGACAGGTACCGTCGTTGAGAATCGGCCGTACCATTTGCTGTTCCTGGGCAAGAGTTGCAAATGAACACGCCACGTCCAACTCATCCATGACTGCAGCGTTTCGGCGGATTTTGACAAGGTTCAGGATTACCTCACGGCGCAGACGCTCAAAGATGGTTTGCTCCTCTTGACGGATCCGAATCTTCACGTGGTCCATTTTGACTCCCAGCTCTGTCCAGGCTGGTAGATAGAATGACCGGGTAGATTTGGACGATGAGACATTTCGAGTGACTCCCAATTCTTCTAGGGATTTTTGGGATATTTTCGCCCCTTTAACGTGGCAGATGTGGCCCAACCCTGGTGTCCATTTAAGGTTCAGAGCGGACGAATCAACCGAATCACGGAGACGTTGAGTCAATGAAGTCTTTTCATCGCCTAAACGTTCCAGTTCCGCATGGAGTCCATTCAACGTCGTACTTGCATCACGCCTCATAATCCAGGTATAGAGGGGACCGGAGTCCGTATCAGCCACAACTGTTCGCTCCCCCTTCTTCGCTCTGATCTTTTTCGGCAGTGCGACAAGCTCGCTGGATGTGGCTTCATCCATAGTGACCTTTTGTGCCAGACTAGCTGCCTCTGCGGCGGTACTATCCTCGATGCGCTGCTTTTGTAACAATCCTTCTTCATCAATGGCCGCAAGAATTTGATCCGCCAGCGCGATGGGACCATCGAGAAAAAGCCGTGAGATCATGATAGCAAGACTGTGATTCAAATCGGAAGCGCTGGATGAGACAGAAAGTCTATTGTGATCTAGAAGAACTTGTCTGACTTCCTTAGAGGCCTCAATGGCGCGAGAAAGACAAATCAAGTCATCCGGGTCTCCTTTCCCAAAAGCAAATTTCTGAACCAGACGTTGAGAATCATGGCTGCGCTTCAGAAGTTGGATGACACTGTCACGGAGCTCCACGTGTTCTATGAATACCGAGACAAGGTCGAGACGCTCATTGATGACTTGTAAGGAGGTAGATGGGGAGGCTGCGTGTAATGAATGTATTAGTAAAAGTCACATAAAAAGGATTGAATTTAGTTAGGCTTACTTAGTCGGTCTCGTAAAAGTCGTGCACCACTTTTTGTAGATGTCCTTCGCACAGCGTGTAGGAGACTTCCTTTCCCAAAACCATCTCTCGCTGTTTCTATAATCTCAAGACCACTCAGACTATTACGATCAATGCTCATTGATTCATTCAAATGTCTTCGAATTGGAGGCTGAAGCTTGATATTCGATCCTTGCAACTGCACGCGAGTGTACTCGAGCAGGCTGTACCCAGCTGCTACTTCCTCCGGCGTGAATGAGGCGCGAGTATCTTCAGGGACGGGAGACTCTAACATTGTCCCCCATTCAGATACCGGCTTAAATGCCTCAGGGTATTGGAAGAATGTGACAAGGCGATGATCGTGTCCAACGAGCATTTGCAATTCATGCCCAATAAGATCTTGCACATTCTGATCTACCAGAATCTCACGAGCTCCAATCCGGGCAATCGCAGATGGAAGCATTTGAGTCGTTGTGAGCTGAGTGAAGAAATCACCAGTTGAGAGGTCAAGCCATGATAATCCTACTTGTTGGGGCACAGAAGATAATATATGCTGATGCGAGGATTGGAGATCATTGTTAGCGTGTTGCTTCAATTGCGATTGCAAAGACGGGACATCCAAGTATATGGCCAGCAGAAAATTATGCGCGGAAGGATCAATGAATTTCTCATCAATCAGCGTGCCAGGTGTGATGATCCTAGCAACCTTCCGATCAAACATGAGGCCTCCTGTGCGTGCCTTGTCTTCTGGATTGATGGCGAACTCTTCGCTGATAGCCACATACTTGTTGAGATCTCCAACTAGGGTTTTGAGAAAGCGATCGAGCTGGAAGAAGGGAAATCCAGCCATCGGAACAGGCCCGCCGTTGGTCTTTTTGGTCGCGAGCTTGAGATTGAGCAATGGTGCCAACTCCTCTGCTTGTTCAAAATAGAGCTACAAAATACAATCTTAGCATGGGATTCTCTAGCCATGTAGTGCCTATTACCGTACCTCATAGAAGCCCCCGACTCGGGTCAAGATAACACAGTTCTTGAACGTCTGCATATTGTTCCGGTGCCCCTGCACCACAGTCGGGTAACGAGGGGCCTCATCCACCCGGTCATCGTATGCCTCGAGCTTCAAAACCCCCTGAGGAAGGTCTTTCAACTTTATTGTTGCTTTAGTTTTTGCGCCTCGTATGCAAGCTTTCGGTGCGGCGGTGGACACGCGTGGATGTATGGAGGCTCGACGCGCATGGTGACATATAGTCCGGTGGATGTGACAACAATAAGATGAACGTATTAAAGTCGTTAGAGGCCTCATATAAAGTGGCATTAAATGAGAAATAGACAGACCAGCGCGCATTGTTGCAACGCGCTCCAAACTCCAAGCCGTTTGGGGTGGCAGAACCATCAAAGCTCCCCTTCTTCCGCCTTCGCCACCGAAATCTTCCCGAGCTGCACTCTCCTTGGCTTCATCTATCTACAACCTTGGGTGATATTTCTCCTTTACAAGTGACATTACTTGCGGCAGGAGGATGAGCCAGGTTTGTGAGACCATTTAAAATCGATCAATCGCCGACATCTCGTGTCTCGGCGCGGCCTGAATCTCGACCCTCCGCAGATTCTTGTCGCAACTCATTCATTCATCGTTTTTTCCCATTGATACAGCCATACGACCACCAAGATGGCGGACCAAAATATTTCGCAGTACAAGTACTCGGCGATGTCCAACCTGGTTCTCCAGGCGGACCGTCGTTTTATCAGTCGCACCCATGACGAACCCACTGGAGACCCGGAGTCTCTGGCGGGTCGCATTGGGATCCGGGAGATGGGTGGACGAGTCGCGCGTGACGACGCGCCCAAATCTAAGAAGACAGCCCCGACAGCTCTCGAGCGGGGCGCAATCGGTGAGGGCGAAGATGTGCTTTTACGCGAACAGAAAAAGCGCCACCGCGGCCAACCAGCACAACTACGAGGCCAGGGCATCCTTTCAGCAGCAGATGCCTTCGTCGAAGGCTTGAAATATCGTCCTCGCACACCCGCCACACGAGCCACATATGACCTTATTCTCACAATCACCGGCAGCCAGCTGGGCGATGTCCCCCACGAAGTCGTTCGAAGTGCCGCCGATGCTGTTCTGGAACTACTGAAGGACGAAGAGATGAAAGATTTCGATAAAAAGAAGGAGATTGACGATCTTCTGGGAACCTCAATGAACCCCAAGGAGTTCAACGAGCTCGTGAACCTGGGCAAAAAGATTACAGACTACGATGCGCAGGACGAAGAGGAAGAGATGGAAGGCGGTCTCGATGAAGAGAGTGGCGAACTTGATGAACGCCAAGGTGTTGCTGTCGTCTTCGATGAAGAAGATGAAGATGATGAGCGCATGGGCACCATGGACGAAGTTCGAGACGAGGACGACCTCAGCGACGAAGAGGAAGAAGAAGAAGCGGAACGACTTGCAATCGACGAGGCTGCAGCAGCCCAAGGCGAAGACGGTGATGAAATGGTCATCGATGGAGGTCTTGGCCGAGATGATAAAGCTGCAGAGAAGACCGGATTGAAGGTCTCCGCTCGCCAAATCGATGCCTACTGGCTGCAACGTCAAATCGGTGCCATATACACAGATGCTCACGTCCAGCACGAGAAAACAGATCAGGCACTTGAAATCCTCGGTGGAAAGGAAGAGGACGGAACATTAAAACCCCTGCGGGATGTTGAGAACGACCTCATGGAACTCTTCGACTATGACCATCCCGATCTCGTTGCTAAACTAGTCACCAACCGCGACAAGGCCGTCTGGGTTACCCGCTGGAGAAGAGTCGCAGAGGATGACGATGCGCGCAATCTTGTGGAGCTTGAGATGGTCGAAGCCGGTCAACGTGCCATCCTTGATGAAATCCGTGGCAAAGAAGCTGGCGACGAACTTGGAGCACCAGCAGATAAGAAGATAAAGTTTGACTTGATGGATGTCGATGTTCCTTCAGGTCCAACTACCGACGAAAAACCCACCGAAGGTGCCCAGGGTGGCATTCTCCAGCCCAAGAAAACGATCAACTTGGAAAATCTGGTCTTCCATCAAGGCAATCACCTTATGACCAACCCCAATGTTAAGCTTCCCCAGGGCTCAACTAAGCGAGCATTCAAGGGATACGAAGAGATCCATGTGCCACCACCCAAGGCCAAGAAGGAGGCTGGAGAAAAGAATATACCGACCACTGAGCTGCCAGAATGGGCGCGTGTTGGATTTGGAACCTCAAAGGAACTCAACCGTGTGCAGACAAGGTGCTACCCTTCAGCGTTCCATGACGATGGAAACTTGCTTGTCTGTGCTCCCACGGGTTCCGGAAAAACCAATGTTGCTATGCTCACGATCCTCCGAGAAATCGGGAAGAATCGCAACCCTGAAACGGGAGAGATTATGTTGGATGACTTCAAGATTGTATACATCTCTCCCTTGAAAGCTTTGGTTCAGGAACAAGTTGGTAACCTTGGCAAGCGCCTGGAGCCTTATGGTATCCGAGTTTCCGAACTTACAGGTGATCGTCAGCTCACCAAGCAGCAAATTGCCGATACTCAGATCATCGTCACCACCCCTGAGAAGTACGACGTTATCACCAGAAAGGCAACGGAGACTAGCTACACCAACCTTGTTCGCCTTATTGTCATCGACGAGATTCACCTTCTCCACGATGAGCGTGGTCCCGTCCTTGAGAGCATCGTCAGCCGAACGATTCGCCGAACCGAGCAGACTGGAGAGCCTGTGCGAATCGTGGGTCTCAGTGCTACCCTTCCCAACTACCGCGATGTCGGAAGCTTCCTGCGCGCAGATCCCGTCAAGGGCATGTTCCATTTCGATGGCAGCTACCGCCCTTGTCCCCTCAAGCAGGAATTCATCGGTGTCACCGAAAAGAAGGCCATCAAGCAGCTCAAGACGATGAACGACATTTGTTATACCAAGGTTATGGAGCAGGTTGGGCAGCACAGGAACCAAATGCTTATCTTCGTCCACTCTCGAAAGGAGACCGCCAAGACCGCCAAGTACATCAGAGACAAGGCCCTTGAGAATGAAACAATTGGTCAGATTCTGCGCAGTGACGCGGCTAGTCGTGCCATTCTTTCCGAAGAAGCAGACTCTGTGGATGATGCAAACCTGAAGGATCTCATGCCGTACGGTCTCGGTATTCACCATGCTGGTCTGAGTCTTGCCGATCGTGATTCAGTCCAGGCACTTTTCGCCGATGGAAGCATCCAGGTCCTCGTTTGTACAGCAACACTGGCCTGGGGTGTCAACCTTCCCGCCCACACTGTTATCATCAAGGGAACCCAGGTCTACTCCCCCGAGAAGGGCGCCTGGGTCGAGTTGAGCCCGCAAGACGTTCTGCAAATGTTGGGACGAGCTGGTCGACCCCAATACGATACCTTCGGTGAGGGTATTATTATCACATCCCAAGCGGAGATTCAATATTATCTCTCGCTCTTGAACCAACAGCTTCCCATTGAGTCCCAGCTGGTGAGCAAATTGGCGGACAATTTGAATGCGGAGATTGTGCTTGGCAATGTTCGTACTCGCGATGAAGGTGTGGATTGGCTAGGCTACACTTACCTTTACGTTCGGATGCTCCGATCACCTGGCCTGTACAGTGTTGGCGCCGACTACCAGGACGATGACGCCCTAGTGCAAAAGCGAGTGGATCTTGTTCACTCCGCTGCAGCGGTTCTCGAGAAGGCCGGTCTCGTCAAGTATGAAAAGAAGACTGGACGTCTGCAGTCGACTGAGCTTGGACGTATCTCTTCGCACTACTACATCGGTCACAACTCCATGCTAACCTACTCCCAACACCTTCAACCTTCCATTACGACTATCGAATTGTTCCGAATCTTTGCCCTAAGTGATGAGTTCAAGTACATCCCCGTTCGCCAGGACGAGAAGCTCGAGCTTGGAAAGCTGTTAGGCCGGGTCCCCGTCCCTGTTAAGGAGACCATTGATGAGCCCCATGCGAAGATCAATGTTCTTTTGCAGGCTTACATCTCCAGACTCAAGCTTGAGGGGCTTGCGCTCATGGCAGACATGGTCTATGTCACTCAATCTGCTGGACGTATCATCCGCGCGATTTTCGAGATTTGCCTGAAGAAGGGATGGTCCTCAGTGGCCAAGACTGCGCTCGATCTCTGCAAAATGGCTGAGAGGCGCATGTGGCCAACTATGTCCCCCCTTCGTCAATTCCCTCACTGCCCAAGGGATGTTTTGCAGAAGGCGGAACGCATTGACGTGCCTTGGGGCAGCTATTTCGATTTGGATCCTCCCCGCATGGGTGAGCTTCTGAGCATGCCCAAGGCTGGACGTGTTGTGTGCGACTTGGTGTCTAAGTTCCCTCGACTCGACGTTCAAGCTCAAGTGCAGCCCATCACGCGATCCATGCTGCGTGTCGAGTTGACCATTACGCCCAACTTTGTCTGGGATGACGAAGTGCATGGCAATGCCCAAGACTTCTGGATTCTGGTTGAGGACTGTGACGGAGAGGAGATCTTGTTCCACGATCGATTCTTGCTTCGTGGCGAATTTGCCAAGTCCGAGATGAATGAACATCTTGTCGAATTCACTGTCCCTGTATCTGAGCCGATGCCCCCCAACTACTTCATCTCGCTTGTGTCTGACCGATGGATGCATTCTGAGACCAAGATTGCCGTGTCCTTCCAGAAGCTGGTTCTCCCCGAGCGTTTCCCTCCTCATACACCTTTGCTCGACATGCAGCGCGCACCCGTCAAGGCACTGAAGCGTGAGGACTACCAAGCGTTGTACCCCAACTGGGAGCATTTCAACAAGATTCAGTCGCAGGTCTTCAAGTCAGTCTTCGACACAGATGAGAATATCTTCATTGGTGCTCCCACAGGAAGTGGAAAGACTGTTTGCGCTGAGCTGGCATTGCTTCGTCACTGGTCAAAGCAAGATAGCGGCCGTGCAGTTTACATCGCGCCCTTCCAGGAGCTTGTCGACCACCGACTTGCTGACTGGCAGAAGCGCCTTGGCGGTCTGGATGGCGGCAAAACCATTGTCAAGCTTACGGGCGAAACCACAGCCGATTTGAAGCTTCTCGAACAGGCTGATCTTGTGCTTGCCACTCCTACTCAGTGGGATGTGTTGTCTCGCCAGTGGCAGCGACGTAAGAACATCCAGACAGTGCAACTGTTCATCCCCGACGAGCTTCACTTGATCGGCGGTTACGCTGGATACGTGTACGAAGTGATCGTGTCTCGCATGCACTACATCGCTCTCCAGACTGAAAACGAAATGCGCATTGTTGGTCTTAGTGTGCCTCTTTCTAATGCTCGGGACATCGGAGAGTGGATCGGTGCCAACAAGCACACGATCTACAACTTCAGCCCGCATGCCCGTCCTGTTCCTCTGGAGCTTCACCTTCAGTCTTACAGCATTCCTCACTTCCCCTCTGCCATGCTCGCGATGGCTCGTCCGGCCTACCAGTCGATTTTGCAGCTCTCCCCCGATAAGCCTGCTCTGGTCTTCGTTCCAAGCCGCAAGCAGGTTCGTGCGACCGCTGCGGATCTCCTCTCGGCGTGTGCCATCGACAACGATGAAGATCGTTTCCTGAACGCCGATGCCAGTGAGCTTGCTCCTTTGCTGGAGCGTGTTCACGAGCAGACCCTTGCCACGTCGCTTTCACACGGTATTGGCTACTACCACGAAGCTCTCAATGCCACTGACAAGCGCATTGTCTTGCACCTGTTCAGCATTGGTGCAATTCAGGTGCTGTTGGCTTCGAGAGATGTGTGCTGGGAATTGGATATCACGGCTCACTTGGTCATTGTTATGAACACTCAATTCTTCGATGGTCGTGAGCATCGTTACATCGACTACCCCATCAGCGATATCTTGCAGATGTTCGGCAAAGCCTCTCGTCCCGGTCAGGACAAGCTTGGCCGTGGTGTTCTTATGGTGCCAGCAGTGAAGCGTGACTACTACAAGAAGTTCTTGAACGAGGCCTTGCCTGTCGAGAGTCACCTGCAGGTCTACCTTCACGATGCCTTTGTGACTGAAGCTAGCACAAGGACCATCTCCTCCACCCAGGATGCGGTTGATTGGATGACATATACCTATTTCTATCGCCGTCTCCTTGCAAACCCCAGTTTCTACGGTCTTAGCGATGTGAGCCACGAGGGACTCAGCACGTTCCTGTCAGAGCTGGTGGAGAACACCTTGAAGGAGTTGTCAGAGGCAAAGATCATCGACGTTGATGAAGAAGATGACAGCGTTTCACCTTTGAACGCTGCCATGATCGGTGCTTACTACAACATCTCGTTCATCACAATGCAAACCTTCTTGCTGTCCCTCTCGTCCCGGACGAAGCTTAAGGGCATCCTGGAGATTGTGACCTCGGCGACTGAGTTCGAGTCTATCCAGATGCGTCGCCATGAGAATCACATTCTCCGCCGCGTGTATGATCGTGTACCGGTCAAGATGTCAGAGGTTTCCTTCGACTCTCCCCATTTCAAGGCCTTCGTCCTCCTCCAAGCCCACTTCTCCCGCATGCAGCTTCCTCTTGATCTTGCCAAGGATCAGGAAGATATCGTTCGCAAGGTCCTCAACCTGCTCAGCGCTTGTGTGGATGTCCTCTCATCCGAGGGCCATCTCAACGCGATGAACGCAATGGAGTTGTCCCAGATGGTGGTTCAGGCCATGTGGGATCGTGACAGCCCTCTGAAGCAAATTCCCCACTTCTCTCCTGAGGTCATCAAGGTGGCCAATGAATACAAGTATGTATCATCCGAAAATTCTCCAGACACATTTGCTAATCTCCCCTTGTACAGGATCAACGATATCTTTGAATTCATGGAGGCCATGGACCCATCGGAGAACAAGGACTACGCTACTTTGGTCAAGCGCCTTGGCCTCGATAACAAGCAATTGGCGCAAGCTGCGGCTTTCACCAACGAGAAGTACCCCAACATCGAGCTTGACTTCGAAGTTGAGGATGCCGAGGGTATCACTTCTGGCGAACCCGCATACCTCAAGGTCAAGATCGAGCGGGACATCGAAGAAGACGAGGAGCCCGACGCTACTGTCCACGCACCATTCTACCCCAGCCAGAAGATGGAGAACTGGTGGTTGGTTGTTGGTGATGAGAAGACCAAGAGCTTGCTTGCTATTAAGCGTGTCACCATCGGCCGCAAGCTCGAGCTGCGTCTGGAATATGTCGTCCCTACGCCCGGAGACCATGAGTTGACGCTCTACCTTATGAGCGACAGTTATGTTGGCGTGGATCAGGCCCCCACGTTCAGTGTCAATGCGGCAGAGGGAATGGACGAGGATGAGAGCGAGGAAGAAGAGTAAATTTCATGATCTGGGTTGCAATTTGTAATAATAGTTTATGTTTCCAAAGCCTTAGAATATAAAAGGTGTTTCATATTATTGCTTTTTTTTCGATGTAACACTAGACTTCAGCATTCACCACTTCTATAATCTATAACAATAACCCGTATAGAGATTATAGATTATATAGTTCTACATATTTGATTCAACAACTATATCACTACTCAATTCAAAAGATAAATAGCCAACTGGCAAATGAAGTCATTCATGCCCTGCAAGGTACATGGGCGCTTAACCCAATCAGAGCCATAACCCCCCGCATGATCACGTTGCTCCCCAACCTCCTCTTCTCCAACTCTTCCTTCTACTCTTCTCTCTCTCTTCAATATCAATAGCATCCTAAGTCGTGTTCTACATATTTTGTTTATCTCAAGATCTTGTTGATACCTTCATTTAAGCTCAATTCGGCCCTGGAAGCTCCCCCGAGCTTCCTATCTTATCTACCATACGATCTGACATGGCAATTCGGACCATGAAGTTCACTCCCGAGTGAGTACTGTTGATATACTAGACAATTCGACATGAGTCTTTATTGAGCATATTTGAAAGCACTGGACTAATATCGAACTCTCCAGGGTCCTGCTCGGAGCACCCAGGCGGTCCTCAGCTGTTCCCAATGCAGCCGGCACCCTAGCAGTCTACACGCAAACATCTTACTCCTTCGAGTCCCACTCCAAGACCAATGAAATCCGCGTTATCGATATTAGCTCCGGCCGATCTGCCCTTATCACCAACGACCCCGGCGCCAGTAATCCACAGTGGGTGGACGATAGCGATAAACTAGTTTGGCTGAAGACCAAGGGCAACGGCAATACAAGCTTCATCGTTGGCGATGCCCGCCAGGCCGATGAAACATACACTGCAGGCACTGTCCCAGGCCCCGTATCGGACCTGAAGGTGGTCCTTTTGGAGCCAGGAAAGGTCGGTTTCGCCGTGACAGGCAAGGCCAATACAGACGGATCGCTGTACAATCCCCACGATGCGAAGAAGCCACATACAACCGGTAAACTGTACACATCTCTCTTTGTTAGACACTGGGATTCGTATGTCGAGCCCCAGAAGAACGCCATCTTCTATGGCTTGCTGGAACAGGCTCCTCTGTCGCCGGCTCGTAGACGGGCTGGGAAGTACTCTATCTCGGGCCTCACCAACTTGATCGCGGTCTCGGGACTGGCGGGCGTCGAGTCGCCGATTCCGCCTTTTGGTGGTACCGGTGACTTTGACATCAGTCCGTCGGCTATTGTTTTTATTGCGAAAGATCCTAACCTAAACCCCGCGACTCATACTTCGTGCTCGTGCTACTATGCTCCCATGTTCTCGTGGACTAGCATGAGTGAGCCCGAATCGAAGATCTGCAAGGTTGCCGGTCTTCAGGGAGCGATGTCGTCTCCTGTCCTTAGCTCAGACGGTAGCTCTATTGCCGTTCTGGCGATGCGCGAGGATGGCTATGAGTCTGATAAGAACCGTATCCTGTATGTCCCCAACCCGTGGAATGGAGATATGATTGAAATCTTCAAGTCAGATGATGGTGAAGGACTCTGGGACCTCAGTCCCTCGGTCGTGTCATTTGCCCATGATGACAAGTCGCTGCTCCTTCATGTCGAGGAGGTTGGCCGTGGAGTTCTCTACCAGCTGCCATTAGAGAATGTGCACACAATCAAGCCCGATGCTTTAAAGAGACTGACCAGGTCGGGATACGTCAATGATGCCGTTCCTGCAGCTGCCGAATCCTCCAAGCTGTTCGTATCTAGCAGTAGCCTGGTCGATAACAGCCTTTGGACCATCATTGACCCAGCCAAGCCAGATGATGTCCAAATGGTATCCTCAAACGGGAGAGGTGGCAGTGCATTCGGCTTATCTTCGGCCCAGGTCGATGAGATCTGGTTCAAGGGAGCCGAAGACCACCCTATCCACGCGTGGGTCGTGAAGCCGTCCGACTTCAAACCCGGGAACAAATACCCGCTTGCGTATTTGATCCACGGTGGACCCCAGGGCGCGTGGAACGATCAATGGAGCACACGCTGGAACCCCGCTGTTTTTGCCGAACAGGGCTACGTCGTGATCACTCCCAACCCAACAGGCAGTACTGGTTACGGCCAGCCCTTTACCGATGGAATCCAGGGACAATGGGGCGGTCGGCCTTATGAGGACCTGGTCAATGGATTCGCCTATATCGAGCAGCACCTGAATTATGTCGACACTACGCGCGCGGTTGCACTGGGCGCCTCGTATGGTGGCTACATGATGAACTGGATGCAGGGCAATCTGCTCGGGCGCAAGTTCAAGGCGTTGGTTACCCACGACGGAGTGTTTAGCATGACCTCCCAGATGGCTAGTGAAGAGCAATACTTCCCTCTGCATGATCTGAAAGGGCCAATCTGGAAGGTACCCGAGAACTGGGCCAAGTGGGATCCGTCGCGGTTCACTGAACACTGGCAAACGCCTCATCTGATTATTCACAACGAGCTGGATTACCGTCTGACCATTGCGGAGGGTCTAGCTGCGTTTAATGTACTCCAGATGCGCGGCGTTGATAGTGCGTTCCTGACGTTCCCTGACGAGAATCATTGGGTTCTGAACCCTGAAAACTCGCTCATGTGGCACCGGACCGTGTTGAACTGGATCAACAAGTACGTCGGTCTCCCGCCTGTGTCAGAGGAACCCGATGTGTCACGCGGAATGGGCAATTTGTCGCTGTGATAATAGTCTCTTTGATTTGGGCCAATAAATGGAGCTCAACTTGAATATGAAACGTATATGGGATATTTGATGAACATGGTTATTGTTCTTTTCTTGGAAACAAAGGCTACGGAGGTTCTGCGAGAAACTCACTTTGACGAATTCAGAATGTCTTTGTGCTATAAAGAGGATATTTCGGGTGTTTCATCTCATTGTCGATGGTTCTTTGATAGTTTTCGACCATCGCATACATTTCGTATATATAAGTGTCCTTAATTTCCTCGATTTGCATTCTAGTTTTCCATTGCATACATTGCATAGGGCTTTCCTTCATCTATCAACACACCTATACCTATATTGTCACACCTCACCAAAATGGATGAAGATCCAACAACTCCCAACTCTCCTCATAGTGTGAGCTGGTTCTCCGAACGAACCCTCTCAATTTCTACATCAACCACAACCCTAGTTGACCCTCTAAGTCCAACGAGCACCTCCAGCATAACACCTCTAGACCTCACCGATTCCCCGATCCCAATTGAATACCGCACAATCACCTTCCGCGAAAGCCCCAACTTCCATCCTAATTTCCTACCTCTCCTCCGCCACCTCGCCGCTCAACTCTGGCCCCTCGTCAACTGTGAAACAGGCCTCCATCACCCAGACTTTCCACCAAATATGCTAGCCTACAACCTGTTGACCTCGGAGCAGGTCGATAATCTCGCCCGCCATTTCCATCAGGTTTATCCACCTATCCCGGCTACATTTGACTATCCTATTCATATTACCCCGTGGATTGGCACCCCAGAGGAAAAGACCCTTGATCTTCCTACGAGGCTAAAAAGGTTGGGGCGGTTTTTTGGATTGAGGGGGTGTGAGGAGCGGGAAGAGGTGGATATGAATGAAGATCATGTTGATCATGAGAATGTGGATATGACTGAGAGTGAAGCTGAGGTATTACGACAGATGGAATTGGAGTGGCAGCAGGCATTGCAGAGAGCATATGCTGAGGAATCGCATCGATGGAACTTGAAGTGATTTTTTGATTTAAATGCAAATGTATAGAAATATCTATAATGAAAGGCTGTAATACCCCGAATTTCCTTTCGGAGTTTACGCCGTTGTTTTAGCCGTCGGTTAAAAGGATTATAGAGACAAGCCATAGGCTAATAGGGGGATAATAGGGGGAAATAAGGAGGGGAATGGGGGATAATGGGGGTAATATAGGATAGTAGAATGGTAAAATAGTAAAGAGAATATTAATAGTTTTCATTGCCCTATTCTTCTTCTAAATCTCCCTCTATAATTCCATATACTCTCCAAATCTATAACCAAAATGTCTAAACCAATCGTCAACCACATCTACACAGCAGATCCCTCCGCCCACGTCTTCAACAACAAACTCTACATCTACCCCAGCCACGATCGCGAAACAGACATCGCCTTCAACGACAATGGTGACCAATACGACATGGCCGACTACCACGTCCTCTCCATGGACACAATCACCAGCCCCGTAACCGACCACGGTGTCGTCCTGCGTGACAATGACATCCCCTGGGTCTCAAAGCAACTCTGGGCACCAGATGCCGCAACAAAAAATAACAAATTCTACCTCTTCTTCCCCGCCCGCGATCAAAAGGGTATCTTCCGCATCGGAGTGGCTGTCTCCGATTCCCCAGAAGGTCCTTTCGTCCCCCAGGATGATTATATCCAGGGAACGTACAGTATCGATCCTGCTGTCTTTGTTGATGAAGAAGCTGGCGGCGAGGCGTATCTGTATGTTGGTGGGATCTGGGGTGGACAGTTGCAGTGTTGGGTTGAAGGGAAGGATGTTAAAGATGGGGAGTGGGTTGATGGGGATGGTGTTGATGGAAAGAAGAGACTTGTTTTCGATGAGAGTATGTCTGGACCTCAGGAGCCGTCTGGCGAGGGTGTGAAGGCGCTTTGTCCGCGTGTTGCGCTGTTGAGTGATGATATGTTGTCGCTTGCATCCCCCGTGAAGGAGGTTGTTATTCTTGCGCCGGAGACTGGGGAGCCTTTGTTGGCGGATGATCATGAGAGGAGATTCTTTGAGGCCGCTTGGGTGCATAGGTATAAGGGGACGTATTATTTCTCTTACTCGACGGGTGATACGCATTTCTTGGCTTATGCCACCGGTGACTCGCCTTATGGGCCGTTTACTTACCGGGGACGCATTTTGGATCCCGTGCTTGGGTGGACGACGCATCATTCCATTGTGGAGTTCCAGGAGAAGTGGTACTTGTTTTATCATGACTGTGAGCTTTCCAAGGGAGTTGATCATTTGAGGTCGGTGAAGGTTAGGGAGATTATTTATGATGATGAAGGGGCGATTCATCTTGCTGAGAAACAGACTGCCGTTGAATAGATGGTATTTAAATGTGAATTTGGATATAGATTGGATATTATATTCTTGAATCATTTATCGAAGCCGGGTGTAATCTAACTGTATATCTATTCTAATTGAGCATTCCACTCTCCCGATTCTCCTGGACCAGCTTCCAGTACTTCTCGCGAGATCGTTCGCGGAAGGTTTTTCCAAATTTGATCATGAAGAGGAACACGGAAGCGCACGCCATGCCGACAAAAGCAGCAGAGATAAAGCACTTCTGGTACCCCAAGTCTTTGATCCAAGGCGTGATACTAAAGAAAGTCAGCGTTTGTCTGCTAGAACTCGAGGAGAGAAACATACCCAAAGCTAATAGCGAAAGACATGGTATTCCGGATCAGCATCACACTAACCAGAGCAACACTGCTCAGTTCTCGGTAGCTGTCAATAAAGTAATTGACGCTCAGCGTAATGCCACAGGCATTGCTGAAACCAAGCATGGAGATAGCCACGAGGAGTCCAAACCAGTGGATCTCGTGAGCTGCGCCGACACCCCATAGAATGAGGGAACAAGGCACAACTACGAAGCAAACGATGAAAGGCCATAGACGGTGCTCTGCCTCCATGACACCGCCGTTTCGGCGGGCCAGTTTGACGGTGAGCCAGTCACTGAATCGGCCGGTGAAGAGAGATCTATTCCACGTGAGCTTGAGTTGCAGTATTGGTTAGGGAGGAAGCATCTTACCCTATCACCACACCGGTGATGGGAGCTAAATAACACAGACCGACCATCGAGGATCTGGTAAGAGTTAGCTTGGCTTCTGCATTTCGAGAAATAAGACTGACCTAAAGTTATACGGAGCTCCGCCAAGAATGATTGAGGTCGTTCCATTCATAATGTTAAAGTAAACCAGGTATGATCCATAGGAGAAGCTGGCTTGCATGTTAGTCAAAATGTATCAGCCTAAGGACATTGCGAATTCATACCCAGCGTAGAAGATGACCGGCCACGAGAGGAAGTAAAGAGACTGCCAGAATCTCCGGAACATCGTATTGGTCTTCTTTTTCGGACTCCAAAGCGCCAATTTATTTATATATGTCTTCTTAGTGTGAACTGTACCGGTCTCAGTAGCTTCGGCGTCAACTGTGGATTTCTTCTCATCCTCTGAGCTGAGTTTTGACGACTCCGTAGGTGCAAAATTGCTAGGCTCAACGCCCACTCGATCATAGGTGGTTTCCTCACAGAAGAAGAAAAGGAAGACAGTCGCACAGCCGACAAAGATACTCGGGTAGTAAAACACCCACCGCCAGCCGTGGTACTGGGCGATGAAGCCACAGATGACGGGCGCGACGTAATTACTTCCTGCTAGACAAAATGTGTAAAGACCCATGTATTTTCCTCGCTGGTGGGTGAAGTACTGCACTTGTGTGAGCGTGGGTTCTTTCGGGTATGGCGGGTTCAACTTACCACATCCGTGACGGAGATTTGAGGGAGAGCCTCCACGGGCGCTGTGAAAAAGCCTAATAGAATGCATCGTGCGAGCCATTGACCTTTGGTTTGTGCGTATGGTCTGAGGGGTGTTAGTAGAGAGTCTCTCATTGCGTTTATACATTTCTTACCCCCACATAGTCATAGCCTGGTTGTATGATTAGCTATAATTCCCAAGTGATATCTAATTTTGACGTACCAAAATTCCCATCATAGATAACAAGTAAGTCGGCCGCTTGCCATATTGCATAGCAAAGGGTTGCCAGAAGAGCAAGCCCCAACCTGCCAACAAGAACATAAACCCAGTTCCCTGGTTAAGAGTACTGATGGGTAATCCCGTTTGTTCGGAGAGCGGTGTAAGAACTGAATAAACCACCGAGCAAGCAATTCCTCCGAACCCGGTATAGATACTCACACAAATTGTCGATAGGAGTTTCCGTCTCGGACTCCAATTGAGAGGGTCATCTGGGTCATTTGAGGGTGTAGGGATCAGCACAATATCGCCATCTCCTTGATCCGCATGCCGAGCTTCCAAGTCATGATTAACGTCTACCAGAGTGACGGTACCAGGGATAACTGAGGTGTCAATGGTTGACGCCATTGTATATGTAAAGTTGAAGCAAAAGCAGAGATCCCCTATGAAAGAAAGAAAGAGAAAGAGGAAAGTAGCAATATAAATGGGATATCCCCGCAGATCAACATATCGGGAGAGAACCCCCGTAGAGTCGAGGTTGACAGACAAAAAAAGATAGAGAGACACCTCTCTATCGGTTTTTCCCCCGCAAAATTGGATCTTGGCGAGGTCGTTGGATATTTTTGATATTCAACTTTTTGACTCAACTCTTTTTAACCAATCATCTCTTCAAAAGATCAAAATATCTCCAATTAATTAACTATCGGCATTTAGTCCGATCCTTATCATTAACATTCATTGGATAATTGATATCTTCCTCAATTCAACCCCCCCCCCCCAAATTGGCCTAAACAGGGGCCAAACTCCTGAAGATAGTAGATTCCTTTCCTATTTCGGTCTAATGTACTCCCTTTCAGGAAAGAAATGACTCGATTAATTCTTGGCTTCGTCTCCATAATGCCTCTGCACTTTCTTCACCCGCTGGGAAATCGAGATGCGGTAACTTGGGTATATTCTGACAATGGTCAAGGAACGCTCCAGATTGGACTAACACGTATTAACCAATCAGTCCATATACACAAATCTATCTATCTGGTTTATCTTACCTTCGAGTTCTGGATCCAGTAATCCGCGCAACACGCTCGCACTACCTTGACCAAGAGACTTCGGCGCTTGCTGTAACAGGACCGGTATGTCTTCGCCCGCTAGAATATCCTGTCAGAATGGTCTTCACCGCTATCTTCAAATGGTCATACCTTCTTTCTTTCGCTGGAGCCAGGATTTGATATCCTCCATTGAAACGTATGTCTGGATGTTGGTTTTGGTATCTGAATCGAATGAGAATGAATACCCAAAACACATTCTCACCAATTGACTCACTTCCTGGATTTACAGAAAAGGCAGCGATACTATACTTCTTCGCAATAGACTTGAGGAACAAGATGATCGCGAGCATGGATTGCGAATATCCATCGAGACAATGATAGTTCTCTCCATTCTACTCAAATCAGTACTACATCGGCGATCCAACAATCCAAACTCACCTGAAAGCTCAAATCTTCCCATGAAGGCGCAGGCGCCTCCTTCCGCAAACTAGACGTAACCAAAACAACCCTCGACTCAGGCCCCATAATATCACACAGCAGGTTCAACATCAGGAAATAACACAGGTAATTCCTCTGGAAATGAGACTCGTGTCCGTCCACCGTGAGCTCCCACGGGACAGCCATGACCTCGGGAAACCCAACGAAGCCATCGATGGTCACACCCAACTTCTTGATGGTCTGCGCCGCCTCCTGGAACGAAGCCAGGCTGCCGGGGTCGGCGGTCACAAATATCATTTTGACCGCCTTGTATTTGCGATTGATGTGGTCCAGCACCGGCTGGAGTTCGGGTTGCGAGCGGCCTGTGCATATTATGGTTCCTGCACCGCCGTAGGCGAGGGCGTCTGCGGTGGTTGCGGGGAGGTCGCCTCGTTTCAGTCCGGATATTAGGACTGGAGGAAATCAGTTGATATACTGGGGTTGTTGGGGTTGTGACGGTACATGTTTTTCCCTTCACCCGGTCTGGGAACATCTTCGTCACGTCCATCCCCTGTGTCTGCTCATCAAAGGTATTGCTCATTGTGCTGGATTCCGATTGAATTTGGGAGTAGGTTGAGAGATGTCTGCTTTCTGCGTGGTTTGAATGGTCGGCATCCATGGATGTCGTCATCATGAAGCCATCTTGAAGTATTCGACCTACATAGAGAAAAAGAGAACACCTGGAACAGGATAAATAATGAAATTATGGGTTGTAGACTGGATAACTTCGAGTAATGGTGATCAGGCCTAGTAAAATCAAATGCGCATTCATAATGTACAGCTAAATAAATCGCGTACGGAGCCTGCCGGTCAAAGGAGAACGCAAAGAAAACAAGAGATATTAGTGAGATGGACCGTCATCTTCAGGCATCTGGTCAATAACATCCTTCATGAGCTCGATCAGCTCATCAATGTCGGGCCGTTCCGAAGGTTCAACGGTGAGGCACCTGCGGACAATATCCTTGACGGGTGCACTGATCGCAGGGACATCGCTTTTGGATGCATCCTCGCTTTCGCCCGACTTGGCTTTACCCTTGGAAGCGCCAGACTTCTCATCGGGGAATCGCCAGTCACCACCAAGAACACACATGCTCAAGCTACCACCGGTCTCTTCACTGCGCGCCTCAAAGGGACTCTTGCCCACGAGACAGGCGTAGAGTGTGCAGCCAAGCGACCAGATATCAACCTTGGTATCAATGATCGACCCTGTCTTGACATCGAAGAGCTCCGGTGCGCGGTATGGCATCGTGCTGTGTTCTGCTGCGGTATCCTGCACCGCCAAAGCGAGGGAGCGTGACGTAATGGCGATGGGGCTGGGCGCCAAAGAGCCTAGATCCATCAGGATGGGTGATTGCCCGTTATCGTCGATCATGATGTTTCCTACGACAGTTAGCTCGACTTCGCAAGTTCCGCACCAGCCAAAACGGTAACTCACCAGGCTTGACATCTCGGTGCGCATAGGGGCGCAGGTCCCCATCCTCAACACCTTCCTGACTCCGGGTGACTTCGTCATCCATCAGGGGCTCATTCTCCTCATCCTCCTCATCTTCAGCCATGCTGTGTGTAGTCCTCCGTTTCGGTTTCATCTGCATGGTCCGTTCCTTGTCTGCCTCCTCGCCTTCTCTCCGAACACCCTTCGCCTTGCGCGTAGAAGCCGACCCGCTCTTCACCCGATAATGATGCATCGCGCGAAGCGCATCGGCCACACCGAGTATCAGGACCATCAGCCGCTTCTCTGGGAACTTGGTATGGTTGACCAGATTGGCATTGATGGCATCTTGGAGATTACCACGCTGGTAGTATGGGAGTAGGATATAGACCGTCTTCGAACCTGGATCTCCGCCATCGGATCTGAATTTCGAGCCGGATTCTGTAGACACGCAGTGGTCGATTGAGTGGATGATGTTGGATTGGGAGCTGAAGATGTTGTAGGCTTCGACTTCTTTCAGGGCTTGCGATACGGATTCCTGACCGAATGGACAGCGAATCTTCTTCAGCGCGAATAATTCGGAACTCGTTTTATCTTGGACTAGGTAGACGTAGGAAAATCCGCCCTGTTGCGTTGTCAGTTCAGACCAGGTTGCAGTTATCGTTATCGGGTCTCCATACCTCGCCCAACAAACGTAGGAGTTTGAAACTTCGATTGTTGATCTTTAGCTGTGGGGAACTAGGAAAGCAACACATGCAATCCGTGAAGTTATACAGGAGGTCGAAGAAGTATTGCGCCATGATGTATAATGCGGGAGGTAGAGAGGTAGAGACCGGTGACGTCCGGTATGGTAGGGTGGTAGCGCAGTTACAGAATGGACAAGATCGTCGCCAAATAGAGATGTGTCTTGAAGATGTAGAAGTAAGGATATATGCAAAGTGGAAGAGTTGAAGTGGTTGGCATTACGTGGAGTGGAGTCCTTTCATTATTTGTTGTCCCCCTTTCTCTTGTCTCGGTGATATCTACATTTCTTGACTCTCTTTTCTCATCTAACTGGTCAAATTGGATCTGGGTCTTTTGTTTTCATTCGTTTCTTTCTCTCTTTTTCCTCCCAATCATGGGAGTTGGGCTGTCAATTTAATATCCTTGCATTCTCCTAACGCTCCCTCTACACCCTTCGGACCCAGGGGCTATTGATACTTGGATCTCTTATTTAAAAGCCGCATCCCACCTTTTTCTCTTCTTCATATCCTTCCCAATGGCGCACGATGATGTACGTGTCGGTGAGGTGGTGAATGTCCCCGGTGGCATGTATGGGACGATCAAATACTTGGGACCAGTGGCGGGGAAGGCCGGACGATTCGCAGGAGTCGAACTGAGCTCCGAACATGCCCAAAGAGGCAAAAACAGCGGCGATGTCGACGGCCGGAAGTACTTTGTGACCTCGATCCCGGGTGCTGGCATATTCGTTCCCATGAACAACAACAAGTATGTCACAAGGCGATCCAATGTCTCTACACCGACCACTCCTGCACGTGGGAGGCCCGTCAACTTCAGCAAATCGGTCGGTGCAGCTCTGACTACCCCTCGTCCTCGAGTCCGTCGACCCTCTCTCCCTCGACCCGAATCCCCGCGCGTGCCCCCTCCGAAACTAAGCCTGGCCGGCTTGCGGACACCGTCGGCTGCATCGAGGACCAGTGGCATGAACAGTGCCATGCGTAGCCCCGTCAAGGCGCCGTCTCGGCTGTCCGATAGGCCCTCGTCGCGACTTAGTGTGGATGATGATGCTTCGTCGTATGGACGGCCATCAGACTTCCGCCGACCGCTCTCGTCGGAGACTCAAGACCTAAAGGATCAGATCAAGAGTCTAGAGAAGCAGCTTCTGGACCGAGATAAGCAACTCGACGAGCAGTCGGGGACTTTGAGCGAGTTCCAGAAGACCTTGGAGGAGATGGAGGGACCGGATGGTCATTCGGTCCGTACACAGCTACGCGAACGCAACGAGCGGATTATCCAATTAACGTCCGAATTCGATGTACACCGTGCAGACTTCAGAAGCACACTCGACACATTGGAGATTGCTGCCTCCGAAACAGAACGCGTCTACGAGCAACGTCTCGATGAGCTTATGCAACAGAACAAGGAACTGCAGGACCGCGGCGAAGACGTGGAGATTGTTGCGCAGCAGCTCAAGCAGTTGGAAGAGCTGGTCTCGGAGTTAGAGGAAGGCCTCGAGGATGCCCGGCGTGGAGAGGCCGAGGCGAGGGCCGAAGTCGAGTTCCTCCGCGGCGAAGTCGAGCGAACCAAGCTGGAGTTGAAAAAGGAGCGTGACAACTCTGCGGCTGCGCTGAAAGATGCACACGCTGCTGTCGATGGACCCCGCAGCAGCAGTAGTGAATTGGATCAGAAGGATGATGAGATCCGGGGACTCAAGGCTATTATTCATTCATTGAGCCGCGGAAACCCCAGCACAGCAGGCTCGGACTATGAGCATGATCCGGAGCAGATTAATCAGCTGGAGATTCGACTGCAAGAGATCGAAGAGAATACAAACCGCAAGGATGATCGGATCGAAGAACTCGAGCGTGAACTTCAAGAGATGCACCTGCAGTCTGGTGGTCGTCGCCGCAGCTCTACTGTCACTCTTTCGCCAAAGCAACACAGGCCATCGCACTCTGCGGGCAATATCTCCAATCATTCAAACAACCCCAACCCCAACCGTCTCTCTGACCGTACAGTGGTCCCGACCGACTGGCACGATGCTCCTTCAGAGCCTCGTCATCACCGTGGTATCTCCAACTCTTCTCAGTCACGACTGGAGACCATGCATGAATCCGAACGCTCTTCCGATGAGGATACCATGTGGTGCGAGATCTGCGAAACAGGCGGCCATGACATCCTGAACTGCACCAGTATGTTCGGCTCTGGCCAGAAGACTGCTGAACATAAGAATCCCATACGTGATGCTGCCGACGACCTTGCCGATGAAAACCCAGTTCAGAAGACCGAACCCCTCCAGACCAAAGCCTCGTCCATCCATTCCGATACTCCCCCGGCACTAAAGACAGGACGGGATGTGGTTATGGAAGGTTTGAAGGGCATCGGTGGGCTGAGCTCATCCATGGCTCCCATTGCTGGTAAATCATCAGGGGTCATCGATGAGTCTAAGTGGTGTGCTCTCTGTGAGCGAGATGGTCATGAGAGCATCGACTGCCCATTTGACGAATAAGTTTATGGATATGCATAGGTGCGGTGCACCACACAAGATTGCAACCCTCTGCATGCATCTATGGGGTGTTTTTCTAGTACATGATTATTGGGTTGGTTTGGTTTCACCCCGGTTAATAAATGGTGTTTCATTTTTCGAGGGGGCTTCCTGGGAGGTAACTGGGAGGGTTTGTGCCTCTTGGGAAAGAAGAGGATTTGCATCACGGTGAGGCTGTGTGCTTGTAATAAATACCATTTCTTTGGTCATAATAAGATGTCTTTGTATACAGTTTTCCATGTTCCGTTGTAGCAGTTGACCATCGACTTGGCTCGCCTTTTGATACTGTCGAGGAACATATTCATCCCATTCTATTCTATTTCTATTCATGTCATATCAAATAACATTGGATTCGTCACTCATAACCATTCATGCCCGAAAAGGATTACAGTTGCAGCACCAATCTCACCCTCCGATGGACCTGATCAGTATACTATTCAGGATGAGTCGGCGGCTGCACAATTTCCCCTTCCTGATACTTCGATGCCGCACTCTCTCCACAAGCCTTACATTTGCGCTTTTCCTCGTCAGCCGCAAACTCCTCAACCACAGCCTTAACCTGCGTCCCTAGGTCAACACACACGAACTTCTTCTCCCAGACAACCTCCTTGCAGCTCTTGCAATACCATCTCATAGCATCGACTGCACCTTGAGCCCGCGGCTGCTCCATCACAACACCGACACTGTCCTTGAAGCGCACGGGGCAGTGTGGGGTGTTCGCGGGCAGTAGGAAGATCGAGCCTTCGTGGATGGGGATATCTTGGAAACTAGGAGGTGTGGTTGAGTTGTCCACTGTTTTGAGGAGCATTGATCCTCGGTATTGGTAGAAGAACTCTGGGGTTGTGTTGATGTGGAAGTCGGTGCGGGCGTTGGGCCCGCCCACTATCATTACCGTGTAGCCGGCTGTGGCCGGTGTTGAAGGGTGGTAGACACAGTAGTTATTGACTGGTGGTTGAAGGAGATGGGAGTTTTCTTCGAGCCTGGATAGATGTTAGCAGTTGGCGTTAGGATAGCTTGCTTATGGCTCGCGTGATGAATCATAGTATCATGTAGTGGGGGAGGTATAAGAAAGATATGGAAAGCTTCTTGGCTTACCATTTGGGAATGTTTAGCGCTGGAGGAAGCATTGTGAATATAGCAAAATCTAATCTTGTCAGAGTCTAGATTTGTGCAGATATTGCATGAGGTTGACTTAGAAACCTTAGGAATCCGAAACGATCTGATCCCGGAGATATCAGCTCCACCCCGGATTTAACTATCGGCTCGGATCAACTTCCTTCCGTCAATTTTTCTTTTTCATATCTCGAATCCAGACAGTGTTTGACGGCGAGAGTCTTAACCAACCACACAAAATGGCAACAACCTCTCAACCCCCCTTCGGTTTACGTCCCATCACAATCTGGTATATCGCCTGGTCTTGTCCACCCTCACCGGCCGCACAGTCCACATTTCGCAAATTCGTTCCTCGTCGCCCACCAATCCGGGTCTTGCGCCTCATGAAATTTCTTTCCTCCGTCTCCTAGATGCAATCACCAATGGCTCTCAAATGGAGATCTCATACACCGGAACGGTGCTTGTCTACAAGCCCGGTTTGATCACCGGCAGTACGGCTGGTACTGGAGCCAGCGGCGGCATGATCACTTATGAGATTCCGTCAAATTGTAACCGCGGCCTCAGTTACTTCCTGATCCCGCTCTGTCTGCTGTCCCCCTTCGCCAAAGCACCCATGAAGGTGCTCTTCACAGGACCCGGTGTGATCACCTCCTCGACACCGACCGGAGATATGTCCGTCGACAGCGTTCGCACTGCGATCCTCCCTCTGTACAAACAATTCGGTATCTTCAACAACATTGAGCTCCGTATCTTGAGGCGATCAAACACTGGCCCCACCGGTAGGGGTGGTGGTGGTGAAGTGCAACTTGTGTTTGGCCACCAGGTCCGTCTGCCGAAGACTCTGCACTTGATGAACGCGGGCCGCATCAAGCGCATCCGTGGTGTTGTATACTCGGTTGGTGTATCTGGCTCGAACAACGCTCGCATGATTGAGACTGCCCGTGGTATTCTCAACCCACTCAGCCCTGATACTTATATCTTCTCCGACGTTGCGTCTGCGCCTTTGGTGCCAGCTCCAGATAAGACCAACCCCCAGGCAAAGAAGAAGATCGGTCTTGGATTTGGTTTGTCCTTGGTAGCGGAGTCTTCTACGGGCTGTCTCTTCTCGGCCGATGTGGCCTCTCCACCATCGGGTGGTCAAGCCCCTGAGGAGGTTGGAAAGCAGTGTGCATTCCAGCTTCTGGAGACGGTTGCCAAGGGAGGTTGTGTGGCTCCTGCAGCTGCGACGACCATGTTCACTCTCATGACCATGGGCTCGGAAGATGTTGGGCGGCTGCAGGTTGGCCGAGATGTGATTGCCGATCCCAACGTGGTCCAGCTCGCTCGAGACCTGTCCAAGTTCGGTGCTCCCGGCTGGGGTATCCGAGATGCACCTGACAATGGAGATGGAGATGTGATTGTCAGCATTGTCGGCCGTGGAATCGGTAACGTCGGCAGAAAGGTTGCTTAAGCTGCTATGGACGGCTTTCGCACTTCATTCCAAGTCTACCACCACTCTGAGGGCTTTGCCAAACAATTCGGAAGTCTCGCCTCAGCAGTTCACTCCTTCCCAGACGGGGCCACGTGGTAGTCCATCAGATGCCGTCGGCGTCGCGGGCTTTTGGCCGTCTGTCCAGTGCGCGCCAGTGTACTCCAAGAAGCTCACGTTTCAAGGCTTGACTGTCGAGCATGAACTCGACCTGTCGCTCCATAGCGACGAAGCCATGTGAGGCAAAAGACTGCTTTTTCCATCATGATACCCATACAAAACTTGCTTGAGCAAGGTGACAATACATAGGATTCAATAACATTGTCTTCACTTCTACTTCTTCTACTTGTATACTTCTTGACATAATAGTGACATAGATATCAGGTAAGATGTGTATCCTGAGGCCATCGACACTTTTGTTTATAAATACTCGCATCCCCCCCCCCCCATCTTCCTCTTCTCTTCTTCATCTCCCCTCCATCTAACTTTTTTTTTTTTTTCCATCCCCCATCACCCATCCTTCATCCTTCATCTTCATCACCTCCCTCCTCCCCTTCCATCCTTCACCTTGACAGCTTTTGGGTTCTGTGACTGTCATTTATCCCTCGCCTTCTGCTCACCGGTCCCGGGGCAACCTGGTGCCGTTCTGGGAAGTGAAGAGACGGACTTCGTGATCATGTTGGGCTCTGCAACGTCTTCTGTCTTATTTGCCATATCTGCCATTTATTCTGCCATTTACCCCAGCGATGGCTCGCACCTCAACGTGGTGCTGGGGTCCAGTAACCCTCCGGGGTGAAGCCAAGACGAGCCTGCCATCTTTCTGACATCTTTCTGACATTTGTTTACATTTGTTTACATCATTGTTCACCATCTCGTCATTTATTTGTCATCTATCTTCCACATTTATCCCTTGCCTTCTGCCCACCAGTGCTGGGGAAACCTGGTGCCGACTGGGAAGTGAAGAGAGGGACCTGCCGTTGCGCAGGTGCCATTTATTTGCCATTTCTGTTTTTTTATGTTCTCTCTGCCATTTTTGCCATCTCAGACATATACTTGACATTTATTCCTGGTCAGCTCAGGTTGCCCTGGGCTGGGTTGGAGCCATTTATTTTGCCATTTACCCCAGCGTTGGCTCGCACCTCATCGTGGTGCTGGGGTCTAGTAATCCATTTGGATGAAGTCAAGACGAGCCTCATTGTTTTTTTTCTGGTTGTGTTTTGGTGTTCGTTTCTCTGCGGTGTTGATGACTTCCAGGTAGGGCTTGATGGTCGCGTGACATTATTTTGTTTTGGTTAGACTCCGGACTTGTTCAAAGGGATTGGTCTTTTGTTTTTTGGATTACTAGGTAGTTTACTGGATATTTGTATGGACTGGTTGCAATGAAATGATTCTCGTTTTAATTCTATGGAATCTAGTAGGCGCTAAGCAGATGGAAAGACAAGACATGAGACTCGATGCAAAAGGGTCCCCACGGGACAAAGAAAACAGAGTGCTTGAACGCTTTTGAATCGAAAGAGCAGAAAAATCAACATGAAGATCGAAATGGGAATGAGAAAATGACAATGAGATGATAGTGTGCAATGAAAGAAGACCAAAGATGCAAAAGATTGTGCAAGAAGCCGAGAAAATGCCAAAAGTAACAAGAAAGAAATCAAAAACTGCATAAGAGACAAGAATCCCTCGGTCGGATGAGCCTCTCAGTCGGAGGTATCCTCATCCTTACCAGGATACATGATATCCTGGCGATAGACCGCAAGTACATGACTGACAAAGACAAAGATGAACATGCAGACTATGCAAACAGTCATCGCAGAGCCAACACCCTTGATCGCCGTGCTATCAAATGCATTTCCAAGCGTAATAGTAGCAATCGTGAACCCGGTATTAGGGAAAACCATCGCCCACCAGCTAAGATGGAAGCTCGTCGGCGGCGACCGAATAACCGCAATAGCAGCAACACAGAAGAACCAAAGGCTCAGCGCCCATAAGAACGCGCCAGCTGTCAACGCCAGAATCTCAATCATGCGTCCATCAGCTGCGGTGTCCTCGCTCCCCATCACCTTGAATGTCGCTGGCAGTCCTTGCGCCATACCGACCAAGGCAAGAGCCGTGAACGCGGGCGGTCCGACGCAGATGAACATCGCTGGTCGGTGTTCGCGGCAGGGAAGACCACTCTCCATCAGTCGTCCGATGTAGTGCGAGTACATCATGAAGGAGAGGCAGAAGCCGAGGCCTTGGAAGGTCATTCCGGCGGTGACGATTGGGATTGCGGCGCGCTCGGGCTGGCGTGAGGCGATGACGGAGGCGATCGTGCCACTTAGCATGATCGGGAATGCGGGCAAGATCCAGGAAGGCATCATTGTTTGGAGGCGGTAGGTGTGCGAGGTGAAGACGAAGGAGTATTGGACGACGGCGAGGGTGAAGGTGCAGAAGCAGTATATCCAGAAAAGGACTTCGAGGGTTGTTGTGAAGGATGAGGCAGCGTTGTCGCCGAAGTATTTCTCCAGGCCGGTGATCATTGTTGCGACGGAGAGCCAGAAGGTTGGGAAGAAGAGACCTTCGCGTTCATGGCGGAGGGAGTTGAGGGCTCCGCCGTGGATTATAAAGCGCGCTGCCATGAGAGAGCAGACAAGGGAGAAGAGGATGAGGTTGATTATGTAGATGGCTAGACCGATCTCACGGCAGCCTTGGAATTTGTTCGGTTGGTTTGCTATGAGGAGGGCTAGGCCTCCTGCGCTCATGGTGAGAGTGTACCATGCCCATGTGAAATGGCGGAGGCGCTCACGGAAGCTCAGTGGGTATTGCTTCTCGCACTTCTCTTTCATAAATGGTGTATCGGAATGAGCGGACGGTGGTGCAGATGGAGGTGCAGATGAAGGATAAAGCTCTTGGCTGTGGTTAGGGTATGCCCCTAGTAGAATTGGATTGGACATTGTGTATAGGAAGTATGAAGCCCTAGGTTGGAATAGGAAAGGTGTATAGAGTGAATGTATTCAAGATAGGACTATGGACCAATGGGTCATGGAATGGAAAAGTAGTGTCAAGTCGAGGCTTGAATTGAAGTGATTGTGATGATCGAGGTGAACTGGAAGGAGCGAAAGGGATTTAATATACTAGGAAGAGCAGCAAAGATAGGCATATCAATTCCATATTCTACTGAAGATCAGCCAAGAATTTCCAAGACTTGTACGTTTGATAGTGAGAAATATCCAAAGAGGGTTCTATACAACGTACTCCCTAGGCAAGGCAATGGCATCATCAATGAACCTACCAGCGGCGTCAACGGGCATGTTAGACCCATAATTCTCTCAAACTAAGAGAAATTCATAAGAATAGATCGATCCGGGATGGGCTCGGACGATTCATCATACTCCATGCGTCAGGGGGTGGCGGTTAATGCCTCTAGGGGTTCCGGGAGCACAACGATCCACTGATCCACTGCGGATATCTGGGCATCAGGTTAGGCGCATGTTGCGGATACAAAAACTTCGATGCCTAGGGGGTTGAAGTCAAGGGCGTGGGACTCTCTGCCAAGAGCATGAAGGAATCATTGGTGCGTAACGTTTTTTTTTTTTCCCTGCGCCGCAATGGATACCTGGTCCTTGAGTGGAAGAGTACCCAGTCTGATTGACAATCTACATGATATTGTGTCAGTTTAACACTTTGAATCAGAGACAAGTTACTCGGATGATGAATCTCAACCCCGATTTCATTCGGGCCGATGTCCCTCGCCGAACCTTCTTCTGATATAGGATATGGATATAGGGAAAGTCTAAACAGGGATTCTGATGCGCGTCCAACGTGCCTGGACGCCCAAATGCCAAGAATATGATGATCGACAGTACATCGTTTGACGGACCGCTGCCAAGCTTTAGCTCGGTGGCTGTGAAGAAGAGACGGGATTGGTGTAAAATAATAGGTAACACCATTGCGCGTATGCAAGCACAACGCATAGAACAAGTTCAATAGAATGTACAAATACGCAATATGGGCGTAGATCTCAAGGAGGTTGCGTCCAAGTTCCAGGTGGAGTCGAAACGTTGACGTACACTCGGAATCTCTTGGCAGTTCTTTTCCCCTGAACTTCTCTTATCTTCACAGCCCCCAGTCAACTACACTATTGATGAGATTCTCGCCAAGAATTACTTATGACATGGATGTTCTGTCGATCAGTCGATCCTTCAAGGGGGCATTACTATTGGAAATTAGCCTTATCTTTGGTCATTGTCTTGCCAAGATGCCCAGACACATGTATCTCCTATTCTAAGTCTATTGAGGCTATGGAGGCTATGGAGGCTAATGGATTCTGCCTACAGAGTACAGCTCCAATCTGGAGTAATTCAACTGGGATCCCACTGATCACCAAAAAGAAGGCTTACAACAATACAGCAATATATATAAATAGCAACTTCATTCAAAGAAAAAGCCCCAAACCAAGATCATGCAAAACAAAGGCAAGATAATGCAATGCACCTCGACAGAAAATGACAAATTCAAATTATGCAACAGAACGCCAGTTCGAAACATCTCCAGGGTAGCAATGCATGAAATCATAACAAGTTTATGCAGAAAGAAACACAAAAAGTCTGGGCAAACCCAGACCCAATCACATCATCACATCTCACATCATGCGGTAGACCAGATCAGAGGCCAGCTCTGTCGTCAAGTCCAACAAAGCACGGAGACTCTTAGGGGAAGTGGACGTCTCAACTCGCTCCACTTTTGCATCCACAGGTCGCAAAGACGGCGTCGCCGAGACGGAATCGTCTGCCGAATGATATCGTGCCAATTCCTTCACGTTGCACGCTGCATAGTGCACCACCAGTCGACGCAGCTCGTTCTCCCGAAGCTGGGTCGCGGATGTCGGCGAGATCGGCTCCAGTCGGGCTGTCTTGGTGTAGGCGTAGTGTACCAACTCCAGTATCATCTGCGCCTTGGTTGCTGCCAAGCCGTCTAGAATTTGAGAGTCGTCTTGATCGGCGGTTTCGAAGTCTGCCGATGAGAGGGTGAGAAGATCGCGATGCAGCTTTCGGAGGCAAAGCTGGGCGAGAGCGGGGATTAGGTACCGGGTGGCGAAGACGTAGACCTTCGCGTGGAATGTGATGTAGGGTAGGTCGGTGCTTGGTGTCTCGACCGGGCTAGGCTTGGAGGTTGCTGGCTCGTCATTGTATTGTAGGGATGTGAACTCGTCCCATAGGCTGAGACCCGCCTCGCAGGGCGAGGAGACTTGATGTTGGGCAAAGGACATGTCGAGCATTGGTCGTTGGCGCTGTGTATGGTTGCTTCTGTCCTGAGTCCAAGAATCTTCCATCGATCCTTCCACAGGTGCAGGTTCTTCTGTCAGCGCGGGTTCTTCGGCTGGCTGTTCCCATGACTCAGTCGGTTCGGGTTCTGGCTCTGGGACAGGAGTCCATTCTTCAACGGGCTCTGCTTCTGACTCCGGGAGAGGGTCGGCAGCAACTTCTGGGGGTGGTGTTGATGGTGGCGTAAGGTTGACAGGTCCAGCTAGTGCGGGAAGTTCTTCGACTGGCTCTGCTTGCTTTTTGCCCTTCTTCCCTTTCTTTCCCTTCTTTCCCTTAGTTTTTTCTACCTTGGCATCTTCTGGCTCCCACGACACAGGTTCTTCATCCGGAGCCCATCCACCCTCGACAGGAGGCATATCCTCGACTGGCTCTGGTGCAGCCTCCGCCTCGTGGTATGTCTCTGGCTCCGGTTCCGGCTCCGCCGCAGAGACTGGAGCCTCTGGCTCTGGAGTCGGCTCAACCTCAGATTCTGGAACATGGGTTGGAGTAACCGGTTCCTTGACCTCGGTGGGCGCAGGCTCAGACACGGGCGCAGGCACCGGCTCAGTCTCAGGCTCAATTGCAGACTGATGGGCTCCCTGTCCCCGATGGCGATACTGCGGAGGTGGCGACGGAGCCGGAGGTGGCACAGTTGACGCGATTGAACCAGATCGGTAATGCTCTCTCCAGGTGGCGGTACTAGGCGAGCTCTCGACTACTCCAACCCTGTGATCTTCTCGGACCTCCGGACGAGGCACCTTATAATCGCCGGTATATGCATACTCGCAGAAAGCGACAAAGGTTTCAACGTCGTCTTCTTCTAGAACGGCGATTCGATGTTTTGATTCCCTCGTCGGACCGTTCATGAGATTATGGAGTGGTTTGGAGACATGTTGGGCGAGTCCCGACTGGATTGTCAGCTTCGTATGTCGTGGACCGACAAGGAAGGTGAATGATGGTGAGTGGATGATACTGGAATTGTTGAATTAGCGGTCTGCTAACATTGTCCCTAGAACATATACATACCTGGTAAAATCCGGGACAGACTCCATTAGAGCTAATTGATCTTTAGAAGGATGTGAAATTATCTACGTTCTAAGATGCAGGGTAAGTCCCATTAAATATTTCACCGCGAACTCCCAAGCCACCAGAAGCGAACTCGGGAGATAATAGTCTGCTACGTGTGCAGCTGTGATGGGGGGTAGGACCCATTATGCTAACGCTAAACCAGATGACTTTAGATATGCGAAATGGGTCCAAAGGAAATTGGATGTTCTATATGTTCGCCCTACACTATAACCCTCGATATCCTAATGGTTTCCCTCAATGCCAATGACCACCCACTTTATTTGAACCATTTGAATGTCATCCAGCTATCACCGAGACACAAAAAAAAACAACGCAAAACAGCCATACAGAGCAGCCATACAGGACAGCTGGCGTTGACTGGATCCTCGATTATCCAATTGTCCGGTGAGGTTGGCGTCAGCAGGTTTGTGCCCAATCCCCAGCCTCGAGGGAACCCAATCTGTGGCCTCACTGGTTGATTTGTTCCTGGGAGCTCCATTCTTGAATTGAAAGCTTCACTTTTCTATGATTTGTCTTGAATATCTGGGATATTTGGGATGTAGCGGTCAACGGCTGTACAACGGTGCCCTAAAAAAGGTACCCGTACCTAATGAGGTATACCGAGGGATTAACATGATATTTACTACAGAATACAAAAATAGCCATTTCAAATCTTTCACTCTTCTACTCTTCTACTCTTCTACTACAGGTTGAAATATATTTTCTTGCCCCTCTTTTTCTAAGAACAACCTTATGTAGAAACTGAATATAATTAGCATTCACATCCAATATTCTCCATATGTAAAAGAGTAGCGTAGTCTATCCAGATATATCCCTAAGAAATCCAATAATATACAAACAAAGCCAACATATCAACTACTATGCATCAACCGAATCTCCGTATTCCCAGGCTCCCACTCCCTCAACCCTTCTCCAACACTATACCAAAATCGCAACCGAATACACTCCATCCTCGCAGCCTCCAAATCTCCTTTCTCAAGCACCTTCCCAAGACTCTCCACACACCTAAGAATCCTTCCCTCATTCTCCTTCTTAAGCGCATTGATCTGCGCCTCCGCCTCAGCAGACGCACCAACCTCTTCAATTGTCTCCTGCACCTCCATAACCTCCATCAGCGTCTCCGCGTCAAGCGCATGCTTAGTCGACGCGTCTTCCGCCGTCACATCAATCCCGTGCCATTCCCGTAGAAGGTACTGTGCCCGCTGCAGCGGGTCTAGAAGGGTCCGGTACGCTTCGTTGATTCGGGCTGAGAGAGCCTCGGCTTGCTGCTTCTCCCCTCCGTTTGGGTATTTGTCTGGGTGGACGAGGCCTTGTAGTTGGAGGAATTCGCGGCGGAGATCACTGGTTGAGATTGCGAATGGGGAGCTTGGTGGTGGGCCTGCTGGTAGCGTTTGAGGGAAGATGGTGTAGTGGTTGGTTATGTCCGGCGCGCCGGCGAGGGTTGTTTTAGTTGCTTCTGTTGGGGAGGTTTTTGTTGAGGCAGAGCGGCAATTTGTCGGTGTCTGGGTCATGAAGGATTGACGTCTTGGGAGGGTTGCTAGTCCTCGCGCTGGTTGGCGATATTGGCAGAGTATGCATGCATCTTGGCTGTTTGAGAGCGAGCGAGTTGGTCGTGAGAGAGGCCGAGAGATTGCTGTGCGACAGAGATGTGCAACTCTCTGTGGACGGAAAGCCATGACTATGTAGCGCCTTTACCAAGGTTGTAGTCAAGGGAAGAGCTGTACAACTTCAAAAGCCGATAAAAAGCTCTCGGCATACCGCTTTACGTCATCCCCACATTTGGCACGTGACTAGGGACTATCTGATAGATATCTGGATTTTCGACATTGATTCAACGAATTACAGTTCTTTCAGTTGTATACAATTGGAGACATACGACAGATAATTGAAGAGCCAATGAATTTGCATCATTCAATCCCCCAAAGCTTCACTGTACGATCGTGACCGCAGCTAGCAATCCACTTGGCATCGTCACTGATATCCGTGCTGAGAACGTTGCCCGAGTGGCCGCTCAGCGACTTCACGAGGGACCAGTCATCCGCACTGAAAATGTTGACACTTTTATCAAATCCACTGCTCACAAAGAATGTGCCCGATTTCTTAGGCGAGGGCGCTTCCGCTTTATCGGCAGCTGGAGCGCCATCAATATCCATCCCGCCATCCGTAGAAGGCAAGAATGAGGCGGCCTCTGCACCCTTGTACCAGCGGAGATCTGATACCACACTCTTATGCGCACCAATTCCACCCGGCTCCCTGTTGTTTCGCATGTCCCAGCATTTGACCCAGCCATCACCAGAACCAGAGAGCACCCGGTAACCATCAACACCCCAGTCCATAGCGAAGATCTCACGAATGTGGCCCTGGAGGAGCATCACGTTTTTCCCTGTCCGCAGATCCCAGATACGTCCGATGCTGTCGAATCCACCAGTAGCCACGAGAGAACCATCGTTGTTGAACGACACTGCGTATACCTCTCGTGAATGGCCTTCTTGCAGGAGCAGCTCGGTTGCCCTTTCGATATCCCACAGCCGCCATGAGTTGTCGAAGGATGCCGATGCTGCATATCGACCCGAAGGGTGGAACTCAGTACGGCATACACGCGCCGTGTGGCCAGATAACGTAGCCAGCGGCTTTTCTTGATCAAGGGCCCAAAGATGGAGATCTCCTTCGCCGCCTCCGGAGATCAAATTGACAGTTGAGGGTGAGACATTCGAGCTGGGTAGAGTGGCACCGGGGAACCACGACAAACCACCCACTCGATCCGTATGCGCCTTGAAAGTCGCTTTTTCTTCCAGATCGGGCACGCCGAGCAATTTGATCTCACCGCTCCAGTTTCCCGCAGCGATTGTCTGCCCATCCGGCGCAAATCGACAAATACTAACCGGACGATCGCCAGCAATCTGAGATCCGTAAAGATCGAATCCTTGTAGCTTCTCCTTGACCGCTTTGCGATGCTTAACATGCGTTCGAAGAGTAATTTTCGATTCGTCCTTGAGCCGGGCCACTCGAGCCTTTGCGCGCGGTAAAGAATAGCACGCAATATCTTTCCGCGCCTCGAGTAAATCATGTCCGCCATCTGTGTAGAATTCTTCTTGTTGTTCCTCTCCCTCCTCCGCTTCTTCCATTTCTACCTCGACTCCGCCTTGTGTCTCCGCCATGTCGGTCAACAGTTCACGTAGACGATCGCGTCGCTCTGATGGTCCTTCGCCGAATAGCGTAATGGGCTCTCCGAGCTCTCGTAGTCGTGCGCGCACTCGTGTGTCATCTGTTGGAACCACCATCGCTGCTGCTCTGCGTTTCCGTTCGAATTGGGATAGAATGGCGGAGGCCCGCTCAGTCGGGATACCCCCTGCGGTAGAGGGCATATCGTAGTCTTGATCCATGGCTATAGTTTTATTAGTAGGCTTCAACCAAAAGCTGTTCGATAACGACTTACGAAGATCGGCATAGCTGACGCCCATATCTGTGTCCTCCGTCTCCTCGACATAAGCCTGTCGTGATGGGTGCATCATTTTGGGCAACTTTGGAAGCTTGTGCTTCTCCAGTAGCTCAAAGGGCAAATTAAGAAAGCTTTGCGCTTGGGTAAAAGAAAAGAATTGAGGTATCGCGTAGCGAAGAGAAAACAAAAAGGTTGGCGGGAGAAGTTGCGGGCGGCAGAATTGATAGAGGTTAGCGGTATAGCGATGAAGAGCATACAAGTCAACATCTGATTCAATTATGGTGTCATTTAACTATATTTAAGAAGAATATTTGAACTTATTCTCTTGTTTTGTCGTGTTTTCTTCCTATATCAAGTCCAGCCCTGTACAGTTTCACCGTTTCTGCCTGATAAATCAGATATCCACGAAAAATCAATGACGCCAGGCGGTCGGGCGATAAGGATCTTATCCGGTTGAGATTCATGCAGCTCCTTGATTTTTGGGCTTTTTTTATTTCTTTCTATATACTTCTTTTTTTTACTCTGTTCCTCTCGCTCGAAAATATCCCATCCTCTAGGGATATACACATAAGCCCCTAGACTTGCGATGATCCCGCCAAGTCTTTCCTGTAGAGCCTGCAGTTCCGCCTGCAGTAGCCTACAAGCCATCGTTCGAGACGGCGTCTATTCAATCTCCACCAATCCGAATACATACACACCCTCACTGTTCAAAACCCAACATGTCCGCTTCTCTTCCCACAGCACAAGAGTCAGACTAGACACCCGTCTAAGCCTGAACCTCACCCGCCAACCCTCCCGTCGAGCCTTTCACGCAACCCCAACAACTAATTTCGAAAAACCCTCCTCAAAACTCTCTTACCGCGTCGCCGTCTCTTCCTCCGGCAAAGGCCGCCGCTTCCACCCCATCAAAAATGCATACAATTTCGACCCCACCGGAGACGCCCTAGGCGTCTCAAAGGACAAGAACTCTGTCAGCCGCCGTCGCAACCGCCCAGACTCAGGCGAGGACGCCTTCTTCGTCTCCCGCATCGGAAACCGCATTTCAGACCACCAAGACACAAACGCCGAAGCTGTGGCTTTTGGCGTCGCAGACGGCGTAGGCGGCTGGACAGAATCCCGCGTCGACCCTGCAGACTTCTCACACGGCTTGTGTAACTACATGGCGCACACGGCGCAGACTTGGCACGAGCCCGCCGAGCGGTTGCGCCCCAAAAATCTCCTGCAGGCTGGGTACGACCAGGTAGTGGCAGATTCGACAATCCGCGCAGGTGGGAGTACGGCGTCTGTTGGGGTCGCGCTGCCGGATGGACGGGTCGAACTGGCCAATTTGGGCGATTCGGGCTCAGTGTTGTTGAGGAAGGCGGCGGTGCATCATTACTCGGTTCCGCAGACGCATGGCTTCAACACCCCGTACCAGCTCAGCGTGATCCCGCCCCGTATGCGCGCCCAAGCGTCTGTCTTTGGCGGGGCATTTTTGGAGGATTTCCCCCGTGATGCGTCTGTTACGAATGTGCAGATGCAGCATGGGGACGTGCTCATCATTGCTACCGACGGCGTTTTTGATAATCTCAATAATCAGGATATCCTCAAGCTCGTCACGAGCCGTATGGTTATGACTGGGGCCTGGACGGCTACCGAGTCTGGCGTTGGGGTCTCGGAGAACCTGCGTGCGTTGGCTGCGCCGGGTGGATTGGTTGATGCTCTTCCCACTCCGACGGGCTCGCCGCTTTCCAAGGACCCGGCTAATACCGAGTCCGGACCTGAGGATGGAGTCACCTTGCAGTCTGTTCTCGCCGCGGCGATTGCCGGCGAGGCGAAAATTGCTAGTGTCGACTATCGCCGTGATGGGCCCTTTGCTAAGGAGGCTCAGCGCTACTATCCCGGTGACTATTACCGCGGCGGGAAAGTTGATGATATCTGCGTTGTGGTTGTCATCGCTGTCGATGATAGCGTTGCTGCGGATATTGCCTGAGTTGGACAGGAAGGCTGGAGATCTCATACCGGCGTCATATTGTTTCCCTTTGTTTCGGAGCATGATGTATAACTGCATCCACATATATAGAAGGCGTGAGGATTTTTGATTTTGCAAAAGAGGCACATAAGCATTTTATGCTTCCCCGATACCTTGACGATATTCAAATAGAGATTTATAGAGATAACCCAACTGCATGGATTTCGACTTTCGACTACAATATGTATTGTTTATTGATTTATTGAACAGCCATTATGGATCCTTGTATTCAAGAGCTCAATACATGCAAAGAAGACATAGTCTCTACATTACCCTTAAGAGACCTTTCTGTTCATTTCCATATCATAACACAACTTCCCAATACTCTGGGCTCAAGGTGACCTCGATGGTCAGATTGAACCTCTGGGAAAGATCCAGCAGCTAACTCCCATGCTCCATAGCCGGAGCACAGATGCGCAGAAGATTAAAAAAAGAACAATCACATTTTCAATTGATTCAAAGAAGCCTTGCTGGTTGGTCCAGCCCCGTATCCCATTGCATTGGCAGGTGACAAAAAAGAAAAAGAAACAAACCGGCAGATCCGCGTAGATTGAAACAGAGACAAAGAAGAGAACATGAATGAGAGCGCAAATGGATAAGAAGAATAATAGACATCGCAGAGTCGTGATTCTTAGACCACTTAAGCAGTAGCCTCGGACTTCTCCTCGGTCTTCTCCTCGGTGGGCTCCTCAACTGCCTTCTCCTCCTCGGGCTTTTCTTCTGTCTCAGGCTCAGGGGCCTTCTCATCCGCGTCGGGCATTGGAGAATCAACATCCTTGGTCGACTTGGATTCGGGCTCCTTTTCTTCTTCTGTCTCCAGCTTGGGAGTTTCGACGCCATCCTCATCCTTGGAGCCGTTGACGGCGGGCTTCTCATCCTTGTCCGCCGGGCCAGGAGTGTCCGCGTCCAAGATGTTCTTCCAGCTAGACAAAATGTTCATGGCACGGTGACGGAAGTTGAACTCCTCATCCCGGGGAATCGAGTTGAGCTTGACAATCATCTTAAGAACCTTGTTAATCTTGGTCGAACGGATGATCGACACCTCCAAGTCCGAGTGCTTCTCCAACTTGTCAAAGTAGCTGGCCATGTTGGCCATTTCATCTTCCTTGGGAGGTTGGTCACGGGAGATGAATCCCTTCTGGAGCTTGTGACGGAGGAACAAAACTGTAAGGTATAAGCTGGCCTGATCGGACTCGTCGGGGGAGGAGGGGGTTCGCGTACTCTCTTTCTCCTTTTTCTTTCTCAGCTCCTCTGGGTCAGTGGGTTTTTCGGATTCCTTAGCATCGGCACTGTCTCCTTCCTCGCTGGCAGTGGGAGCAGCCTTGCCCTTCTTGGCGGGTGCCTTCTTAGCCTTGCTGGCTGGGGTCTTCTTTTCCTCGGCGGGAGCCTTGGGGGTGGTCAACTTAAGCTTTGTGTTGGACTTGGGAGTCTTCGCGGGCTATAATTTTGTGAGATGAGCCAGATCAACATCAAAACGATCCTGTAATGCATACCTTTTCCGCTTCAGCATCGGTCTCAACATCCTTCTTACGCTTCTTAGAAGGAGCCTTGGACTTCTTGGAGTCATCCGCATCCTCCATTTCAATGTCAGTCTCGGCGCCCTTACTCTTGCGCTTGCCCTTCTTGGCCTCCTTTGCGGCCTTGGCAGCTGCCTTCTCCGCTTCCTGGGCTTCGAACTCGGCCTCTTCCTGGTCAATAGCGGCCTGGTGGTCGTTCAGGAGCTTCTTGAAGTACTGGAGGTTATGGCCCTCGGATGCAACCTTGTAGGCATTGACGAGCGATTTGCTTTTATTCTTCTCGGAGATGTTTTTGCACTCGGCAGGGTCGAGGGGAGTCAAGTTGGTATTGGGAACCCAAGCGCTGTCAAAAGATAGTCAGTAGGAAGTTCGCGTCTGGTGTAGAGACACCGTTGTTGACTCACAATTCATTGGTCTCGAAGAACATGACAGGGAAGGTACGCTCATGGGCGCGTCTGCCGTCGTCGCCATACTCGCCTTTGTAGGATCCGTCCTTTTGCATGGCGGTAACGGGACGAGTTTCAAGCAGGCTGGGGGGCAGAATTCCCTCGTCACAGATGATAGCAGGCCAGGGCGCATAACTGCGCAGGCGGGCAAGGTAAGTCTGGCCCGGCTTGGCGTCCAGGTGGGTGATGCGACTCTGGGACTTCTTGCGGCTCAGCTTCTGGGTAGCACCGGTGGAGGTGCGACGGTCCTTGGAGGACTTCTTCGCTGAGGCAGGGGTTCCGTTGGCCTCCGCGGGCGCAGCAGCCTCTGCATCGACAGGCGCAGCTTCGGCGGTTTCGCCATCGGCCTTGGCCTCAGGGGCCTCGTCAGAGGAAGCAGGCTTATCAGCCTCAACTTCGGCGTCCGTCTTCTTGTCGGTCGCAGCTTCAGGCTCTGGAAGAAACAGTGGGTTAGTGTCGCACAGAAAAAGGATGCCCCGACCGGGGGACAGCGTTGAGAGATGGAGGCGCAAAACGATGAATTGATATCAATCAGTCCATGCTTACCGGCAGGCTTGTCTTCCGACACAGTCACATCCTCAGACTTCTTCTCGGAGTCGGGATTCTCAGCAACGCGCTCGGGCTGATCGCCGGCAGAGACAGGAGTATCAGCCATAATGGCAAGCTGGGATGAGATAAGTTAAAATTCACTAAGCGATTGGTAGATTGAAGCTGGGATAGGTAGTGGAGGAGCTTCCAGGGGATGGTAGGAGATGTGGAGAAGAGAGAGAGAGTCGCGAAAGGCGCGGGAACTTCAAAGACGCGTCTGAGAACGGAACCAATGACGCCACACGTTTTCTTCAGCCAACAACAAGAGTTGTATCGTGAATGGTGAATCGAAGCTTGTTTGTTTCGCTCTTTCAGATTTGGACCTGGAGGATTTGGGAAATGCAGGGAGGGGGTTGCACAGGGGATGATTACTTACCTGAAGGTTGTGGACAACAAGTCACGATAGGAACATTCAACGCTCAAGCAGAGGATGATCAACTCCTAGGAGACAGTGGCGCCTGGTGAGTAGCCTGAGGTTTCTCTGCCTCCAGGGCTATGGCAGGAGATATTCCGAAAGCGAAGGAACGACCCTTCTGATATTCTTCTGGTTGAATATAGCAGATGAAAGAGTCCACGGCTCTCTTGCTGTATGCCTTTCTCTTGCTGTATGCCTTTTTCTTGCTGTATGACTTTCTCTTGCTGTATGCCTTTTTCTTGCTGTATGACTTTCTCTTGCTGTATGCCTTTCTTGCTCTATGCCTTTCTTGCTGTATGCCTTTCTTGCTGTATGTCTTCACAATCGCCGTATACTTGGCATGGCACAGAAGCAATTGGCAATTGGTGATTTGGCAACTGGCAATTGGTATGAGGATCTGTTTGTCCTTGAATATCGTTCGGCTTCTCATTCATTCACTGATGGTATATGATACTGTGAAGTGCCAAGAGACGTGTATACCTCGAATATTCGGGGCATGGATAGGCACGTGTGAACCTGACATTCCTTCCGGTTAGAAGATTTCAACTGCGAATCGATTCAAAACCAGGTGCAAGGAAAGTGACGTGTTCCTTTTTCCTATTGCCACACTCACCCAGAGCGTGTGATATTCGCCTTCAGTCGCAAGTCGCAAGAAGTTGGAATCCACCAAGTATTAACATATAGGTCGAGGTAGGCCGACGGAATGATGTGCAATCACCTGTGAGCAGAGATAAACCCCAAAGGTCAGGAAGCTTGCGACTTTGTGCATATCTCGATTTGACTACACGTTATTAACTCGTGTGTCGACGTCGCCGACGACCACGTTTCAATACGTGATTTACCACATAATCAATGATGGATGGTCCGGTGACTTGCACTGGGGTGAGCGAATACGAGGAACAAATGGAATAAATCAAATTTGCGTTGGCGTTCCTGAACGCATATAAACTTCTATTGTAAGCGCAACCCCCAGATGATGCGATTTGACGTCTTTTCCTAATAGTCTCTCTAGACAGCTTTTATATTTGGGATCTCAAAGGAATATATGGGTTTGCATAATGAGATAATTGTATAAATAATCTTTGTATACTTACGCTGAATGATAGTAAATCGCCAAAAGCTTGGTTTAAGCTCCCTTTTATGTACAGATCTGGCCAAATAAGAAATCAAACCTCTTCTCTTTGATGGTAATTAATATAGCTTTTACCAATAAATGGCATATCATAGTAAACTTGGGAGTGGGAAGTGTTTTGTTAGTGTTGGGTTCTTTTTCAGATACTTGTCTTTCAGGCTCTGGACAAAAAAGGTTGCTTGCATAAACATATCAATTGACTTAGGTACAGAGGGAGACACTAGGGTACGCGTTGACAGAGAGGTAGCAATAGGAGGTCCATATACACAGATTATAAACCAGAGGTCTGGTTGGGTTTCATACAGGGTATCAAGTTGTAAAAACAAAGACGCTGAATCCAAAGTTGAATCATGAAATGCCAAACCCTGGTAAGTGGAGTGGACTCAGATGCCATGTTCTGAAGCACTTTCACTCATGTAGTCCTCTTCGGTGACATCAAGAAGTGACGGCTCCGGCTTATGGATCCGGACGAGGCAAAGGAAGTAGTCCTCCAATGGCAGCAGATTGAGCAACACCCCGTTAAAATACCACCCCAAGGCACATACCACAGCTCCCGCGACAGCATCGAGAATGAAATGGTTGGCCGTGGCAACAATAGCCACCAGGATGGTAAACGGATATAGGAAGCCAAGTATGACGCAAACAAGGCGGCGCCACGATGGGAGTTCCAGTCTTAAGGCACGGGTCAGCCTAGTACGTAGGATTGTGCGCCGGTGGCGCTGTAGCAGAGGGATTGTCATCACTGTGAGGCCGATCATTAGAGAGTAGCCGAAATGCAAGGAAGGCATTGCCGCTTGGTTAGAGTCAGTCAAGGATCTATGGGGAGAGTTCGGGTCAGACAACACTTACCATATTGATTACAAAAGCGGTTTTCCGTCCAAACACTGCCCGATCCATTGATACCATGCACCGTGTCCACGAACCCATAGCTGCGGGCTAGATCTGCATCTTGACCATCCGCCGCTGTGTCACTTAGTAACCGAGGCGGCATGCAGGGCCAAAGAGTGAAAACCACAAATGCGAGAAGATTGCACACGGCCAAAGTCCGCCGGCGCGCCTGGTATAGAAGAGGACCTGCTGGCGACCCGCTCACAGCACCCTTGGGCTTTCCGGGCTGGGCCTCATCGATCCGATTCCGCACGGTAGTATAGTAATAGAGCCAGACGAGGAATGCGATTGTTCCGGGAATGTGTATAAAGGAGTATATCCAATTGATCCAAGACATAACAAGGGGGCGGTGAAGGTAGTGTCTTTGAATCAAGGTCTCCCAGAACATACCCAGTTTCTCCTCGATCACGATTACTTGCAATGCGTGTCTTCTTGCAATATCGACGGTGTCATCTTTAAGCGTCACGGCGGTAAAAGCGCGACCGAGCTGGTACGTCTGCACAAATGGTGAGCTTCAATATTGACACAAAATCACAGGTAGTATATAGCGGGTACCCCATGATTAATAAGGAAATAAGAAAACATACCCAGTAAACCAAAGCCCAATACCAACATTCCACCAAAAAGGGAAACTTTCGGAGCAACCGACTGAGCAAGCGGTCTTGGAACACGATAGTATTTGGCGACGACACCTCAAATGTCAAACCCAGGAGTCCAACCTGTCGCTTGTGCCATCGATCTTCCACTGGTGAGTGGGACCGTGAGCTCAGCAAGCCATCCTTTGTCGATTGGCTTGAGTATCCCGACTCCAAAGAATCAGATGAGGCTCTTCGAATGCTTGAGTTCCGTCGAGTGTTGTACCTCGAGGATCCGACAGAGCGGTTAATCCAGGTACCTCCAAACAAGAGAACAATAACCACCAGAGGTTCTATGACCACTCCAGCTCCCATTATGGATATCAAACAAACCAGTACTCTAGGTACTGTTTTTATAAAATGAAAAAAGGGGAAAGAATGCTCTGATAGTCTATAACAAGGTATAAGAATGAATATGTACCTGAGAGGGGCCTTTTGATTCAAATGCCCCAAGGCAGGTGCTGGGCAGCCAAGGACGGATGTCACCGGAATCAACTGCATAAATTTCGTCTTTCTTTGCTTTTCGACTGGCCAAGATTATATGATTGGATTGTACATGTGATATCTTACCTTATTGGCACATATTAATGCCCAAAGACATAATTTTTTTAATAACTTGTACTTAGTACTTATGTTATAGTGGGAGACCTCTCTATGAAGAAAGTACACAGTACTTCGGGATCCTCACCGATCTCCGAAACGCCCTTCGCCTTACGAAGCTTCCGATATCCGAGCTGGCACTAGTCCTAATCTAGTATTAAGTATACTCTATACCTACTTAGGTGTTCCTCTTCTATAGTTCCTTTATACCAGTACCTAGGTACATTGTAAGGAATAACCCTGGAATATGATATCTCGAGTGATGCAATACATACGTATGCTACGTAATATATGGCTTGATGGAATGTGTTTGACGTCAACCCTTCTCCCAACATACATAATTTGGATGTGAATACTAGACTCAACTGCTTCAGCAACTGCCTAAATATGATATTCATAAATCCATTTACAACCGGGCGTGTAATCAGCCGCATCGCATCGCCGGCCATTGCTTTGTCGACATCCAGGAGCTTTTCTACCACGCCCAACATATATCAAGGACTGACTCTTCTACAAGACAAGCAAAATGGCTTTGGTTTCGTGCGGTCAAATTCCAGACCTGCCAAGCCCAGAACGAAGGGCGTCACTGAGATTCGAGGCCCATATTACTCAGTAGGTGCCATATCCCTATCAGCGTTTCCCGTAAACCTAACCTAAACCAGGTCATGGGCAAAAGATACCTCGCAGATATCCTCGAGACGTAATATTCTGCAATGACCCAGCCAAATTACCAAATGGAATCTGACAGCTGATAGGATGGGCGACCACGTAGATGGTCTCAAGTTTGCCGGAGGTGAGTCCCAACAGGGCTTCGGTCCTCACCAGGAACGACAGCGCTGAGATAACTAGGTGCTTTCTCTCTCTTCCACGAGAAACCACTGCGGGAATTGGTTGATCTTGCCCATGAGCACGGGGTGTACATCTCAACGGTAAGACCGTCTTGTACCAGCACATTAGCGCATTTGGAAGCATACTCTTGACACCAGGTTCCATATTTAAGGGTGGATGGGCCGAGCATCTCCTCACACACCCCGACCCAAATACGGTGTTTGACCGCTACTTGAAGAAATGCAAGGATCTCGGGTACGTGCATCCCCAGCCCAGGCCCAGGAGGCTGGGATTTAGAATCTGACTAGCCAGCATAGACTTGATGTCATTGAACTGTCTTCCGGTTTTCTTTCAATCCCAGAGGACGACTGGCTCCGTCTGATTGATAAAGTTCACTCATACAAGTTGGAACCAAAGCCTGAGTTGGGGATTCAATTCGGAGCCGGAGGAGACACACCTGCCTTGGGACTCGAAGCGATTGGGACCTCTGATCCTGGAAAATTGGTGAACTTGGGTCGTAGATTCCTCGACGCTGGGGTGAAGCGGTTGATGATTGAGTCAGAAGGTATCACTGAAAACGTTACCTCCTGGCGGACTGATGTGGTGTCGAAGATCATGAAGGAGCTTCCTCCTGAGCGTGTCATGTTTGAAGCTGCAGATCCCAAGGTCTTTAATTGGTACGTCCGTGAATTTGGTTTTGATGTCAACCTGTTTGTGGACCACAGTCAGATTGTGCAGTTGGAATGCCTGCGGACTGGCATCTGGGGCACTGCAGACACTTGGGGTAAGATAGTGTCGTTCCGGCCATGATCTTCTGAATAATTTGGACTTGAATTACATGTATTTTTGTCATATCAATGTACTCATGCGTTCGAGATTTTGAATTCAAGTCCATGTGCAGCTCTGGAGCCCATATGGGCAGGTTGACGGGGGCACGGGTGGGATGAATCCGCTTAGTCATATAGTGGAGTCCGGGGAACGCAAACGCCCGCACTTAGCGATCTTCAACATTAAATTAAGCCCCAGCAATGACTTGAATCAGCCCAAATAGCTCCCGGCTCAATCGGTAGATATCTCACGCCTCAATGATTACCACCGAAACTCTAGAGTGACCCGACCTGTTCACCATACGAGCGCGGCGATCGGCATGCCTCGGGCCAGTACTACCCCGGGAGCGCGGCTTCGTTGCCGTCGAGCCTGCGACAGCTGTAAAAGGCGAAAACAGAAATGCAACGGCGAACAACCATGTACAATCTGTGTTCAGAGGCACAAGGAGTCAGAATGCCATTTCTCGGATCGGCCCGCACGCCTGCTCAAGCCAGACCCCAAGGACTCGACGATGTTGCTCAGCGAGCGCGTGATAGCATCCCCGCAGCGGGAAACGGCAATGGATCGCCTTTTGAACTCCCTCGAAGATCAAGGAATGAATATGGAGCGCCAGGAAAAGGATGAGAAGGAAGGGACTGCTCCCGTGCCAAAAGTAGCGCGGCTTCTCCGCGACGGTCAGGGAAAGTTTATGTATATTGGTGATTCGGCGAGTTTGTCGTTTTTACAGAGCCTGCGCCGTGTCGTTACGTCTTCCATTGGCCGGTGTGAGTTCACCGAGGACAACTCGCGACACTCGATGCTTGAGGCCTTTCAGAGTAACCCAAGCACTCAGCCCGGAGCTCTAGTTACACCACCAAGCAACGACGAAGCCCAACGACTGGCTCGTCAGTTTGTGCTTGCTACCAGCCCATTGTTAGACTTGTTCGACTTGGAGGAGTTCCACCCACGGCTAGCTGATTGGGTTGCAAACCCTTCGGGTGACGAAGATACCGTTAGCTCTATCTTCTATCTTGTCCTTGCCATTGGAGCGCAGGTTTCCGATATTGATCAGACGGTAGCTGAACAATATTTTGGCAGTGGTCGTCAATTGGCGTTCTCGGCCTTTCAGGAAACCCCCAGCATACACACCATTCAATCATACATTTTGGTTTCCATGTACATGCTCGGCGCATGCAGGCGCAATGGTGCATTCATGAATCTGGGGGTTGCGCTACGTGCCGCCTACGCGGTAGGAATCCACCGCAAGGATGCAAACGCGCTCTTTTGTGGGCGTGAGCGCCGAGCGAGGGAGCGAGTCTGGAAGAGTCTTCGAATGATGGACCTATTCCTCAGCGCCTCCCTGGGACGCCCTCCCGCAACTTCAGACTATGACTATGACATACGCGAAGATGCTCTTATATCAGGAGAATCACAACCCCATTTGACCACAGATCAGCAACTTTCTACTGCGGTGATCTCGCTTTGTCGAATATTCGAACGGATCTTGACCGATGTGTACATGAAGCAAGTCATATCGATCAATGTTGCTGAGAAGATCTCCAACCAGCATCGAGCTTGGGTTCGCACCCTGCCAAAAATTCTCAAAATGCAGACTGAGCGCCTCGAAAACAAATCCATGGAAAGCAGCCTAGCTGCAGCTCATGTGTTCGGGTCATATTACTGGTCGATCATCCTCTTGACACGGCCGTTCCTCATATACCGTGTCGCCCAATATGTCAAAGGCAAAACCGATCCAACCTCCGAAAATCGAAACGGAAGCTCTCGGGTATCCTTGTTTGCGGATGCATGTGTCTATTCCGCACTCCGAGGCCTAGACGTGGTCGACGATCTCAGCCATTATACCTCTCTTCCACGTCGACTACCCTTCTTGATCAACTCCGTTTTTAACTCTGTCATCGTCCTCGGCGCTGCATTCTTCGCCGACTACGACAATCTCCTCCCCTTGGAAGAAGGAATGAACAAAGCCGAGCGGTTCCTAGGGCTATTCGTCCCGCACGATCCACACGCATGCCGTTTCTTCCAGATTATCAAGTACCTCCGCGCTGCTGTAACCGAGTACGTTTCCCGGCGAAATCGACAATGGATGAATAGGCGCAGCAAACAGGTCGATCAACTCTTTGGCCAAGTAGGCGGAGACGAGGATCGCAACTCCCCAGGAGCTCCACCTTTCACTGGCCCAAGTGATATTCACTCATCTGAATCTGCAGCTGCAACTGCAACTGCACTATCCCCTACCTCCCCTGACAAAATGCCCGCTGGTACTCCATCCTCCTGCCTCCCCTCTCAACCACTCCCTCAACCCCAATTTTCAACCGACAACGATGTTTGGGAAGCCCTGTGTAATGGCTCAGATCCCACCGCAACGTTGTCCTACGATGCAGCCATCTCTGCGTTAACCACCTCGGGCATCCCGGTGGGCTGCTCTCCTGGCGGGACTATTCCTTCCGGTCCGCCCCCGGTGTCCGGCCCATCTCCGCTTTCTGACGTGATGTTCCCGAATAATGGTCTATTGTATATGGCTGAGGATCTTCCGGTCTTTGGAATCTGGGGGGATGAGCCGTGATTACCCGGTTTCGAATTGTATTTCAAAAGTTAAAGATGGAAGGCGTACTGGCGTAGATCTGGTTATGATGCTTATGATTGGACGTGTTCATTGATATATATATATACCCCCAAGGGCGAATCGATTTATTTACATGGTATATCCCTGCAGAACAGAATGTACGGATTGGTCAGTGTTCAGCGACAAACCAAATTGGGACAAGTATGCATATGTCTTTGTACCCAATTTTGGGCTATTGCCATTCTTATTTGCGTTGGGGTGCCGCTTTATGAGGGCACTAAAGGTCCTGGTCTTGAGTATATGAATCTATTCAGGTAGGAAATTATAGATTTTGATATGTCAGGGCCGATATGGACCAAGGGAGCCCATAGTACCTAGTTACCCAGCCATTTTTGATTCGGTAAATATAACATCTTATTCGGCGCAAGAGCCACACATATCTGAAAGAGTGATCACTTAGCAATACCCGTAATACTAGTGGTATGGAATGTAATCAAACTGAACGAATCCAAAATCTCATAGTACCAGATATGAAGTTGAAGGAGCGTAAAAGAAAAACACTTTAGATACAGAAATTCGATAATGCTGACCAGCGACTGCTATAACGATGTTTGCTGTATAGATACCAAGTAGGTCCAAACCCATAGTTCGGTTCGTAGAGCATGGATTTTTTGAATCGCTGATCTTTGAGATAGGCGATGTTGCGAGACCGTAGGCAGCCCACTCAGTGCCAGATTGCAAGGTGTAAAGTCGAACCTGGGTGTAAGAAAGGTCCTCTTTGCTGATCCCATATTCTGGGCCATAATAGAACCTCAGTACTTATGGAGAACATTGCAGTTATAGCAACCGAAATAGGTCGGAATATCCCGCCTATAAATAATGTAATATGGCCATAATATAGTCATAATATCTTAAAAAGCGGCAAGGTGCGAGAACTAAAAGGGCAAATATCGGCCTGAATCTGAATCTATAAGTATACACAATATATGGATTTATACATGGATGATGCATATGATATATATATCTCCCCCTTATTTGATGGCATTTACTTCTTTTTTGGTTCTCTACCTATTTTGTTAATCTCCTTGCCATGTTATCAACCGTCCTAGTGATCTTTGCGATCATTCTAGTGATTCTGACTCGCAAACACAAAACTAATCTACCCCCAGGACCGAAAGGTAAATTCCTCATTGGAAATTTGTTGGACCTTCCCTCGTCAGGAACACAGGAATGGCATCATTGGCTGAAGCATAAGGACCTCTACGGTATTATCTCCAGTCCTGGTCCGTTTGACAAAAGCTGAACCTCACAGGTCCTATCAGCTCCGTCACCGTCCTCGGTAGGACCTTAATTATCGTCAATGATCGAGACCTAGCATTCCAAATCCTAGAAAGGAATTCCGCAAAGCATTCCTCACGACCACATCTCGTCTTTGCCCATGATCTGTACGTTGGAGTTCCTCTCTTTCGGTGATATATTCTAAGATGGAATCCAAAGAGCCGGATGGGGCAAGTTACCACTTAGTCAAGACAACACACCGCTTCTTCGATCCTATCGTCGCGCAATCACCCGAGTGATCGGAACGAGAGAATCTGCGGCCAAATTCAATGGTCTGCTCGAATTAGAGGCGAGACGGTTTGCATGCCGTGTTCTGCACACGCCGGAGAAGTTCATCGATCATAACAGGACGTGGGTATTTGGTGTCTTTTGGAGATATTTGCTTACTCGAATATAGCTCTTCTGGTGCTTTTATTTTGAATGTCACATACGGCTATTACGTCGGCCCTAGTGGTGAAGACCCTTTGGTACGCCTGGCCAATCTTGCAGTGTGGCAGTTCGCCGAGGCTGCCATGCCGGGGGCGTGGCTGGTTGATTTCATTCCGGCCTGTGTGTTCCCCATATCCCGGGTTGAGCCATACCGTGCTCATCTGCTCCTTATACAGTGAAATATGTCCCGGCATGGATGCCCGGGGCTAATTTCCAACGAGTGGCCAAAGCACACCTGCAGACTATCACGAGTTTCGCAGAGAGTCCGGTTGCATTCACCAAGTCTCAAATAGACCGGGGCAAAGATAGACTGTGCTTTGTTTCGACACTTCTCAGGCAAGGCGAAGATGAAGAAATCGTCAAATGGTCAGCGGCGGGAATGTATGGCGGTGGATCCGATACGGTACGTTCCTAAATCCCATATGCATTTCTCCTACTCATACCAGATAGACTTCTGCAGTTCTAGAGGGGTTCTTTTTGGTCATGATGCTGTTCCCGGATGTTCAACGCAAAGCGCAAGCCGAGATGGATGAGCTGTTCGGCAAGCCTACTTTGCCATTGGCGACTGATCGAGAAAGGCTGCCCTATGTGGATGCTATCGTCAAGGAAACGATCAGATGGCACACTGTCGCACCCATGGGTATTCCTCACAAAACGGACGAAGACGATATCATCAATGGCTATTTGATTCCCAAAAACGCAATCATTCTACCGAATATATGGTATTCTCATCCGCATCTGTATGCCATCGTTGCTGTGTTAACATATATCTCTAGGGCATTCAACAATGATCCGACGATATATCCCAATCCCCGTGATTTCCGCCCCGAACGATTCCTTTCCGATCCAGTTCCTCTTGAGCCCGGAGATGTAAGCTTCGGCTTCGGCCGCAGAATTTGCCCTGGGCGTTTAATTGCTGAAACTTCCATCTTTCTCACGATTGCACACACGCTGGCCGTCTTCGACATCAAAAAGCCTGTAGAAAATGGTAAAGAAATCGAGCCCAATGTCTATTGTACACCGGGCCTTTTGACCCATTTCGATCCTTTCGATGCGGTTCTTACTCCACGAAGTCAGAAGCATGCACAACTCATAGTGGATTTCGAGAAAGAACATCCCTTTGAGACGGGGGATTCGGAGGTCTTGGCAGATGTCTATCATTAACTAAATAGAGGAAATGATAGTAGATCGCCGAAGCATATATGAAACTTCGAGAAGACGCACAGAACATCTACCCCCATCTAGACCAGCTCACTGAACCAGCCTATCCTCCCCGGTCCTTGGTCGACGACCATCGAGCAGCATACACCGTGATCACTGCTTGATACTTCTTACAAACACTATTCTCTGTGCACTGAATTCAGAAAACGTCATGCTCGCCTAGAAATCGCTAGTATCACTAATAGTTGGTGAATCTTCCATTCCACGGCTAAATCACACATGCTTGATGTGAGGCTGAGAGGCAAGAGAGAAAGGAAATGGCCCTTTGAGTCATGATATACCTCCATTTATCTTTACATCATTCATAAGAGTTCGATCTGGGTAGTGCCTAGACAGGGTTACTACATGGAGTAGACTGGGCCAAAATGCCGACAACCCCATGGATTATGTATGAGCTGGCAAGGTAGAGAACAAGAGCACAAAAAAAGTAACCAAACAAAAGAAAAGCGAGAAAGGGCATTCACATAATAAGCATCACCATGAACAGGTTTATATGACAGTAAGCTAGAGACAACGAAACATGCAGGATATGAGAGGCCTAATCAGAGTCACAGAGCACAGGAAAGGAATATGGGTAGCTCGCTAAGTGTGGGGGTTTGCAAGGAGAAAAGAAGAGGATTCGTGGCATGAGCTTCGATACGCGCTGCGTCAAAACGGGACCAGGGTCATGATATGTACACGTGTCGATTCCAAGGGCACTGGTTCGAAGGGGCAAGCTGCGATATGTGGAAAGAACATCCCAGCCTCAGAGCAAAAATTCAGGGCAACATAGAGGGAATTGCCAGGAAACCAGGATTATATACGCCAGTCTAGTATGGACGAACACATAAAACAGATTAGAAGCCGAACGGATTATTGGGGGCTGTGGATCGAGTTAGCTTTTGTTACTTATATCACCTGTAAGGGTAAGAAAACACTCACTGGCTTGCGAAAGATTGGCTCTGAGTCCGGTCGGTTGTGGCTCAAGCTTCTTGGGGCCGTCTGGCTTGACACCAAATCTGATGGAGGGAGGCGGTCCGGTCTTCTGTGGCGACAGGGGAGTGGCTGTTGGTTGCTGGGGAATTGGCGGCACAGGGGGCGGAGATGTGTAGGACTGGTTGCCGTAGCCATTGATACCAGTGGGTTGCGGTTGCAGTGCAGGAGGAAGGACAGAGTTGACACCAGTCTGCATTGGTTGCTGGAGTTGCCCGTATCCACCAAAGCCTGTGGGCTGCGGCCCAAGTCCCTGGAACCCAGTTTGCTGAGGGGCCATGTGGTTACCATACGGTTGTTGCTGTTGCTGCTGCTGCTGGATACCGAATTGGGACTGGGGAGTAAAGGCTGTGGGTTGCGGCATTAAGCCATTCTGATATGGGTTTTGACCCATATATCCTGTCGCCTGCGACTGCATCGCAGCTTGATAACGCTGCTGGTTCATTTCGCTCAAACTCTGGCCAGGAGGAGCAACCGGAGGACCCGCCTGAGGAAGGCCCGTCAGTTGAGCCTGCAATGGAGGAGGACCAAAGGAGTTTTGCTGTTGCGAGAAGTTCTGAGGTGCGGACAGTGGGCGTTGCGGAGGGGGAGGCAGAAGTGAATTTTGTCCAACTGCCTGAGGTGCCTGAGGACGTTGCCTGGCCTGTGCTTGGAACCCGGTATGCTGAGGGCTGAAACCTGGTTGATGCTGTCCTATCTGTGCCACTTGGGCAAATAAGCTAGGAGTGGCACCTGTTTGCTGAGCCTGTTGTACAGGTGGTGATTGCACGGCAGTGGCCTGCGGCTGTAGGGCAGGCATGGGCGAGGCAGGCTGTGCAGTAGGCTGAGCCGGTGTCGGCTGCAAAGGAGTTTGAAGCAAGGTCAGATCCGCCATTGCCCCTGTTGGCTGAGGAACCTGAGCTGCCGCGGGTGGAGTCGGGGTGGCTGCAGGTGGCCGAGCAGGCTGCTTCGGCTGCTTCACCTCCCAAGCATCATCTTCAAATCCGGCAGCAGCAGGCTTTTCAGCTGCCGCAGGAGGTGGTGGACTCGCCGAGCTATCTGGTGACTTGGGTTCGCCTCCCTGTCCGAACGCTTTAGGATCAACCTCTCCGGCTTGGACGTTAGGTGTTGGTCTGCCCCTGCGAGTGTTGTTGCGAAGCATACCACCAGGCCCGGAAAATAGACCACCTTGGCCTCCGTCCTCACCATTGCCAATGACTTCCTCACCACCGAAACTGACGTTTCGAGGCTTGGACTTGTCCGGTGTACGGCCATATTTGGCATCCAAAACTTTCATCACTCGCAAGGTATCACCCAGGTTCAGACCCAAATTCTGAAGCATCTCAGATGTAATATCAGGTAGCACAGATTCGTCTATCGCATCCTTGTTAAATGACTGTGCATATCGCTCACAGCGATGTGGCCCAACACCAGCCTTAAGGAAGAAGTCGAACCAATCGTAATCGGAACGTTGCACAGAAGCCCCAGACTTCGAAGCCCCAGATTTAGAATCCTTGTTAAGCGCAGCTCGAGGTCGGATGCTTGAAAGAGGCTTGTCCTCATCCAGTGAGACGCCGGCGACCTTCTCCACATGCTCGAGATCCTCGACAGACATTTTCGAGACAGGAACGGCAATCTTGATACCGTTCACCTTGTGAAGCTGGATCTTACCATCCTGAAGACCTATAAACTGGGCTTCCACTGTGAAGTCCTTGGTCCGATCCGTCCACTTGCGCACTTTAGTTGGATCGGGCTTCGACTTGATTTTGCTGTCGCGCTTGCTGTGACGGTCCGATGAATCCATCGAGTCCGTCCGTGACTTGCCCATCGCAAGCTTGGACAGCCGCATCTCCTCCATCCGGTTCTTCTCCACGCTCGACAGGCCTGGTTCGTCAGGCATTAATGGCGCCTTTGGTATCAACCCTGTGACTTCAACGTAACTGCTGGGGACAACACCCTCCGTGTTGTTCTTCAATCGTCGCACCATCCACCACTCTTCGGATTTGGTATCATCAAGGACGATGACCTCGTCACCCACAGCTACTGTAACTTCATCATCGCCTTGCGCCATGAAGTCATACAAGATCTGGCCCTTCTTCGGACCGCCACCTTCCCCTGCCTCGATCACCTCGCGCAATCCTTCTGCCCGGTAGGCACCGGCAATCTCACCGAGTGCCGCTGCAATCTCATGGGCAGTGTCTTTAGCACCTGCATGGAAATCGATGCTCTTGCTAGGCTTGATGAGATCAACAAAGACGTGCTTTCCTTCGATCGAGTAATGAGTGAGCTTCTCCGCACTCCATTCTTTTTGGCGATCATCACCTTCAGGAGAGATGAAGATGATTCCAGTAGCCATATTGATTCCCAATGTAGTCGGCATCTTCTTTCTCTTGCCCATAACTTCAACCATCTCATTGATGTTGTAGATATGATAGCCGGAAGGTGACCGAGGTGTCAACTCACCTGCCCGGTTGTAAAGGGGGAGATGCTTTGACATGTGTCCCCATAGACGGCGCCGCCTGCTGAGGACGGGGTGGCGGACTTGGGTCAGGCGCATAACGGCTTATAGGCGAGGGTGCATGTTCCGAGGGGGGTCGGCGCGGCAGACTAGGCGGCGGGGACTCCTCGCGGTCCTCTGCTTGATCATACGATGGCCGGACAGGAAGACTGGGTGGCGGGGGCTCATCTCTAGTCGTCTCGGCAGAGGCATGCTGCTTGTGGATGATACTGGCAATCGCAGCAGCGGCGGGGTTGTGAGACATATCAACTGGGGAGCCGGCAGGCGATGCCTCAGTTTCTTCCGGGGCAGTATGTGTCGGCCGCTGCGGAAGCGTCGGCGCGGCAGGCTCGGCTCGAACAGAAGGTGGGGGGGGACAATGGTTGCAGCGGATGCATCCTCGATGATTTCGATGTAATTCGACGGCGCAAATCCATACTCCGAGTTGGTTCCAACCAACGTCCAATCCGGATCCGAGGTGTCGTACACCATCAGCTCAGCATCTTCTGAGAAGGAAACTTCCTCGTCAGTTTGTCGCGTGTAGTCGAAGAGGGCGGTAGCTCTGTGCGCTGGTCGAACCTATTTCATCTAATATCAGCAATTGTTCAAGCAGCGAGGCCGTACGGGTGCATTCCATCGGTGGAGCTCCGCAGCTTCAACGAGACTCACCTCTTCAACATAGTTGTTAGGGACTAGACCTTCAGGCTCATCCTCATCCTCCCGTCCAGCCTTCTTTTTAGCCCTCCACCAGTCATCGTCCGCATTCTTGTCCAAGATGTAGAGGAGGTCGCCCTCGTGAATCTCGAGTTCGCCCGCTCCTTGTGGCTGGTAGTCGTACACAGCCGAGTAGACACCGATAAAACCCATTTCGGAAACTGATCGCACGGGACCTATCAATTACAATCTGCTGCAAATGGCAGCGTCTCAACGTGCCAACTCTAGGTTTCGTAGTGATGTTGGGGATGAACGGATGTAATCGGTGGCTGTTGCTCGGTCAGCCTTGGCGCTTAGTGGGCGGAGCAGGATATGTCGGGATGTGAGATGTCGGAGCGCGGGGAGGTAGACAAAGATGTCTAGGCGCAAGGGATTGAAGGAAAAGAAGAGGAGGTTGGATTAGGGAGAGGGCGGGAAGGTGGGCCAGATAGGAGTTGACAGTCACGTTGCCTTTAATCTATGTGGTTTTGACATTCTCTTCAATTAGATTCTTTGGCGTTTTTGTTATTTTTTTTTTTTTAGTTCTATTACTATTATTTGAATTGATTCTAATTCTCCGGCAAACTACTTTTCTACCTAATATGCCCCTCGACATTGGGGCAACTGACATCTACAATATATTGCTTTTGGTTCTTGATTAGTATAGGATCTAGCCCTGAAGTTGTGTGAAATTGCAATCAGATTGTTTATATATAATATCAGATGTCTTCTTATACTCATAATATGTAGGATTAGACGCGTATAAATATTTATCCAGTGTACCTTGGAAGTTTAGAATGGGTACTCCCGTGGCTGTTGATAGTATAACCATCAACATGGTACATGGAATATGTATATCTAGAAGATACATAGGCAGTAAATAGGTTCCTAACTCAGACACAGGAAAAACGTGAATCATTCATATGAGGCTTGAAAAACGAAAATATCAAAATGTACAAGATTTACTATACAATATCATAGTTCATCTTTGAAAGTCTCCTCACTTCCCTCGCTGTTTTCGGGCTTGTTGGACTTTTTCTTTTCAACTGGCTCTGTTTCCTGCTTCGGCTTTTGCCCAGCGGAATTTTCAGACTTCTCCGACGGCTTGTCGTTCCAAGTGTCCTCCTCATCTTCTTCAAGAACGCCTTGGAATTTGATCACGCCGTTGGTTTCCACAACCTCCAGCGTCCAGTCTTTGCCGTCTGCTTGTTCTTCCAGCAAATTCTTCATCTCTTCCAGTTTCTCCGGATCGATGTCGTACTTTTTCAGAGCCTGCTTGGACATTTTCCGGATCTCGCCATTCTCGCGTTTCGCAACCACCTCCACTCGCTCCTCACCTGCGGATGCCACCCGTCCTTTTTCAATTACCTTGCCCTCCATACCAACAAGCTTGCGGCCTCCAACTTCGATTCCTCCGATAATGGGGAGCTCGGACTGGGCGATATCAGAATCCGCATCCGTAGCAGCATCGGCCAGTTGATTGGCCGTGTACCATTCTTTGAGAGCTTCCCATTCGGTGACTTCGTCAGGCATCAAGATTTCACGGCACTCGATAGTGTTTACCTCATCCTGTCGTGGTGGCAGGAAAGCAACGTCGTCACATAGACGAGGGGTATAAATGACCATAAGGTAAGAGCACGTGGTGAGTTCCTTGATCCAGCCAATGTGATCTGTCGATTGCGGATGGCAATGGAACTGCACTTCAACCTGGCGCTCCCGTCCCGTCAGATCACACTTGGTGCCGCCACGCAGGTGCTGGACCAAGTACCGCGAGCCACCTTTTGTGTGAAGCTCTGCCACATCTGTTTTGGCAGATTGCCTCTCTTCCTCGCCCTTATCGCCGATAAATTTTCCTAAGACAAAGGAATGCGTCTGGGTGTCTTCAATGGGTGGGTAGTGGGGGACACCACGGCCAGCGGGGAGCGCATGGAACTGCTTGACCTGCTTCTGATAACAGAAGGAATAGGACCACCAGCCAGAGAAATAGTATATGCATCTCCCTTCCATTTCACGTAGGAGTTCCAGACCACGATCTGTTGCCCGAACCAGTTCCTTCTGCTCCTCAGCCTTGCTGTCCTCCTTGTCTTTTGTCGTATTATGGTCGTCGTTCGTGACACGTGGGATCTGGCAGAGGAGTCGTCGGTCCTCAAGTATCATTTCTTCGTAGGTGAATGAAGATCTATTCACATCCTCGGGCTGGTCGGTGGAGTCTGTGCTACCCTGGCCCATGTAGACTTGGGGATTCTTCTGGTCATTGGCGCGGGGGCTAGCCTGGGACTGTAGCAATTCTTCGGCGTGGGATTCGAGCACATACTCCTCGGGAAACTTCACTTGATACTTTGGGAAATATCCAACGTTAGACTTGATTCAAATCGGTGCAAGGCATATATCCACTTACCTGGGGATACGCCAGAATATCATCATTTATGTTGAACGGCTGTTTATTTGCCCACACGCCGGAAACAGCACAGGCCAATACCAGCCATGGCGGCAGGCTTGCCGAGTGAACCATCTCTTCAAACAGATCAGATAAAATGCAGGGAACCAAGGGTGACAGTGGAGTCTAGCGGTTGTGGAAGTCAGGTATCGCGAAGCTTCCCCGCGAAAGACGCTTGTCGCAAGAAGCTTCAATTCGGCAATGTTAAGGGGTCATGTAAATCAATCGCATATGGGTATCAATGTAATTATATAAAAACAGAAGTAAACAAATTTCCACGACTGGAATGAATCAAATGCCTACACAGTAGGCAGTCCGCACACGTTTGACAGTGGAGAGCAACACCTGGGCAGCTGCTCCGTGGCCTTATCTGATAACGCCTAATCTACAGTGTACAGGTTGGTAGCAGATGCATATTGCAGAATGCATGAAAATAGTCGTTTTTGAGATGTATATAGGGAAAATATCTAAAACCACATTGGATTTTAAATCTACGATCTGCATATGTTATATATCCATAACTTATATCCACTGAATTACTTACAGCTTATAGATCCCAGGTCACCTGATTTGAAATGCTGAACTCAGCATTAGGTACCTCATTTATCAGGTACACATACTAACCACATTTGGTTAGCTCTTTGCTTAGCGGCTGCTGACGGGGATGTTGGTAATACAAGCCAAGCCATTTCATTGGCCGGACCAGGCTGACTGATGTCTTGCAAAGCATTGGGGGATACCTGTGGACTACTACAAAGAGTATTCATGAGATTGACTAACGCTGACAGTATTTTCTTTTCTAAGCAGAACATTCTACTCTTCTCAATTCTTTCGCATATAAATAGCCCTCATCTCATCCATGAAACTGCTTCTCCCACTTTTAATTTGCATCACAGCACTCTTCCTAGCCTATAACCCTTCTATCAAAGACTCTCTCAAAGGCTCTTTCCTCGCATTCATCCAACAACAAGCTCCTAGCTTGCCACAGTACTTTCATACAAAAAGCATTGTTAATCAGACAAACCACCCTAACCTGGAAACCCCGACTCCAATAGTCTTCCCAGTCACAGACATGTCCGTTCCTCGCGCAATCCGACAGGCATTCCTTGCCGTTGAGCAAGCAGAAGGTGCAGGTGCCCGTGTGCGCCGCTCCATTGGAACTGCCAAGCTCCGCAACTTTAGTCCCTTCCTCATGCTCGACCACTTCACCATCGGCAAGGGCGCCGGCTTCCCGGATCACCCCCACCGTGGCCAGGAGACCATCACCTATTTGTTGTCTGGCGGTGTTGACCACGAAGACTTTGCCGGTAACAAGGGCACCATCGGACCCGGCGATCTGCAATTCATGACTGCAGGCCGCGGCATCATGCACGCTGAGATGCCCCATGAGAACGCAGATGGTAGCCCCAACGTCGGTATGCAGTTGTGGGTCGATCTGCCCCAGAAGCTGAAGTTCTGTGAACCTCGTTACCGTGATCTACGCGATTCGGAGATTCCCCTCGCCACAGTCGATGAGGGCCGCGTCAAGATTAAGGTCATCTCGGGCCAGTCGCACGGTGTTGACTCCGTGCGTGACTTGGCATACACCCCCGTCTGGATCTTGGATATCACTATCAACCCTGGTGGTCGTATCTCGCAGCCCCTGCCCCAGGGATGGAACTCATTTGCCTACACTTTGGCCGGTGAGACTGTCTTTGGCTCGAATGATTCCACTCGCATCGTGAAGGAATTCACAAACGTCGAATTCGAGCAGCAGGGTGACTTTGTTGAACTCTCCGTCCCAGATAATGCTGAAAAGGATGCCCGCATCTTCCTTGTGGCTGGCCAGCCGCTGGACCAGAAGGTTGTTCAGTATGGACCTTTTGTGCTGAATACCCAGGAGGAGGTTTACCAGGCGATGCTTGACTACCAGACTGCGTCCAATGGATTTGAGAGAACTCGAGGCTGGCAGAGTGAGATTGGCAAGCGAATGGGATAAACCTCATTGCTTTTGTTAATTGTTTTTGCATTTTCTTGGGTTATATGGACTATGGTTACATACATTATGGTGTTTGGTGTAAATATATATGACATTGAATGAAGTTCTTTTTATGAATGATTCATCAAGTCCCGGGTGGTATATCACATAGCGCATATTATACATTGAAAGTCGTAGGAATTTTGCCCGTATTCTCTTTCTAGCTATAAGGAAAAAAAATACAACTAAAGACACAATGCTATCTTAAATATAACCTCGGAATGTTTCTACCTTGCTTTGTAATCTAGGTGGCCATGAGCAGCTCTCTAAGAAACCTGATCACCCTAATACTCAGCGCCATTTGATCTCATTTTGCTTCTCCATTATGTAGGGTCCCGACAATAACCTGCTGATTACTGCCCACTTCGGGGATTCCTAGGAGCGAAGGCCAGCTTCGGTGCTGTCTTTATAAAAGTGCGAAACGCTATTAGGGTTATTATTTAACATTGATCACTAAGCTACGAGACAATGACGAGGACGTTCTGTCCTCGCAGCAACTGACTCGCGACCTCTCTTGCTGCATGCACCACCCGATTGCTCACGAGAGATGAATCTGACCTATCATCACAGCAAACAACCCGAGCTTTCCCAATGCTCACCCAGTGGCTGAGCTCTGGCTCCAATGCTGGGTAATTGCGATAGCCGTGAGATCGTGGATCACCCTCGCTCGCCACCTGTCCATCCTTGTCCTGCTGAACCTCCGTCCACGACCCATGGAAAACACCCGGAGACATCGTCACTATTTTCCCCGAGGGGTCCACCAGGACAACATCAATGCCTACGATATCCATGAAGCCTGGTAACAGCGCGATAGCCGCATCTCCTGCCGCTATACTTACTACCACCGCATCCGGGGACTTTCCAATTTGAGAGATTGCCTCTTCCCGCGTTTCGTTCCCAAAACGCGTCTGGAAAGTGCGGACGATTGTAGGAAACGGATGTGGCCCGATCGCAAAGCTAGGGACATAATGGCACTTGTGCAAGTCTGCAATCCAAGACTGAAGTGCAGTGTTGATAGCATCGCGCACCACCTGTCCGCCACCATCGGCGGAAATCAGCTTTCCTCCAAGCTTATCAATATGGCCAGGTAACTCTGGGAACTGTTTGAGGTCTCGAGCTCCCATGAAAAGGACACAGTCAAGTCCCAGTCTCGCGCATAGGGTGGCTGTTGCCACTGCATCACCCTCGGATGTGGTCTCGGCCAGGATGCGTTTTTTGCCCAACCGGCAGGCGAGGAGAATTTGGCCGAGAGTGCTGTAGAGTCTGTATCTTTCTGCGGCGTGTGAACCGCCCTGTTGTAGCCAAAGATTGGCACCCGGGCTGCTGGTACCATATTTAACCTCGATCTGAAGGCCCTCGGACCGACTGGTCATAGCTGTCAAATGGCTTTGGTACTGTCTCCAAAAATTAGAGTCTCCCTGGGAGTTAATAAAACATTGTTCGAGATCCTCCAAAGAGTCTAATAGTAGCTCTGGTACATATTGCCCTCCGTATGGCCCGAAGTGCGATGGGAGGATTGTCTCCTGGGCCAAACAAGGGGTACCTGCAGAGGAATTAACGGTAGGATGATGGATGGATAGCTGCGTGGAAGAACCAATTTCGGATCGACCGGTGAGATACATGCAATAGTTTTCGATGGCTTCAGCCAGCTCCCCGTCTACTGGAGTCCCGTTGATAGTCTTGATAATCTGAGTCCCCACCACCACACCTGGGGCCAAGTCTTGCATGCTAAGGAACTGCTCCCGAGTGCTGACTCCAAGGCCTAGGGCAAACGGTTTGTTTCCGCAGAAGTGGTGTAACTTCTGCAAGAATTGAACGAGAAACACGTTTACCGATGCGCCTTCGCGAGCTGACCCGGTAACGCCCATTCTCGAGAGCACATAGAGATAGGTGTCTGCAGCCTGGCAGAGGAGCTCGATCCGTGCGTCCTTCATGGTCGGTGATATAACGGGTATATACGACAGCCTCGAGATATGTTGGTTTTTTTTATCAATTGCGAGTATTCAGGATTTGAAAACTAACCCTGTTTCTTTGCAAAGTTTACGGAAATGGACCGACTCAGTCACAGGCAGATCTGCCAGAAGAAAGCCGTCGACCCCGACCTGAGCTGCTTCCTCAATTGCTCTTCTAAGCCCATACTGTAAGACCGGATTGCAGTAACCCATGATTACGACGGGGATCACAAGGCCTCGCGCTCGAGCGCGTCCAACAAGACCCAGCGTCGTCTGAAAGTTGGACCCAGCTCGCAAGGAAACGGCATGTGCGTCTTGAATGATGGGGCCATCCCCAATGGGATCGGTAGAGGGTATCCCCAGCTCCACGATATCTACAGCCCGTTGGTCAAATATATCCAGGTGCTATTTTACCAGACTCACCGATACCTCCCCGTTGCATGGCTAGGAGGATATCAACGGTAGCATCCTTAGTGGGATACCCTGCGACGGTAAAGGCCACAGCCGCCGCCCTGCCCTCCGACTGACAATTGGAGAACACCCGAAGCAGGTTCGCCATTGTGAGCTCAAATGAGAGAATTACGGGAGGGAGAGAGAGAGTGCTCTTTGGTACTTTGTAGTTGGCCCCCACGTAACGTGTCTTTACCTTTCGCTGCCCCTGTTTCACACTCCGACAGGGGGCGAAAAATAGAATGCTATAAGAGGTATAGCATGGAGTTTACATATATGTTATCTCACCGTAGGAGCTCAAGTAGTACTGCATTCCTCTATTCTAGAAAGCCTTCTTCCATCTCAAACTCTAGACACTCTGACCTGGGCTCCAGATTAGCCAACCCAATGCATCAACATCAACAGCAAGAGGCAAGCAATAGTGTCCACGAACATCCTGACCTTGTTCGTCTGGTGAGAACATGCCCCCCCCCCGGTCGAAACTCCCGATGCGAACTGACACTTGGTGACGGTTCACTTGCCCAGTTAAATCCGTCCCAACTCCCCTTTTCTGAAAGATCAACTTCCACAGAATGGGAGGCCATTTTCCAACCGTATCTCGCGGCCGCTCTGCAGCGCCACGGGCAGTATACCCAATCAGCTATTGAACAGCATTTGAACTTCTTCACGACCTATGTCGTCGCTTGGATGGGTCTCGGGCCTTCACCCGATCCTACTACCGGTGCTCTCGTTCCTCCTTATCCCTCCTCGTTGACGAACGACCACACCCCTTTCGAGCTCAGCTGCTGCTGGAAAGGTAGCAGGCAGGATGGTCGGGCCATCGTGCGCTATGTGATCGATTTGATCCCGTCCAGCGGCGAGATCTCTCGCTTGGCTGCGTTTCGAGAAGCGCTTCATGTCATGGGCATTCTTGAGAAAGTCTCCCAAGAACAGAATAAAAAGGAAGATACCTTGTCGTTGTATGCATTCCCTTCCTTGTGGCGGGAGATCACCAAAAAGATAATTGACAATGAGCAACAAACACATGTTCAGCCGTGTACTCGGTGCTCCCCGTCCGGCGTCTTCGTGGCGTTTGATCTCGTCGCGAGTGCGGCCTTTGCTAAGGCATATTGGTTATTTCCTGCATGCCAAAAGACATCAACTCTCCTCACATCCGTCGAGGATACCCTCAAAGCAGCCGAGGAAACCGAACCAGCAATGTTTTCCACATTGCTAGAGAATTGGGCCAAGGTGGCCGCACATATGACGGCCAACCAAGACATCCTCCAGCCACGGATGCTGTCAATCGACGCAACCAAGTACCCTGTCCCACGGGTGAAGGTATATGCCCGGCGCATTTTTATCGATTCCAACAAGTTTAGCGATATCGAGCCCCATCTAAGCCTAGGCGGTAGTATCCCCCTACCGGAGCCTTTCCGCCGGGCATGTGAAAGGCTCTGGAGCTCCTTGGTTGGTCCGGAGGATTCTGTGCCGGGAAAAGGGCCCAAGTACAGCCTCTTGCTATATGATATCCCCACCGGTGCGCCAGGGGAGGAGTCTGGTAAGGTGTCGGCAAAGTTATACATTATGTGTCAGGAGATCCCGCGCGTTGACTCGTTCGTCGCGCGGAAGTTATACGATAACTGCCCTCTTCTACAGGATTCAGAGTTAATCAAGTATGTCTATATACTCTGCGCTGACCTCATCCCGGTGTGGGTACTAATTTGTTTCAATCACAGGGAGCTTGCCGCTAACTCGGAACCTACTGCCTTCATATGCGAGTGAGTAATTCTAGGCAATGTAAGGTAAATCGCATATATTGACTTGCTCACAGGATTGGTTTGGCACCAGGGAAAAATGAGACCGAGGTCACCGTCTATTGTAGCCCTTGCTGGTGGTCACGTAAAACATGGAAGGGCTTGGAAAAGGACGGAAGATTGGAGAAAGTTCGCCGGGTGATAGCTCGCTAAATTTTTTGCCAGTATTGCTTTTTGGTGATGGAAATAGGCTAGATGTTTTAGTTGGAAGGTTCATCAGAATTTACTCAGGAGCTACGGGTTGGTGGACCTCTTTAAGTGAAAGGGCTTGAGTGTGGTCTAGCTAACAGAAGGATCTTAGCTTACAATTAGCTATATTATACAATCAGACATAACAGGACACGACATCCCTCTCTACCCTGAGCACCCTAAAGGTTGAGCAGATCCCTAACCATGAGTGCTTAGGGAGTTCGTGATCAGGGAGCATATGGAAATGACAGAAAAAGATCACGAGCTCACTAAAATTCTGCTCAAAATAACTAAAACAGCAAGTAGCCGTTGCCTAGCGTGGTGTAATGTCATATTGAGCTAAGATATATTCCAATAGGCAATGTAAAGTCAGTTTTACCTGCATTTTTTCGGATTCCAGATACATATGCTGGATCACAATATCGCTAAATTACAGAGGCGGGAAAAAGGAAGAAAAATGGTTCTGTCAATCCACCCGCCACTCAAATTGTCTCCGTCTGGGTGATTCCGTCGATTTTGATAGTCGCTCCAACGGTACCGATCAGAGCAAGTCCCCTGGGAATGTGGACATCTCGAATCTTGAAGCAGGCAAAGACAACCAGTCTCTGAAGGGCCGGGCAGCACCGGAAGATGCACTGCGCAAGGTAGTCGTCCACGGCAGTGCTAAAGGAAATATCAAGATATTTGAGATTGGGATACATTTTGCCTTCTGCGAAAACCTGTTCGAACGCGTTGTATGAAACGTGACGGCACGATGAGATGTTCAAGTATTGAATCTTCGAGCCTGAATGTTCCATAAGCGCAACGAACCCGTCAGATGCAAGCCCAATAGGCTCCTCCGGACCGGCAGGATTCGTCATGTCCACGTCCCGGAGGGAGTTCAAGTCGACATAGGTAAGGGCCGGATTAGACCAGCCTGTGAATAACGCGGCTAAACCTTTATCGGTGAAGGTTGAGTTGAGAGTAAGACGAAGCTTGGTCAGATGACGGCAATGCTCATGGATATGCTGTAAAAGTCGATCATCAACCAACTCGAATTCCTCCAGAGATAGAGTTTCCAGCTGAGGACCAACGCTACTCATGATTTCAAGGAGGGGCTCGGTCTTGAGCTCGGTCTCGTGCAGAAAACGCAGCGACAAATGCTGAAGGGACTTGAGTGTCGAAATCCCCTGAAGCATCTCATTGTCGATTTTGTGTAAAAACTTCAGTTTCAGTCGCTGAAGGTTGGGGCAATGAAGGTACATCACTCGAGCTGTTTGGTTATCGAAGGCAGAATCTAGGTTCCACAGCTTGAAGCTCAGGAAACGATGACCAAGTTTCATGAAAAGTTGGCGCCAACAGGCATCGGTCACAAGGTTTGGCCCATCCAGATGGAGATCTCTGATCTCCATATCACGCTCCATCATATAATGGAAAATCTGGTCCTTCATTGGCGTGGTGAACCGAAGGTTGACCCTTGTAAGACGAGGCATGGAAGCCAGGATCTTGTGGTAATCATCCGTGCCGAGTTCTAGCCACTGGTTAGACCTTCTTTGATTCAGAGAGAGAAAATAAATTCGACTTACTAGCACAGTCGAACAGGTCGATGGATGTGTAATGAGGTCGTAAGAACAGATCTAGGGTCCGTGAGGTCACGGCCCGCCTTCTAGACAAGATCTGGCCGAGACGTACTAGCAATGACGGAGGCAAATCACCAAAGTCCTCAATATCATGGATATAATCTGCCACTTTCTATAAGATGATTAGCACTCCTTGCTCAATGCCCTGGAGCCTAGAATGCCATGGACATACCTTGATGCAGGTTTCCAGCAGACTTTGAGTACCATGGGGAGTCAACCCATCAAGTAGATTAGCTTGATTTTGACGTCGTCCGATTCCAGGGCCACGCTTCTTGGCTAGGGGCTTTTTATCATCGGCCTTTTGCTTCTTAGAGCAATCAACACAAAGCAAGCCTCCATTCGGACCGGCCTTGCTGTAGGGGGTCACGGTAAAACGCTTGTCGCAGATCTCACAATTTGCAAGCTGGCCCGGTTTCGGTTGGTTCTTTTCTTCATGGATCTGCAGCGCAAGGAAGTCGTCGTCGTCCTCGTCATCGTAATCGCCACTAAGGCGGGCCTTGCGCTTAGCAAACTCCTTGCTATTTTTTATCTTTGCAATGGCTTGCTCGCGCTTGCGCTTTTTGATCGGGTCCTCCGGTGACACCAGAACTGACGGCGACCTAGAATCTTCAGGTGCATTGGATGATTGTTCAGCTTGGTCAGGCTGGTCAGGTTGGTCAGGCTGGCGCTGTGCCTCGGCTTGCCGGCGGTCCCAATCATCCCGAATTTGTTGGGCTGAGATATTATTTGACTAGAATCAGTCAGCCTAGCCACATCATGGAAGAAAGGCAACATACAGCAAGATAGTCAGTCAAGGCAGAGCGTCTAGAGTTGCGGTTAATCTTTGGGTGATAAGGCGAAGGGAAGCAAAACATACGGGCCCCGAATTCCCTGAGGCTGAGTTGGCCTTTGCCGTCTCCTTCCTGTCCTTTATAAAGTCAGTTTGAATACAATCATGTACGATAGAAATACTCACATGTTGAAATGTGAAAGTGAGGCTCAAAGTCGGTCTGGGCCCAAGTCACTGGACCCGTGGCGATTTCGCGTTTCACTTAACGCGGTCTTATCTGAGATAAGACACGGGATATGGGGAAAGGGGATATGAAGGATATGAAGGATACACCAAGAAAGAGGGAGAGATAGAGAGAGAGAGAGAGAGAGAAACCTTTGATACTTGATGATGTTGATAGATATTTGCCACCAGAGAAAAAAAAAACAAGGTGAATCGGAAGATTCCGAGGAAATTTTCTGGTTCAGGCACCTGTCTCTGACTTCATCTTCTCTCTCCAGCTCCTTTTGATTTCCTTTCCTTAAATTTCCCGGGGAAATCTTTCATTCCCATCTCTGCTTTCTCGTATCCTATCTGTCATTTCTTTTCTTTCCTATCCCCATATTCATAACACAAAGTGCAGTTGTCTTACTCTCTAAGTACTTTCCTCCCCCAATGTTATTTCCCTATATATTCCTTCAAACTTGGCTAACAAGATCTATTATCATAGCTTAATATCACATTCAATTTTCGAATCTCTTGTTTCACCGCTCTCTACATCCGCTCGGTTTCAATATGAGGCACAATCTGAGACCCAGAACCACAATCCCTGATTCAGAAGACGATTCACAATTCAGTGAAACGTCATTGAGGAATTCATCCCCCTCCGTCGATCAAGTCGATCAGGAACTTTACGAGCCGGTGGGTCATCCCTTTCTCAGTCACGCCCTCGCGTCATCCAAGATTCCGAGGATGAGGATGACTGTGTCGGTCTATCGGACTCGGTGGCACCAGACAATTCTGCTTCGGGAATTGCGGTGGTCGTGCCCGTGAAAAATGAGTCACCTAGTGACTCTAATTCTCGGAGTTCGCTTGGGAATCTGTCGACGGGCTATAGTACCCCCGCTACCAGCGTTGGTGCTGCAGGTACCGAACCTGACACTAAGATTGTGGCCAAGACTTCGGCGCGTATCAATGCCGCCGATCGCGTAAAGAAACTACAGTCAAGCGCATTATCTCTAGGATCTTCTAAAAGAGGAAGAAAACGATCCGCCGCTGCTTTGGCCGATGATGACGATGCCTCTGATGTTCCACTGGCTCGTGCCTCCCAGAAAAGGATGACAAAACGGCCTACAGGTGCTCTGTCTGTCCAAACCGACCTCGAGGCTTCCGATACTGCGCTGGCCCATGCCCTCCAAATGGAAGAATATGAGTACCCACGCCCGACAACAGAAGCTCGTTTGCTTGTAGACAAATTCATTGATGAGCACAAGGAATACGACTTGGACCCAGATTCTAGCCCGGTGTTCTTCTCTCCGCTGAGCCCCGAGCCACCCGGGTTACTTCCTTTTGGCGTTGCTGGGTCGGATGCCTCAGAGGATCCCCTAGAAGTCGAGTCTCCCCTTTCTTTTGGAGAAGACCTCGATGACAATCTTCACGACTCTGAAGGAGACCTGCCCCCAAGTTGGGAAGAGCAGCGGAAATCTCGCCGTGTAAGTCGGATTATTTTTCTACGTGCCTTGACATGACTGACCATCACCCAGGTAGAAAGAGACCGAAAAAACCTTGTGCATAAGCATCCCACGATTGGTACCATGTGGGATGCGCTCAAAGCACAGCCGATTATCCCGCCAAAGGAAGCCAAGCAACCTGTCTCCATAACTCGCAAACTCAAGCCATTCCAACTAGAGGGTTTGAACTGGATGATAGAACAGGAAAAGACTCAATACAAAGGTGGTTTGTTGGGTGATGAGATGGGCATGGGAAAGACCATCCAAGCAGTTTCACTCATCATGTCCGATTTCCCCCAGCCTGACCCGACTCTCGTCCTCGTGCCACCGGTTGCTTTGATGCAGTGGGTATCCGAGATCAAAGAATACACGGATGGCAAGCTGAAAGTCTTGGTCTATCACAATTCCGACGCGAAAATCAAGAAGTTGCCATCAGCTGAAATTCGCAAATACGATGTCATCATGATTTCCTATGCAAGTCTCGAATCCATTTACCGCAAGCAGGAGAAAGGCTTCACTCGCGGCGAGACGATAGTCAAAGCAGATAGTGTCATTCACGCAATCCACTACCACCGCCTCATTCTTGACGAGGCGCATAGTATCAAATCGCGCACCACGGGTGTTGCCAAGGCATGTTTTGCCTTGGAGGCTAATTACAAATGGTGCCTATCGGGCACACCCG